CCATTCCCATCCCAAAAACATTCAGGAATTCCCTCAGGATTCACTTTCCATCCCAAAAATCCCGTTAATCCCCTCAGTGTCCCATTCCCATCCCAAAAATCCCATTAATCCCCTCAGTGTCCCATTGCCTTCCAAAAAGATTCAGGAATTCCCTCAGGATTCACTTTCCATCCCAAAAATCCCGTTAATCCCCTCAGTGTCCCATTCCCATCCCAAAGAAACCCGGGAATTCCCTCAGTGTTCACTTTCCATCTCGAAAATTCACTCATGTTCCCAATTCTCATCCCAAAAATCCCAGGAATTCCCTCAGAGTGTCATTCCCATTCCAAAAATTGAATTAATCCCCTCAGTGTCCCATTCCCATCCCAAAAAAACCGGGAATCTCCTCAGTGTCCACTTCCCATCCCAAAAAAAAACTGGGAATCCCCTCAGTGTCCCATTGCCATCCCAAAACATCCAGGAATTGCCTCATGTTCCCAATTCTCATCCCAAAAACATCCAGGAATTCCCTCAGGATTCACTTTCCATCCCAAAAATCCCATTAATCCCCTCAGTGCCCCATTCCCATCCCAAAAAAAACCGGGAATTCCCTCAGTGTTCACTTTCCATCCCAAAAATCCCATTAATCCCCTCAGTGCCCCATTCCCATCCCAAAAAAACTGGGAATTCCCTCAGTGTTCACTTTCCATCCCAAAAAAAACCGGAATTCCCTCAGTGTCCCATTCCCATCCCAAAAACATTCAGGAATTCCCTCAGGATTCACTTTCCATCCCAAAAATCCCACTGATCCCCTCAGTGTCCCATTCCCATCCCAAAAAACCGGGAATTCCCTCAGTGTCCCATTCTCATCCCCAAAAAAACGGGAATTCCCTCAGTGTTCACTTTCCATCCCAAAAATCCCATTAATCCCCTCAGTGTCCCATTCCCATCCCCAAAAATCCCATTAATCCCCTCAGTGTCCCATTCCCATCCCAAAAATCCCGTTAATTCCCTCAGTGTCCCATTCCCATCCCAAAGAAAATGGGAATTCCCTCAGTGTTCACTTTCCATCTCAAAAATTCCCTCATGTTCCCAATTCTCATCCCAAAAACTCCAGGAATTCCCTCAGTGACCCATTCCCATCCCAAAAATCCCATTAATCCCCTCAGTGTCCCATTCCCATCCCAAAAATCCCATTAATCCCCTCAGTGTCCCATTCCCATCCCAAAAATCCCATTAATCCCCTCAGTGTCCCATTCCCATCCCAAAAAAACAGGAATTCCCTCAGTGTCCCATTGCCATCCAAAAACATTCAGGAATTGCCTCATGTTCCCAATTCCCATCCCAAAACATTCAGGAATTCCCTCAGTGTTCACTTTCTATCCCAAAAAAACCGGGAATTCCCTCAGTGTCCCATTCCCATCCCAAAAATCCCGTTAATCCCCTCAGTGTCCCATTCCCATCCCAAAAATCCCGTTAATCCCCTCAGTGTTCCATTTCCATCCCAAAAAAAACGGGAATTCCCTCAGTGTTCACTTTCCATCCCAAAAAACCCGGGAATTCCCTCACTGTCCCATTCCCATCCCAAAAAAACCGGGAATTCCCTCAGTGTTCACTTTCCATCCCCAAAAAACCGGGAATTCCCTCAGCGTTCACTTTCCATCCCCAAACCCCCTCAGCATTCCCAAACTTCCCGGGAATGCCCTCAGGGCCCGGTGTCACTCCAGAATTCCCGGTTTTACCCGTTATTCCCGGTCTCACCCGTTATTCCCGGTCTCACCCGTTATTCCCGGTCCCACCCGTTATTCCCGGTGTCACTCCCGAATTCCCGGTGCCCCCCCCACCCCCCCGCGCTCCCCTCAGGACCTTCCCCGCTCCCATCGCCGCCCGTTCCACCGTCACCGCTCCCCAAACCCGCGGAAATTGGGGAGGAGAGCTGAAAACAGCCCCGGGAGCCGCCGCAGCCCCGGGCCCGGTGCAGCCCCGGGCCGCCCTCAGCGCCTCCTCCCCTCACGGAGCGGCGGGGGCGGGAGCGGCCTGGGCCTAACGGGGGCGGGCCGTGCCTAACCGGGGGCGGGCTGCCTCGGGAGCAGCGGGGCGGCCCTGAGCGGCTCTCCGGGCGCTACCGGCGGCGTTCCGGGGTTAACTCACCGCGGGCCGGGCCGGCGCTGCCGCCGCTTTGGAGCCGCCGCCGCCGCTCCGGAGCCGCCGCCGCTTCCTCCCGGTCCGCCACAAAATGGCGGCGGCAGGAAGTGCCCCCCGCGCGCCGGCCCCGCCCCGCGCTACGCCAACGGCGCGCCCGGCGCTACGCCAACGGCGCAACGCCGCGCCGGGATAATGGTACGCAAACGGCGTAAGGCGGCGAGAAACGGTGTTTACGCAAACGGCGGAGCGCGGCCCCGCCCGCCCCGCCCCGCGCCCTACGCAAACGGCGTAACCCCGGCGGCGCAGGGCGGAGGGCGCTCCGCCGCGACCCCCGCGCAGCCCGGTGAGGGCGGACACGCCGCGGATCGCCCGCGGGCCGTACCGGGAGGCGGCGGAGACAGCGGCGGGCGCGGCGGAGGGCGGCGAGTGAGCGGCGCTGGCGGCGGCGGCGCCCCCGCCTTTACGGCGTTGGCGCAGCGGCGGGGCCCGCGCCGCAGCTTACGCCGTTGGCGTAGCCGCCCCTGACGCAGCGGCCGCATTACGCAATGCGGGTTACGCCGGCGGGGCGACGTAAACGGCGTTGGTGAATCGCGGCACCCCCATTAAGCCCACCCGGTGTGTCCCGCTCCGTCCTCCCGGTTCCCCTCAGCGGCGGCGGCGCCCCCGGCCCGGCCCGGCCCGGCCCTCCCGGTGCGCCCGCGGCGGCCCCGCTGTTACCTGAGGGGGCCGCGGCGCTCCGGGACGGCGGAGGAGGAGGAGGAGGAGGAGGAAGGGGAGGAAGGGGAGGGGGGGCCGCGGGCACAGAGGGGCAGCGGCTCCGGCAGCGGCGCCGCACTGACCTCACCGCGCTGCGCGTGACGTCACGGCGCACGCGGACACGCCCACCGCCGCCGGCCCCGCGCGTGACGTCACCGGGGAGCGGGAGGGGAGGGGGGGAGAACCGGGAGGGGGGAGGGGACACCGGGAGGGGGGAGGGGACACCGGGAGGGGGGAGGGGACACCGGGAGGGGGAAGGGGTACCGGGAGGGGGGAGGGGACACCGGGAGGGGGGAGGGGACACCGGGAGGGGGGGGGGACACCGGGAGGGGGGAGGGGACACCGGGAGGGGGAGGGGAGAACCGGGAGGGGGCAGGGGAGAACCGGGAGGGGGGGGGAGAACCGGGAGGGGGGAGGGGACACCGGGAGAGGGGGAGGGGACACCGGGAGGGGGGAGGGGACACCGGGATTGGGACACCGGGAGGGGACATTTGGGGGGTACCGGGAGGGTCACGGGGGACACCGGGAGGGGGGAGGGACACCGGGAGGGGGGAGGGGACACCGGGAGGGGGGGGGGAGAACCGGGAGGGGGGAGGGGACACCGGGAGGGGGGAGAGGGAGAACCGGGACGGGACACCGGGAGGGGAATGGGGACACCGGAGGGGGGAGGGGACACCGGGAGGGGACACCGGGAGAGGGGACGGGGGGAACCGGGAGAAAAGAGGGGGGGAAACCGGGAGGGGGAAGGGGAGAACCGGGAGAAGGGAGGGGGGAAAACGGGGGGACACCGGGAGAGGCACCGGGAGAGGGTCACGGGGGACACCGGGAGGGGACATTTGGGGGGTACCGGGAGGGGACAGGGGACACCGGGAGGGGACAGGGGACACCGGGAGGGGGAAGGGACACCGGGGGGACACCGGGAGAGGGGAGGGGGGGGAGAACCGGGGGGACACCGGGAGGGGACACCGGGAGAGGGGACGGGAGGAACCGGGAGAAAAGAGGGGGGGGAAACCGGGATGGGGAAAGGGGGGGCACCGGGAGAGGGGAGGGGGAGAACCGGGGGGACACCGGGAGGGGACAGGGGACACCGGAGGGGGGGGGGGACACCGGGAAGGGACATTTGGGGGGTCCCGGGAGGGTCCCGGGGGTACCGGGGACACCGGAGGGGACATTTGGGGGGTCCCGGGAGGGCACCGGGGGACACCGGGAGGGGACAGGGGACACCGGGGGGGGGGAGAAGGGACACCGGAAGGGACATTTGGGGGGTCCCGGGGGTACCGGGAGGGGACAGGGGGACACCGGAGGGGGGGGAGGGACAATTTGGGGGTCCGGGGGACACCGGGAGGGGACATTTTGGGGGTCCCCGGTGACACTTTGGGGGGATTTGGGGACATTTTGGGGACATTTTGGGGCCCTTGGGGACAATTTGGGGGTCCCTGGGGACATTTTGGGGGGATTTGGGGAAATTTTGGGGGTCCCGGGGACAATTTGGGGACATTTTGGGGGATTTAGGGACATTTGGGGGTCCCTCGATAAATTTGGGGACATTTTGGGGGTCCCTGGGGACAATTTGGGGACATTTTGGGGGTCCCAAGGACAATTTGGGGACATTTTTGGGGTCCCTGGGGACATTTGGGGACATTTTGGGGGTCCCAAGGACAATTTGGGGACATTTTTGGGGTCCCTGGGGACATTTGGGGACATTTTGGGGGTCCCGGGGACAATTTGGGGACATTTTGGGAAATTTTGGGGGATTTTGGGACATTTTGGGGGGATTTAGGGACATTTTGGGGACATTTTGGGGGATTTTGGGACATTTTGGGGGATTTTGGGACATTTTGGGGACATTTTGGGGGGATTTTGGGACATTTTGGGGACATTTTGGGGGGATTTAGGGACATTTTTGGGACATTTTGGGGGGATTTAGGGACATTTTGGGGACATTTTGGGGGATTTAGGGACATTTTGGGGTCCCCCCCCCCCAGAAATTCCCATTCCAGAGAAATTTGGGATCAATTTAAGGAAAAAAATCCCCCCAAAATTCCCCATTTTTTTGGGAATTCCCTTTGGGATTTATTTTTTTTTTTGGGGTGAAAAAAGGAAATTTTGGTTAAAACGATTCAAAAATCCCGACTCCGAATCCCAAAGAATTTCTGGAATTTTTTTTTGGGGAATTCTGTAGGAAAAATCAGGATAAAAATCACAAGGTGGAGCCTCTGAATTTTGCTGGAAAAGGGAAATTTTGGGGGAAAAAATTGGGAATTTCTCCCAAAAATCCTCCTTTGGAATGGGAAAATTCCTTAAAAATCCCATTCCAGCCCCAAATCCTCACCGGGAATGAGGAAAAAAGAAAATTAAAGGGAAAAATTCCAATTTTTTTTGGGAAAAATCTTCCCTAAAACGGATTAATTTTAGAAAAAAAAAAGAAGGAATTTCCAGGAATTTTCCCAAATTTCCAACTTTTTATTTTTCCCGTTTTTTGAGGCTTTTTTCCCCAAATCCCAACAGAGAATTCCTCAGGGATGGGAAAATTTGGGAATTTTTCCTCTTTTGTGGTTTCTTCATCCTGGAAGGATGGAAAAAAAAAATAATAAAAATAAAATCAGGAAAAAATCCTGGAAAAATCAAATTATTTTTATCAATTTCCCAGGAATTCTCCCCAAAATCCCAACCCCCCCCCAGCTTGGAAAAATCCTGGAAAAATCCAAATTTCCTGAATCAAATCCTCACCTTTTCCTGAAATTCTCAGGATTTTTCCACCTTTTTCTCTTCCTCCTTTTCCAGGATTTTTTCCTCTTTTTCTGGAATTTTTTCCGGAATTTTTTCCGGGATTTTTTCCGGGATTTTTTCCTCTTTTTCCGCGTTTTTTTCTGGGATTTTTTCCTCTTTTTCCACCATTTTTTCCGGGATTTTTTCCTCCTTTTCCGGGATTTTTTCGGGATTTTTTTCCGGAATTTTTTCCTCCTCTTCCCCCTCCCCTCCCTCAGTTTGGTTTTGGGTGGAAATCCCCAATTCCTGCGATTTTTCCGTCGGATTTTCCGTGGGATTTTCCGGGGGATTTTCGGGATTTTCGGGAATTTCGGGATTTTCGGGATTTTCCGGCTCCTCCAGGAACGGCGGCACCAGGAGGGGTCTGGGGGGCTCCAGGAATTTTTGGGAATTTGGGGAATTTTCGGGAATTTCGCCTTTTTCCGGGATTTTTTCCGGCGTTTCCGTGGATTCGGGGTTTTCCCGGGATTCCTCCGGAGGCTCCTCCGTGAAGGGATCCTCGCCCTGGGGGGGAAAAATGGGAAAAATATGGAAAATTTGGGAAAATTGGGGGGAAAACGGGGAAATTTGGGGGAAAACACAAAAATTGGGGAGAAAAAACATGGAAAAATGGGGGGGAAATTGGGGAAAAACATGGAAAATTGGGGAAAAACATGGAAAATTGGGGGGAAATTGGGGAAAAACATGGAAAATTGAGGGGAAAATTGGGGAAAAACATGGAAAATTGAGGGGAAAATTGGGGAAAAACATGGAAAATTGGGGAAAAACATGGAAAATTGGGGGGGAAATTGGGGAAAAACATGGAAAATTGGGGAGAAATAGGGAAATTAGGGGAAAAACACAAAAATTGGGGAGAAAAACCGTGGAAAATGGGGGGGAAAATTGGGGAAAAACATGGAAAATTGGGGAGAAATTGGGGAAAAACATGGAAAATTGGGGAGAAATTGGGGAAAAAAGGGAAAATAGGGGGAAAATAGGGAAATTAGGGGAAAAACACAAAAATTGGGGAGAAAAACCATGGAAAATGGGGGGGAAATTGGGGAAAAACATGGAAAATTGGGGGAAATAATGGAAATTTTGGGGGGAACAAAATTGGGGAAAAAATAATGGAAAATTGGGGGGAAATTGGGGAAAAACATGGAAAATTGGGGAGAAATTGGGAAAATAGGGAAATTAGGGGAAAAACACAAAAATTGGGGAGAAAAACCACGGAAAATTGGGGGGAAATAATGGAAATTTGGGGGGAACAAAATTGGGGAAAAATATGGAAAATTGGGGAAAAACATGGAAAATTGGGGAAAACATGGAAAATTGGGAAGGGAAATAATGGAAAATTGGGGAAATACATGGAAAATTGGGGAATAAAACCCAGGAAAATTGTGGAGAAAATAATGGAAAATTGGGGGGAAAACATGGAAAATTGGGGGGAAATGATGGAAAATTGGGGAAAAATGGGAAATGGGGAAAAATAGGGAAATTTGGGGAAAAACAGGGAAAATTGGGCAGAAAACCAGGGAAATTTGGGAAAAACCAGGAAAGTTGTGGGGAAAACCAGGAAAATTGGGGGGAAAACATGGAAAATTGGGGGAAATTGGGGAGAAAATACATGGAAAATTGGGGGGAAATAATGGAAATTTTGGGGGAAACAAAATTGGGGGAAAATAATGGAAAATTGGGGAAAAACATGGAAAATTGGGGGGAAAAATGGAAGATTTGGAGGGAACAAAATTGGGGAAAAATAATGGAAAATTGTGGAAAAAATAATGGAAAATTGGGGGGAAATACATGGAAAATTGGGGAAAAAGGGGAAATGGGGAAAAAATAGGGAAATTTGGGGAAAAACACAAAAATTGGGGAGAAAAACCAGGAAAATTGGGGGAAATAATGGAAATTTTGGGGGGAACAAAATTGGGGAAAAATAATGGAAAATTGGGGGGAAATATTGGAAATTTGAGGGGGAACAAAATTGGAGAAAAAATAATGGAAAATTGGGGAGGAAAAATGGAAAAATGGGGAGAAAATAATGGAAAATTGAGGAAAAAAAACCAGGAAAATTGGGGGGGAAAAAATGGAAAATTTGAGAGAAAATGATGGAAAATTGGGGAAAAAAACAGGAAAATTGGGCAGAAAATAATGGAAAATTGGGGGAAAAACATGGAAAATTGGGGAAAAAAGGGGAATGGGGGAAAAATAGGGAAATTTGGGGAAAAACAAAAAAATTGGGGAGAAAAACCATGGAAAATTGGGGGGAAATTGGGGAAAAAAATGGAAAATTGGGGGAAAAACATGGAAAATTGGGAGGAAATTGGGAAGAAAAGGGAAAATGGGGAAAACCAGGAAAATTTTGGGGAAATTTGGAGAAAAATCCTTGAAAATTGGGGGGAAAATGTAAAATGTGGGAAAAACAGAAAAATGGGGAAAATTGGGGGGAAAGAAATGGAAATTTGGGGAAAAACGGAGAAAATTGGGAGAAAACCGTGGAAATTTGGGAGGAAAAGCAGGAAAATTGGGAATTTCTGGGATAATGGGAATTGTTGGAATAATGGGAATTTCTGGGATAATGGGAATTTTTGGGATAATGGGAATTTTTGGGATAATGGGAATTTTTGGGATAATGGGAACGATCCCAAACTGGGATCCAAATCGGATTTTTTGGGATCCAAATTCCCGTTTTTCCTGGATCCAAATCGGATTTTTTGGGATCCCAAATCCCAGTTTTTCCTGGATCCAAATCGGATTTTTTGGGATCCGCAGTTCCTCTTCTTGGGATGCAAAGTCCGTCTTCGCAGGATCCAAAATCCCGTTTTTTGGGATCCAAAATCCCATTTTTTCGGAATCCAAAATCCCGTTTTTTGGGATCCAAAGTCCCGTTTTTTGGGATCCAAAATCCTGTTTTTTGGGATCCAAAATCCTGTTTTTTGGGATCCAAAATCCCGTTTTTTGGGATCCAAAATCCCGTTTTTTCGGGATCCAAAATCCCGTTTTTTCGGGATCCAAAATCCCGTTTTTTGGGATCCAAAGTCCCTCCTTTTCCCGGGATCCACCGTCCCTCTTCTTGGGATCCAAAATCCCGTTTTTCCCGAGGATCCAAAGTCCTTTTTCTGAGATCCAAATCCCATTTTTTGGGATCCAAAATCCCATTTTTTGGGATCCAAAATCCCGTTTTTCCTGAGGATCCAAAGTCCTTTTTCTGAGATCCAAATCCCGTTTTTTGGGATCCAAAATCCCATTTTTTGGGGATCCAAAATCCCATTTTTTGGGATCCAAAATCCCGTTTTTCCCGAGGATCCAAAGTCCTTTTTCTGGGATCCAAATCCCATTTTTTGGGACGCAAAGTCCCATTTTTCGGGATCCAAATCCCATTTTTTGGGATGCAAATCCCATTTTTCCCGGGACTCCAGGTCCGTCTTCCCAGGATCCAAAATCCTTTTTCCTCGGAATCCAAAGTCCCTTTTTTTGGGATGCAAATCCCGTTTTTTCCAGGATCGAACGTACCTCCTTTTCCCGGGATCCGCTGTCCTTTTTTTGGGATCCACCGTCTCTCTTCTCGGGATCCAAAATCTCCTTTTTTTGGGATCCAAAATCTCCTTTTTTGGGATGCAAATCCCATTTTTTGGGATCCAAATCCCATTTTTTGGGATCTAAAATCCCATTTTTTGGGATCCAAATCCCTTTTCTTCCCGGGACTCCGGGTCCCTTTTTCCCAGGATCCAAAATCCTTTTTTTGGGATCCAAATCCCATTTTTTGGGATCCAAATCCCGTTTTTCCCGGGACTCCGGGCCCGTCTTCCTGGGATGCAAAATCCCATTTTTCCCAGGATCCAAATCCCATTTTTTGGGATACAAATCCCATTTTTTGGGATCCAAAATCCCGTTTTTCCCGAGGATCCAAAGTCCTTTTTTCGGGATCCAAATCCCATTTTTCGGGATCCAAATCCCATTTTTCGGGATCCAAATCCCATTTTTCGGGATACAAATTCCCTCCTTTTCCCGGGACTCCGGGTCCCTTTTTCCCAGGATCCAAAATCCTTTTTTTGGGATCCAAATCCCGTTTTTTGGGATCTAAAATCCCATTTTTCGGGATCCAAATCCCGTTTTTCCCCAGGATCCAAAGTCCTTTATTCGGGATCCAAAATCCCATTTTTTGGGATGTAAATCCCATTTTCCCCTGGACCCGGTGTCCGTCTTCCCAGGATCCAAAATCCTTTTTTTGGGATCCAAAATCCCATTTTTCGGGATCCAAATCCCATTTTTCAGGATGCAAATTCCCTCCTTTTCCCGGGACTCCAGGTCCGTCTTCCCAGGATCCAAAATCCTTTTTCCTTGGAATCCAAATCCCATTTTTTGGGACCTAAAATCCCATTTTTTGGGATCCAAATCCCGTTTTTCCCGAGGATCCAAAGTCCTTTTTGTGGAATCCAAATCCCATTTTTCCCGGGACTCGAGGTCCGTCTTCTCAGGATGCAAATCCCATTTTTTGGGATCCAAATCCCATTTTTCCCCAGGATCCAAAGTCCTTTTTTTGGGATGCAAATCCCATTTTTCGGGATCCAAAATCCCATTTTTTGGGATCCAAATCCCATTTTTCCCCAGGATCCAAAGTCCTTTTCTTCCTGCGATCCGCGTCCCTTTTCCCAGGATCTTCCCAGGATCCAAAGTCCCTTTTTTTGGGATGAAAATCCCATTTTTTGGGATCCAAAATCCCATTTTTTGGTCTCCAAAGTCCCTTTTTTTGGGATGAAAATCCCATTTTTTGGGATCCGAAATCCCTTTTTTCCCGGGACCCCAGGTCCCTTTTCCTGGGATCCAAATCCCATTTTTTGGGATCCAAAATCCCATTTTTTGGGATCCAAAATCCCATTTTTCCCTGGACTCCAAGTCCGTCTTCCCAGGATGCAAAGTCCATTTTTTGGGATCCAAATTCCCGTTTTTTGGGATCCAAAACCCCATTTTCTGGGATCCAAAATCCCATTTTTTCGGGATGCAAACTCCCTCCTTTTCCCAGGACTCCAGGTCCGTCTTCCCAGGATCCAAAGTCCATTTTTTGGGATCCAAACTCCCAATTTTCGTGATCCAAACTCCCAATTTTCGGGATCCGAGTTCCCGTTTTTCGGGATCCGAGTTCCCATTTCTCGGGATCCAAATTCCCGTTTTTTGGGATCCAAATTCCCGTTTTTCGGGATCCGCGTTCCCGTTTTCCGGGATGCAATTCCCGTTTTTCCCAGGACCAGCAGGCAGAGGCAATTCCCGTTTTTCCCACTTTTTTTCCCTTTTTTTTTCCCATTTTTCCAACTTTTCCCCAAACTTCCGGCACCGGGGAGGGAATTTTGGGATCTTGGAGCTTCTCCCGCCGGAATTTTCGGGAATCTTCCGGAGGCGCCTCCGTTCCTTCTCCTCCGCGGATCCTTCCCCAGAAAATTCCGGAAAATCCCGGAATTCCCGGCCCAGCCCCAAATTCCGGCGCTCCCAAGGGGAAAAAATTGGGATTTTTGGGGGTTTTGGGGGGGTTTGGATTCCTGGGATTGGGATTTGGGATGGGAATTCCCGCCCGGATGGGGCCGGAGCTGCCCCGAAATTCCAAAAATTCGGAAAATTCCCAAAATTCCCAAGAATTCTCAACGGCAGCTTCGGCTCCAGGGGGGATTTTGGGGAAAATTCCAGGATTTGAGGGATTTTTGTGGGAAAAAATTGGGAAAAATTCCTCCAAAAAAGCCCAAGAGTGACAAAACCACAGGAAAATGAAGAAAAAACCAGGAAAAATGGGAAAAATCCGGGATTTTTTTGGGATTGGGCACTGGGAATGCCAAAGAGGGGGAAAATATTCCCAAAAAAAAAAACCTCAGGAATGACAAAAGCACCGGGAAAAGCAGGAAAAAAAACCCGGATTGCACAAAAAAATTAACCAAAAAAAGGGAAATTCCGGAATTTGCGGGAATTTTTTTGGGAATGTCGGAATCGCAAAGAGGTGGGGAAAAAAAGGGGAAAAAATTCCCAAAATCTGCCAAAAAAGCAGGAAAAAATCCAGAAAAAAACCCGAAAATGGCACAAAAAAAGGGTAAAATTGCGAATTTTTGGAAGATTTTTTTTTTGAATTTTCGGGATTTTTTTGGGGATTTTGTTGGGGATTTTTGGGAAGGGTCTGGGAGGTGGGAATTTCGGGAATTCCGGGAATTTTGGGTACCTGCAGGTATCTCTCCAGCATCCTGACGATGTGTTTGTCCCAAAAACGGGAGAAAAACCCCCAAAAACGGGGAAAAATTCCAGATTTTGCTGAAATTTTTTGATCCCAAAGACGTGGAAAAAAAAAAAAGGAAAAAATTCCCAAAATCTGCCAAAAAAGCAGGAAAAAAACCAGAAAAAAACCCGGAAACGGCACAAAAAAAAGGGAAAACTGCGGATTTTTGGGGTTTTTTTTTGAATTTTCGTGATTTTTTTGGGGATTTTTTGGGGGATTTTTTTGGGGATTTTTGGGAAGGGTCTGGGAGGTGGGAATTTCGGGAATTCCGGAATTCCGGGTACCTGCAGGTATCTCTCCAGCACCCTGACGATGTGTTTGTCCCAAAAACGGGAGAAAAACCCCCAAAAATGGGGGAAAATTCCAAATTTTGCTGAAATTTTTGGATCCCAAAGAGGTGGAAAAAAAAAAAAGGAAAAAATTCCCAAAATCTGCAAAAAAAGCAGGAAAAAAACCAGGAAAAAACGCAAAAATTGCACAAAAAAAAGGGGAAAACTGCGAATTTTTGGAAGATTTTTTTTTTGAATTTTCGGGATTTTTTTTTGGGATTTTGTTGGGGATTTTTGGGAAGGGTCTGGGAGGTGGGAATTTCGGGAATTCGGGAATTCCGGGTACCTGCAGGTATCTCTCCAGCATCCTGACGATGTGTTTGTCCCAAAAACGGGAGAAAAACCCCCAAAAACGGGGAAAAATTCCAGATTTTCCTGAAATTTTTTGATCCCAAAGAGGTGGGAAAAAAAAACCGGGAAAAAATTCCCAAAATCTGCCAAAAAAGCAGGAAAAAATCCAGAAAAAACCCCGAAAACGGCACAAAAAAAAGGGTAAAATTGTGAATTTTTGGGGTTTTTTTTTTTAATTTTCGGGATTTTTTTGGGGATTTTTTTGGGGATTTTTTTGGGGATTTTTTTGGGGATTTTTGGGAAGGGTCTGGGAGGTGGGAATTTAGGGAATTTCGGGAATTTTGGGTACCTGCAGGTATCGCTCCAGCACCCTGAACGATGTGTTTGTCCCAAAAACGGGAGAAAAACCCCCCAAAAACAGGGAAAAATTCCAGATTTTGCTGAAATTTTTGGGTCCCAAAGAGGTGAAAAAAAAATGGGAAAAAATTCCCAAAATCTGCCAAAAAAGCAGGAAAAAAAGCAGAAAAAAAACCAAAAATGGCACAAAAAAAAGGTAAAACTGCGGATTTTTGGGGGTTTTTTTTTAATTTTCGGGATTTTTTTTTGGGATTTTGTTGGGGATTTTTGGGAAGGGTCTGGGAGGTGGGAATTTCGGGAATTCCGGGAATTTTGGGTACCTGCAGGTATCTCTCCAGCATCCTGACGATGTGTTTGTCCCAAAAACGGGAGAAAAACCCCCAAAAACGGGGGAAAATTCCAGATTTTGCTGAAATTTTTGGATCCCAAAGAGGTGGAAAAAAAAAAATGGGAAAAAATTCCCAAAATCTGCCAAAAAAGCAGGAAAAAAAGCAGAAAAAAACCCGGAAACGGCACAAAAAAAAGGGGAAACTGCGGATTTTTGGGGGTTTTTTTTTGAATTTTCGGGATTTTTTTGGGGATTTTTTTGGGGATTTTTTTTGGGATTTTTGGGAAGGGTCTGGGAGGTGGGAATTTTGGGAATTCCGGGAATTTTGGGTACCTGCAGGTATCTCTCCAGCATCCTGACGATGTGTTTGTTGTTCAGGACGCTCTTGGCCACGTGCAGACTCGTCTTCTTGAACTGCTCCGCCGCCAGCTGGAAAAAAGGGAAAATCCCGGAATTCCGGGAATTCTGAAGGGGTTAGAGGGAAAATTCCCGGAATTCTGGGAATTCTGAAGGGATTAGGGGGAAATAAACCTGGAATTCTGGGAATTCCGCAGGGGTTCGGGGGGAAAATGGGGAAAAAACCCTGGAATTCCAGGAATCCTCCAGGGATTCACAGGGAAATTGGGGAAAAAAACTGGAATTCTGGGAATTCTGAAGGGATTCGGGAGGAAAATGGGGGAAAAAAAACGGAATTCTGGGAGTTCTGCAGAGTTCAGGAGGAAAATGGGGAAAAAAAACTGGAATTCCGGGAATTCTGAAGGGGTTAGAGGGAAAATCCCGGAATTCTGGGAGTTCTGAAGGGGTTTGGGGGGAAAATCCTGGATTTCCGGGAATTCTGAAGGGATTAGGGGGAAATAAACCTGGAATTCTGGGAATTCTGAAGGGGTTTGGGGGAATAATCAGGAAAAATCCCACAATTCTGGGAATTCTGCAGGGGTTCAGGGGAAATGGGGAAGAAAACCCAAAATTCTGGGATAAATCCAGGATAAATCCGGGATAAATTTGGGATAAATCTGGGATAAATTTGGGGTAAATCTGGGATAAATCAGGGATAAATCCGGGATAAATTTGGGATAAATCCGTGCCAAAATCTCACCCTGCGGCTGCGGTTGTGCTAAACCCGGGATGAACTGGGATAAATGGGAATAAACCCGGGATGAAAGGGAATAAATCTGGGATAAATCTGGGATAAATCCGGGATAAATTTGGGAATAAATCTGGGATAAATTTGGGATAAATCCGGGATAATTTCGGGCTAAATTCGGGATAAATTTGGGATAAATTTGGGCCAGACTCACCCTGCGGCTGCGGTTGTGCTAAACCCGGGAATAAACCCGGGATGAAAGGGAATAAATCCAGGGTAAATGGGAATAAATCCGGGATAAATCTGGGATAAATCAGGGATAAATCCGGGATAAATCCAGGATAATTTTGGGATAAATCAGGGATAAATCAAGGATAAATCCGTGCCAAACTCACCCTGCGGCTGCGGTTGTACTAAACCCGGGATGAATGGGAATAAACTCGGGATGAAAGGGAATAAATCTGGGATAAACTCGGGATAAATCTGGGATAAATCTGGGATAAATCTGGGATAAATCCAGGATAAATTTAGGATAAATCTGGGATAAATCTGGGATAAATCTGGGATAAATCCAGGATAAATGGGAATAAATCCGGGATGAAAGGGAATAAATCAGGGATAAATGGGAATAAATCCGGGATAAATCTGGGATAAATTAGGGATAAATCCGGGATAAATGGGAATAAATCAGGGATAAATCCGGGATAAATCCAGGATAAACCCGTGCCAGACTCACCCTGCGGCTGCGGTTGTGCTAAACCCGGGATAAATGGGAATAAACCCGGGATGAAAGGGAATAAATCAGGAATAAATCTGGGATAAATTTGGGATAAATCCGGGATAAATCTGGGCTAAACCCGTGCCAAACTCTCACCCTGCGGCTGCGGTTGTGCTAAACCCGGGAATAAACCCGGGATAAATGGGAATAAATCCAGAATAAACCCGGGATGAAAGGGAATAAATCCGGGATAAATCCGGGATAAATTTGGGATAAATCCGGGATAAATTTGGGATAAATCCGGGATAAATCCGGGATAAATCCGGGATAAATCTGGGATAAATTTGGGATAAATCCATGTCAAAAGCTCACCCTGCGGCTGCGGTTGTGCTAAACCCGGGATGAATGGGGATAAACGGGAATAAATGGGGATAAATGGGAATAAATCAGGGACAAATCTGGGATAAATCCAGGATAAATCTGGGATAAATCTGGGATAAATCCGGGATAAATTTGGGATAAATTTGGGGATAAATCCGGGCTAAACCCGGGCCAAAAGCTCACCCTGCGGCTGCGGTTGTGCTAAACCCGGGATGAATGGGGAATAAATGGGAATAAACCCGGGATAAATGGGAATAAATCCAGAATAAACCCGGGATGAAAGGGAATAAATCCAGGATAAATCCGGGATAAATCTGGGATAAACCCGGGCCAAACCCGGGCCAGACTCACCCTGCGGCTGCGGTTGTGCTAAACCCGGGATGAATGGGGAATAAATGGGAATAAATGGGAATAACTGGGAATAAATCTAGGATAAATCCGGGGTAAATCCAGGATAATTTTGGGATAAATCCGGGCTAAATCCGGGATAAATCCGGGCTAAATTAGGGATAAATCTGGGATAAATCCGGGATAAATTTGGGATAAATTTGGGATAAATTTGGGCCAGACTCACCCTGCGGCTGCGGTTGTGCTCGGCGGAGCGCAGGTGCCGCTGCAGCAGCGCTCCCTGGGCCGGGATCAGCATGTCGCAGGCCAGGCAGTGCGCCGCCTCGATCCGCTTGAAAAAGTGCTCCTGCCCGATCCCTAATTCCCAAAAATTCCCAAAATTCGTCAATTCCGGGAATCCGGGAAAGCGGGAGTCAAACAGTCCCAATCCCACCCCGAAATTCCCTTTTTCAGGGAGAAAATACAGCGAATTTTACCCCAAAAATGAGAATTGGCCTAAATTCCCTTGGAAAAGTGCTCCTGGCCGATCCCTAATTCCCAAAAAATTCCCAAAATTCCGGGAATTCCGGAAATCCGGGGCAGCAGGAGTCAGTCCCAATCCTATCCCAAAATTCCCTTTTTCAGAGAGAAAATCCAGCAAATTTTACCCCAAAAATGAGAATTGGTCCCAATTTCCTTGAGGAAAAGCTCCTGAGCCAGCCCTGATCCCAAAATTTCCCCAAAAATTCCAAAAATTCCATGAATTTGAGTGAGGAGAAGTCAAACAGCCCCGAAATTCCCTTTTTCAGAGAGAAAATACAGCGAATTTTACCCCAAAAATGAGAATTAGCCTCGATCCCATTGGCAAAAATGCTCCTGGCCGATCCCTAATTCCCAAAAATTCCCAAAATTCCATCAATTCCGGGAATCCAGGGAAGCAGGAGTCAAACAGTCCCAATCCCATCCCGAAATTCCCTTTTTCAGGGAGAAAATACAGCGAATTTTACCCCAAAAATGAGCATTACCCTCATTTCCATTGGCAAAAATGCTCCTGCCCAATCCCTAATTCCCAAAAAATTCCCAAAATTCCCAAAAATTCCCCAAAAAATGCCAAAAATTCCATGAATTAGAGTGAGGAGAAGTCAAACAGCCCCGAAATTCCCTTTTTCAGGGAGAAAATACAGCGAATTTTACCCCAAAAATGAGAATTGGCCTCGATCTGCTTGGAAAAGTGCTCCTGCCCGATCCCTAATTCCCAAAAATTCCCAAAATTCCGTCAATTCCGGAAATCTGGGAAAGCAGGAGTCAAACAGTCCCAATCCCATCCCAAAATTCCCTTTTTCAGAGAGAAAATACAGCAAATTCTACCCCAAAAATGAGCATTACCCTCAATCCCATTGGCAAAAATGCTCCTGGCCGATCCCTAATTCCCAAAAATTCCCAAAATTCTGTCAATTCCAGAAATCCGGAACAGTAGGAGTCAAACAGTCCCAATCCCATCCCAAAATTCCCTTTTTCAGAGAGAAAATCCAGCAAATTTTACCCCAAAAATGAGAATTGGTCCCAATTTCCTTGAGGAAAAGCTCCTGAGCCAGCCCTGATCCCAAAATTTCCCCAAAAATTCCCAGAAAATTCCATAATTTCGGGGCAGGAGAAGTCAAACAGCCCCGAAATTTCCTTTTTCACAGAGAAAATCCAGCAAATTTTACCCCAAAAATGAGCATTACCCTCAATCCCATTGGCAAAAATGCTCCTGGTCGATCCCTAATTCCCAAAAATTCCCAAAATTCCGTCAATTCCACAAATCCGGGGCAGCAGGAGTCAAACAGCCCCGGCCCCACCCCAAAATTCCCTTTTTTCACAGAGAAAATTCAGCGAATTTTACCCCAAAAATGAGAATTACCCTCAATCCCATTTGAAAAATGCTCCTGGCCGATCCCTAATTCCCAAAAAATTCCCAAAATTCCGTCAATTCCAGAAATCCGGGAAAGCAGGAGTCAAACAGCCCCGGCCCCGCCCCGAAATTCCCTTTTTCAGAGAGAAAATACAGCAAATTTCACCCCAAAAATGAGAATTAGCCTCGATCTGCTTGGAAAAGTGCTCCTGCCCGATCCCTAATTCCCAAAAATTCCCAAAATTCCGTCAATTCCGGAAATCTGGGACAGCGGGAGTCAAACAGCCCCAGCCCCGCCCCGAAATTCCCTTTTTCACAGAGAAAATACAGCAAATTTTACCCCAAAAATGAGAATTGGCCACACCCCGGAAGGGATCAGGATTTGGGATTGGGATTTGGGATCAGGGATTTGGGATGGGAATTTGGGATTTGGGATTTGGGGTGGGATTTGGGATTTTGCCCACCCCGGAATGGATTCGGATTTGGGATTTGGGATTTGGGATGGGATTTGGGATGGGAATTTGGGATCAGGATTTGGGATTTGGGATGGGAATTTGGGATTTGGGATGGAATTTGGGGTGGAATTTGGGGTTTTTCCCACCCCAGAAGGGATCCGGATTTGGGATGGAATTTGGGATTTAGGATTTGGGATTTGGGATGGAATTTGGGGTGGAATTTGGGATTTTTCCCACCCCGGAAGGGATCAGGGTTGGGGATTTGGGATTTGGGATTTGGGATGGAATTTGGGATTTGGGATGGAATTTGGGGTGGGATTTGGGATTTTGCCCACCCCGGAATGGATCAGGATTTGGGATTTGGGATGGGGATTTGGGATTTGGGGTGGTATTTGGGATGGGGATTTGGGATTTTGGTCCCACCCCGGAAGGGATCAGGGTTTGGGATTTGGGATCAGGGTTGGAGATTTGGGATTTGGGGTGGGAATTTGGGATTTGGGATTCTGTCCCACCCCGGAAGGGATCCGGATTTGGGATTTGGGAATTTGGGGTGGAATTTGGGATTTTTCCCACCCCGGAATGGATCAGGATTTGGGATTTGGGATGGAATTTGGGATCAGAATTTGGGAATTTGGGATTTTGGTCCCACCCCGGAAGGGATCAGGATTTGGGATTTGGGAATTTGGGATGGGGATTTGGGATTTGGGATGGGATTTGGGATCAGAATTTGGGAATTTGGGGTTTTGCCCACCCCGGAAGGGATCCGGATTTGGGATTTGGGATTTGGGATGGGGATTTGGGATTTGGGTTGGAATTTGGGATCAGAATTTGGGAATTTGGGATTTTTCCCACCCCGGAAGGGATCCGGCCGCGCTCTGCTCCCGTCCCTCTCCGGCATCTCCTGCCGGCGCCGCTCGATCTTCCGGTTCCTGTTCACGATGTACTCCTGGAAAAACGGGAATGAAAACGGGAATAAAACCCGGAATTCTGGGAATAAAACCCGGAATTCTGGGAATAAAACCCGGAATTCCTGTTCACGATGTACTCCTGGAAAAACGGGAATGAAAACGGGGATAAAATCCCGGAATTCTGGGGATAAAACCCGGAATTCCGGTTCACGATGGACTCCTGGAAAAACGGGAATGAAAACGGGAATAAAACCCGGAATTCTGGGAATAAAACCTGGAATTCCTGTTCATTATATACTCCTGGAAAAACGGGAATGAAAATGGGGATAAAAATTGAAATAAAAATGAGAATTCTGGGAATAAAACCTGGAAATTCTGGGAATAAAACCCGGAATTCCGGTTCACGATGAACTCCTGGGAAAGGGGAAAAATGGGAATAGAAACGGGGATAAAAATTGAAATAAAAATTGGAATTCTGGGGATAAAACCTGGGAAAAAAACCTGGAAATTCTGGGGATAAAATCTGGGAATAAAACCCGGAAATTCTGGGAATAAAATCTGGGAATAAAATCCAGAATTCCGGTTCACGAAGGGTTCCTGGGAAAGGGAATAAAAATGGGAATAAAAATGGGAATTCTGGGGATAAAACCAGGAAGAATCTGGAATTCTGGCACAAAACCACCAAGAAAATCCCAAATATCCAACTTGGAAAAATCCCCCCAAAAAAATCCTGAAAAAAAAGGAGGAAAAAAATCCCCCCCCCCCCAAAAAAATCACAAAAAATTTAAAAAAAAATCCCCCCCAAAAAAAAAAATCACAAAAAATTTTTAAAAAATCACAAAAAATTCAAAAAAAAATCACAAAAAGTTTTAAAAAAATCATAAAAAATTAAAAAAAATCCCCCCCCAAAAAATCACAAAAAATTCCAAAAAAATGACAAAAAAATTCAAAAAAAATCATAAAAAATTTTTAAAAAATCATAAAAAATTAAAAAAAAATCATACAAAATTCGAATTTTCACCTAAAAACACCCCGAAAAAAATCCCCAAAAATTCCCAGATTTCCCCTGGGGCCAGAATTCCACGGAAATTCGGGAATTTGGGGCACCTGCAGGAACTGGACGGTTTTATCCGGGAGTTTGGTGCCGATGTAGCGCAGCGTGTCCCGGTGGAATTTGCTCTCCAGGTGCCGCTGGATCTCCTCCTCCTCCAGACTCCGGAATTTGCAGACGGAGCAGGCGAACTGGATCCTGGAAATGCAGAAAATTCCCAAAAAATCCCGCCAAAAATTCCCAAAAAATTTCCCCGAAATCCGCGAAAAAAATCCCAGAAAATTGCACCAAAAATTCCCACAAAATCAGCCAAAAATTCCCCCAAAATCGCCGCGAAATTCACAGAAAATCACAAAAAAAATCCCGGAAAAAATCCCAGAAAATCGCAAAAAAATTTTCCCTGAAATATTCCCAAAAAAATCCTGAAATTCCCAGAAAATCCCCCAAAATTCCCCAAAATTCCCAAAAAGCTCCCCAAAATTCCCAGAAAAATTCACCCAAAATTCCCAAAAAGCTCCCCAAAATTCCCAGAAAAATTCACCCAAAATTCCCAGAAATATTCCCCCAATTTCCCAGAAAATCCCAGAAAAGTTCCCTGAAAAAAATCCCAGAAAATCGCAATAAAATTCCCTGAAAAAATTCCCCAAAAATTCCTGAAGTTCCCAGAAAATCACCGAAATTCCAAAAAAACTCCCCAAAATTCCCAGAAAAATTCCCCCAAAATTCCCAGAAAAATCCCAGAATGATTCTCCCAAATTCCCAGAAAACCCTCCAAAAACTCTCAAAAAAATTCTCCCAAATTCCCAGAAAATCCACCAAAAAACTCCCAGCAAATTGGCCCAAATTTCCAGAAAATCACCAAAAAATTCCCCCAAATTCACCGAAAATTAAAAAAAAAAATCTGATAAAAATTTCCCGAAAATTCCCCAAATTCCTGGAAAATTCCCTGAAAAATCCCCCAAAATTTCCAGAAAATCCCAGAAAAATTCCCTGAAAAAATCCCAGAAAATCGCAAAAAAATTCCCTGAAAAACTCCCCAAAAAATCCCTGAAATTCCCATAAAAATCCTAAAAATTCCCAAAAAAATCCCCAAAATTCCAAGAAAATCCCAGAAATATTCCCCCAAATCCCCAGAAAACCCCCCAAAAATTCTCAAAAAAACTCTCCCAAATTCCCAGAAAATCCACCAAAAAACTCCCAGAAAATCGGCCCAAATTTCCAGGAAATCACCAAAAAATTCCCCCAAATTCACCGAAAATTAAAAAAAAATCTGAGAAAAATTTCCCGAAAATTCCCAAAATTTACAGAAAATTCCCTGAAAAATCCCCCAAAATTTCCAGAAAATCCCAGAAAAATTCCCTGAAAAAAATCCCAGAAAATCGCAAAAAAATTCCCTGAAAAATTCCCCAAAAAAAATGCCTGAAATTCCCATAAAAATCCTAAAAATTCCCAAATAACTCCCCAAAATTCCCCCAAAATTCCAAGAAAATCCCAGAAATATTCCCCCAAATTCCCAGAAAACCCCCCAAAAATTCTCAAAAAAACTCTCCCAAATTCCCAGAAAATCCACCAAAAAACTCCCAGAAAATCGGCCCAAATTTCCAGAAAATCACCAAAAAATTCCCCCAAATTCACAGAAAATTAAAAAAAAAATCCCAGAAAAATTTCCCAAAAATTCCCCAAATTCACAGAAAATTCCCTGAAAAATCCCCCAAAATTTCCAGAAAATCCCAGAAAAATTCCCTGAAAAAATGCCAGAAAATCGCAAAAAAATTCCCTGAAAAATTCCCAAAAAAATGCCTGAAATGCCCATAAAAATCCTAAAAATTCCCAAAAAACTCCCCAAAATTCCCCCAAAATTCCAAGAAAAATCCCAGAAAGATTCCCCCAAATTCCCAGAAAACCCCCCAAAAACTCTCAAAAAAATTCTCCCAAATTCCCAGAAAATCCACCAAAAAACTCCCAGAAAATCGGCCCAAATTTCCAGAAAATCACCAAAAAATTCCCCCAAATTCACCGAAAATTAAAAAAAAAATCCCAGAAAAATTTCCCGAAAATTCCCCAAATTCATGGAAAATTCCCTGAAAAATCCCCCAAAATTTCCAGAAAATCCCAGAAAAATTCCCTGAAAAAATCCCAGAAAATCGCAAAAAAATTCCCTGAAAAACTCCCAAAAAAATGCCTGAAATTCCCATTAAAATCCTAAAAATTCCCAAAAAACTCCCCAAAATTCCCCCAAAATTCCCAGAAAAATCCCAGAAATATTCCCCCAAATTCCCAGAAAACCCCCCAAAACTTCTCAAAAAAATTCTCCCAAATTCCCAGAAAATCCACCAAAAAATTCCCCCAAATTCACCGAAAATCAAAAAAAAAAATCCCAGAAAAATTTCCCGAAAATCCCCCAAATTCACAGAAAATTCCCTGAAAAATCCCCCAAAATTCCCAGAAAATCCCCAAAGATTCCCAGAAAATCTCCAAAAATACCCAAAAATCACCGAAAATCCCCAAAATTCCCCAAAAATTCCGGAATTTCCGGATTCCCACCTGTCCATGGCCCTGTCCCTCATCCGGTCCCTCCTCCGCTGCTTCTCCCGTTTCTTCCTCACCTCCTCATCCTCCTCCGAGGATCCTGCGGGAAATTCGGGAATTCTGACCCAAAAAATTCCCAAAATTCCCAGAGCCCCAATTCCCAAATTTTCCCTCCTTTTTTTCCCAGATTTTCCCACTTTTTTCTGTATTTTTCCCAAGTTTCCACTCAATTTTTCCCAGTTTTTTTTCCCCTTTTCACTCAATTTTTCCCATTTATTTTCCCCTTTTTCCATTTTTTCTCAATATTCTGTAAATTTATTTTCTTTTTCCCATTTTTTGCCCCCAATTTCTACCAATTTTTTCCCACTGATTTTCCCAGATATTCCCATGGAATTTTCTAGACATTCCCATTTTTTGTTTTTCCCACTTTTTTCCTAATTTTCCCACTTTTCCCCTCATTTTTTCCCAGTTTTCCCTCTGCTTTTCCCATTTTTCCTCCAATTTTCTCTGAATTTAATTTTCCCATTTTTTCCCCAATTTCCCCCAGTTTTTCCCATGGATTTTTCCAGATATTTCCATTTTTTCCTCCATTTCCCCCCATTTTCCCCTTTTTTTTTCCCCCCTTTTCTCTTGCTTTCCCTTTCTTTTTCCCACTTTTTCCCTGTTTTTTCCCAGATATTCCCATTTTCCCTCCATTTTCCACTTTTTTCCCTTGTTTTCCCGTTTTTTCCAGTTTTTTCCCTGCTTTTCCAAGTTTTTCCCCATTTTCCCCCACTATTTTCCCTCATTTTTTTCTGGAATTCCTTCATTTTTTCCTGGTTTTCCCATTTTTCCCCCATTTTTCTTTGATTTTCCCTCAATTTTTCCCATTTTCCTTGATTCCCCCCCCTTTTCCCCATTTTCCCCCGATTTTTCCCATTTTATTCCCTCACTTTTCCCATTTTCCCCCCAATTTTCCTGTTTTTCCCATTTTCCCAAGTTTTTTCCCATTTTATTCCCTCACTTTTCCCATTTTTCCCCCAATTTTCCCATTTTTCTCCCATTCCCAGCAGCTTTTTCTTCCCTGGGATCATTTGGGATCCAACCCCAAAGAATTCCTCAGGAATTCCTTCCCAAAAACCCCAAAATTCCTTAAAAAAACCCCAAAGTTCCTTTACAAATCATCAGGAAAAGCCCAAAAAAAAAAGAAAAAGAAGGAAAAAAATCCCAAACTTTTGGGTGTGAACTGGAATTTTTGGGAATTTCCACCCCAAAACCTGGAAAAAACCCTTGGAATTTTGAGATTTTTTTCCCCTTTCCGGCCACAAATCCCCCCAAAAAAACGCTGGAAAATCACGGAATTCCGGGAATTTCCCCCCGGAATTCCGGGAATTCTCCTGGCAAAGGGTCTCCTGGGGAAGAAAATCCGGGATCTCCTGGAAAAAAAAGAAGGAAAAGGAACCATTGGAGTCAGTTCTTGGGGGATAAATGGAATTTTGGGAATTTTCACCTCATTTTTTTATGGATATTCCCAAAAAAATTGGGTTTTTGGGTGTTTTTTTTTTTTTTTTTTTGTGGAATTTTGATTTGGGAATTCCAGCCCCTCCCAGCTTTTTCCAGGCGGGAATTATTCCCTAAATTCCCAAATTTCTGACCCCCACCTGGAAAATAAAAACCCAAAATTTGGGATCCAGCCCCTTCCAGGAGCCAAATCTGGGTGGAAATTCCCATTTTTTCCCATTCCCAGGTTTTTTTTTTGGTTTTTTTTTTTTTTTTGGGATGCTTCAGGCAGGGAAATCCCCTTGGGAATTCCAAAGGGGGGAAAATTCCATCAAATTTGTGATTTTTTGGGATATTCCAAGGCAGGGAATTCCTCAGGAGATGCTGCAGGGCTCAGAAATTCCCAGATTTTCCCAGATTTTCCCGGATTTTGGGAATTCCTGGAATACTTACACCTTTGTCTGCCTCATCCAGGGATTTCTCATCTCCTTCTCCTTCGTCTCCTACGGGAAAAATGGGAAAATTTAGGAAGAAAATGGAAGAAATTGGGGAAAAAAAGAGGGAAATTCCAAAGAAATTTGGGGAAATCCAGGGAAATCTGGGGAAAATCCAGGGAAATCTGGGGAAATTCCAGGGAAATCTGGGAAAATCCAGGGAAATCTGGGAGAAAATCAATGGAAAATCCAAAGAAAAAGGATAAAAATGCAGGAAAATGGTGGGAATCCATGGAAAAAGAAGGAGAACTACAAAAAATCCCAGGAAAAGGTGGAAATTCCCTGGAAAAACTGGAAATTCCTGGGGAAAAGGGTGGAAATTCAGGGAAAATTGTGGAATTCCCAGAAAAAGGCTGGAAATTCCCAGGAAAAGGCTGGAAATTCCCAGGAAAAGGCAGAAATCCCCAAGAAAAAAAAGGACGGAATTCCCCCCAAAAAAAGGCTGGAAATTCCCAGGAAAAGGCAAAAATTCCCAGGAAAAAAAAAAAAAAAAAAAAAGCCAGAATTCCCAGGAAAAGGCAGAAATCCCCAAGAAAAATAAAGGACGGAATTCCTAAAAAAAGGCCGGGAATTCCCAGGAAAAGGCAGAAATCCCCAAGAAAAAAAAAGGGACGGAATTCCCAAAAAAAAGCCAGAATTCCCAGGAAAAGGCAGAAATTCCCAGGAAAAAAGCCAGAATTCCCAGGAAAAGGCAAAAATCCCAAGAAAAAAAAGGACAGAATTCCCAAAAAAAGGCCGGAAATTCCCAGGAAAAAAACATCAGAATTCCCAGGAAAACCCCCCCAGACAAAAAAGGCAGGAAATTCCCAGGAAAAGACCAGAATTCCCAGGAAAATCCCCCTAAAAAAGGCAGGAAATTCCCAGGAAAAGACCAGAATTCCCAGGAAAATCCCCCCAAACAAAAAAGGCTGGAAATTCCCAAAAACAGACCAGAATTCCCAGGAAAATCCCCCCAAAAACGGCAGTAAATTCCCAAAAAAAGGCTGGGAATTCCCGGGAAAAGCGACGGTACCGTGCTCGGAGTCGCTGTCGCTGCGCGGGTGTTTGGGATCGTCGTTATTCCCGGTGGTGTCGGTATTCCCGGTGTCGTTATTCCCGGTGGTGTCGTTATTCCCGTCGTTATTCCCGGTATTCCCGGTGTCATTCCCGGTGTTGTTCCCGGTGTTATTCCCGGTGTTCCCGGTGTCGTTCCCGTCCCGTTTGCGTTTCCGAGGCCCTTCGGGGTCCCAACGACCCCCGGGACGAGCGCGGAGCCCCCGGCGACGGCCCTGCCCGGGAAAATCATAAAGCGGGGTCGGGAAATGGGGAAAAAGGGGAAAAATTGGGGAAAAATGGGGAAAAATGGGATAAAGGGGAGGAAAAAATGGGATAAATAGGGGGAAAAGGGGGAAGAAATGGGATAAAGGGGGGAAAAATGGGATAAAGTGGGGGAAAAGGGGATAAAAAGTGGGGAAAACCTGGAGGGAAAGTGGGAAAAAGAAGGAAAAAGCTGGGGGAAAAGTGGGAAGAAGGGGAAAAATGGGGAAAAGTGTGGGAAAAGGGGGAAAATGAGGAAAAAGAGGGGAAAATGAGAAAAAAGTGGCAAAAAAGTGGGAAGAAATGGGAAAATTGGGAAAAAAAGTAGGGAAAAGGGAAGAAAAGTGGGGAAGAGTGGGAAAAACGGGGAATAACTGGGGAAGAAGTGGGAAAGAGCGGGAAGAAGGAGGAAAAAAGTGGGAAGAAGCAGGAAAAAAGGGGGGAAAGTGGGGAAAAGAAGGAAAAAATTGGGGGAAAAGTGGGAAAAATTGGGGGAAATGGGAAGAAGAAGGAAAAAACTGAGGGAAAAGCGGGAAAAAGAAGGAAAAAGCTGGAAAAACCCGAGGAAAAGCGGGAATTTCTGGCAGCACTCACCGGGTACAGCCCGTTCCAGGGCAGGGCTCCCATCCTCTCCTTCCTCCTGATGCCGAAGGGGCCGCGGCTCATTCCCGGCATTCCCAGATCGCCGGGATAATCGGGATAATCGCCGGGATAATCGGGATAATCGCCGGGATAATCGCTGGGATAATCAGCGGGATAATCAGGATAATCAGCGGGGTAATCGCCGGGATAATCACCGGGGTAATCACCGGGATAATCGGCGGGATAATCGGGATAATCGCGATATTCCAGCGCCTGGGAGAAGAGCGAGGGCAGCCCGCGGCGGCTCCCGGGCACCGGGAAGGGCTCGGCCCACCGGGAACCGCCCGGGAACGGCTCCGGGAGGCGGCGGCCCCGGGACGGGCCCCGGCGGGCGGCACCGGGACCGGCACCGGCACCGGGAGCGGCTCCGGGACCGCGGGAGGCTCCGGGAGCGGCGTCGGGAACGGGAGCGGCACCGGGAGCGGCGCCGGGAGCGGCACCGGGAGCGGCCGCGCGGAACGGAGCGCCCCGGGAGTCAGCGCGGGGCGGGAACGAGGAGAAGGAGGAGAAGCGGAAGGAGCTGCGGGAAAAATAAATGAAATATCGGGGTTAGGGATGGGGATGAGGGGAGGGAAATGGGGATTAAAATTGGGGTTTAGGGATGGGAATGGGGCGGGAAAATCGGGATTAGGGATGGGAATGGGAGACGGAAAAAGGGGAGTGAAATCGGGATTAGGGGTGGGAATGGGAGCAGAAAAATCGGGAATGAAATCGGAATTAGGGATGGGGAATGAGGGGAGGGAAATGGGAATTAAAATCGGGGGTTAGGGATGGGAATGGGGCAGGAAAATCGGGACTAGGGATGGGAATAGAGTGTGTAAAAATCAGGATTAGGGCTGGGAATGAGAGGCAGGAAAATTTGGATTAGGGATGGGAATGGGGGGTGGAAAATCGGGATTAGGGATGGGAATGAGGGGCAGAAAAATCAGGAATGAAATCAGAATTAGGGATGGGAATAGGGAGCAGAAAAATCAGGATTAGGGATGGGGATGAGGGGCGGGAAAATGGGAATTAAAATTGGGGTTTAGGGGTGGGAATGAGGGCAGGAAAATGGGGATTAGGGCTGGGAATGGGGCAGGAAAATTTGGATTAGGGATGGGAATGGGGTGTGTAAAAATCAGGATTAAGGATGGGAATGGGAGATGGAAAAAGGGGAGTGAAATCGGGATGAGGGATGGGAATGGGAGCAGAAAAATCAGGAATGAAATCGGGATTAGGGATGGGAATGGGGAAGAAAAATCGGGATGAGGGATGGGAATGGGAGCAGAAAAATCGGGAATGAAATCGGAATTAGGGATGGGGAATGAGGGGCAGAAAAATCGGGAATGAAATCGGAATTAAGGATGGGAATGGGAGCAGAAAAATCGGGAATGAAATCGGGATTAGGGATGGGGAATGAGGGGCAGGGAAATGGGAATTAAAATTGGGGTTTAGGGATGGGAATGGGGAAGAAAATCAGGATTAGGGATGGGGAATGAGGGGAAGGAAAATGGGAATTAAAATTGGGGTTAAGGATGGGAATGGGGGCAGGAAAATGGGAATTAATATTGGGGTTTAGGGATGGGAATGGGGAAGAAAATCAGGATTAGGGATGGGGAATGAGGGGAAGGAAAATGGGAATTAAAATTGGGGTTAAGGATGGGAATGGGGGCAGGAAAATGGGAATTAATATTGGGGTTTAGGGATGGGAATGGGGGCAGGAAAATCGGGATTAAAATGGGGGTTTAGGGATGGGAATGGGGAAGAAAATCGGGATTAGGGATGGGAATGGGGTAGGAAAATGGGGATTAAAATTGGGGTTTAGGGATGGGAATGAGGGCAGAAAATGGGAATTAAAATTGGGAAAAACTCTAAAATTCGAGATCCCGCCTTCCGTAAGCCCTGAAATCGCCGGGAAAACGGGGGAATTTGGGGACAAAACGGCCAAAACCGCCAAAAAGCGGCACCGGCTTCCAGGAATGAGTGGAAAAAACGGGATTTTGGGATCCTTTGGGATCTGGTGCTGCCCCTTGGCCAGCAGCTCCTGGCACTGCCTGAGCTTGGCCATTTTAAAACCCTCTCCCATTCCAAAATTCCCTAAATTCCCAGAAAAACCCTAAAATTTGAGACCGAATCTACCTGTCCCATTCCGAAAAATCCTTAAATTCCCAAAAATTCCCTAAAACCCAGGAATTTTCCCAGAAAAACCCTAAAATTTGAGACTGAGTCTTCCTGTCCCATCCCCAAAATTCCCTAAATTCCCAGAAAAACCCTAAAATTTGAGACTGAATCTTCCTGTCCCGTTCCCAAAATCCCCTAAATTCCCTAAAACCCCACGAATTTTCCCAGAAAAACCCTAAAATTCGAGACTGAATCTTCCTGTCCCATTTGCTAAATTCCCAGAAATTACCTAAAAACCCTAAAATTCGAGACTGAATCTTCCTGTCCCATTCCCAAAATTCCCTAAATTCCCAAAAATTCCCTAAAACCCCACAAATTTTCCAAGAAAAACCCTAGAATTTGAGACTGAATCTTCCTGTCCCATTCCCAAAATTCCCTAAATTCCCTGAAAAACCCTAAAATTCGAGACTGAATCTTCCTGTCCCATTCCCTAAATTCCCAGAAATTACCTAAAAACCCTAAAATTCGAGACTGAATCTTCCTGTCCCATTCCCAAAATTCCCTAAATTCCCTAAAACCCACAAATTTTCTCAGAAAAACCCTAAAATTTGAGATTGAATATTCCTGTCCCATCCCCAAAATTCCCTAAATTCCCAGAAATTCCCTAAAAACCCGGGAACTTTCCCAGAAAAACCCTAAAATTTGAAACTGAATCTTCCTGTCCCGTTCCCAAAATTCCCTAAAACCCCACAAATTTTCTCAGAAAAACCCAGGCATTTTCCAAGAAAAACCCTAAAATTTGAGACTGAATCTTCCTGTCCCATCCCCAAAATTCCCAGAAAAACCCTAAAATCCGAGATCCCACCTTCCGTAAGCCCTGAAATCGCCGGGAAAACGGGGGAATTTTGGGACAAAACGGCCAAAACCGCCAAAAAGCGGCGCCGGCTCCCAGGAATGGGTGGAAAAAAGGGGATTTTGGGATCCTCGGGCTGACCTGTGCTGCTGCTCGGGGCCGTCGCCGGCGCTGCCCTCCTTGGCCAGCAGGTCCAGGCGCTGGTTGATCTTGGCGATCAGCGAGTCGGCGCTGGATCCCGCCGGATCCGCCGCGCCCGAGGAGCCGCCGGATCCCGAGCCGAAGGTGGATCCCGATCCAAAAGTGGATCCCGATCCAAAACCGGTCCCGGATCCCGATCCGAAACTTGTTCCTGATCCTGATCCAAAAGCGGTTCCCGATCCTGATCCAAACCCGGTTCCTGATCCCGATCCGAAGGTGGATCCCGCAGATCCCGAGCCAAAGGCGGTCCCGGATCCCGATCCAAAAGCGGTTCCCGATCCTGATCCGTAAGCGGATCCCGCAGATCCTCCTCCAAAGGCGGTCCCCGATCCCGATCCGAAGGCGGATCCCGACCCGAAGGAGGTCCCGGATCCCGATCCGAAGGTGGATCCCGACCCGAAGGCGGATCCAGCAGATCCCGACCCAAAGGCAGCTCCGGATCCTGAGCCGAACGCGGATCCCGATCCAAAGGAGGTCCCGGATCCCGATCCAAAGGTGGATCCCGACCCAAAGGCGGCTCCAGATCCCGATCCAAAGGCGGATCCGGCGGATCCCGACCCAAAGGCGGCTCCAGACCCCGATCCAAAGGCGGATCCAGCGGATCCCGATCCGAAGGCTGTCCCAGATCCCGATCCAAAGGTGGATCCAGCGGATCCCGACCCAAAGGCGGCTCCAGATCCCGATCCAAAGGCGGCTCCGGCCGATCCCTCGCCGGATCCCAGCCCCAGATCCGATGCTTTGGGGGGATCCCAGGATCCGTAGGAGGCTCCGGCGGGCGCCGAGCTCTGCCCGGGGTAGAACTCATAACCCTCGTAGCCTGGCAAGGAAAGGGTTAATTAGTCAGCTAATTAATTAGCTGGAAGGTCGTTTAGAGAGTAATTAAGGAGTTACAGGGGTGGGAGCCCAGCAGGAAAAATCCCGGGGTGATTCCAAGGAAAAAAATTCCAAAGGAGGTTTGGGGGGTGTAGAACTGCTAACCCTGGTAGCCTGGGGGGGAAAGGGTTAATTAGTCAGCTAATTAATTAACTGGAAGGTCGTTTAGAGAGTAATTAAGGAGTTACAGGGGTGGGAGCCCAGCAGGAAAAATCCCGGGGTGATTCCAAGGAAAAAAAATTCCAAAGGAGTTTGGGGGGTATAGAACTCATAACCCTGGTAGGGAAAGGGTTAATTAGTTAATTAGCTCACTAATTAATTAATTACAGGCCCATTAAGGGGGGAATTGAAGAGTTACAGGGGTGGGAGCCCAGCAGGAAAAGCTCTGGGAAAATTCCAAGGAAAAAAAAAATTCCAAGGGGATTTTGGGGGGGGTGTAGAACTGGTAACCCCCCCAAGGGTTAATTAGATAATTAATTAATTAATTAATTAATTAGGGGCTCATTAAGAGAGTAATTAAAGAGTTAGAGGGGTGGGGAGCCCAGCAGGAAAAGAAGGGAAAAAATTCCAAAGGAATCCGAGGGGTTTTGGGCTCTGGGAATTTTGGCTCTTTGCAGCCTGGGGAGTAATTAGTTAATTGGTTAATTAGGGAGGAATGAGAGGATTAATTAATGAGTTACAGGGAGGGAGCCCAGCAGGAAAAGCCATGAAGAATAAAGGGAGAGGAAAAAGGGGGAAGGGAAGGGGAAAAATGGGGGAAAAAAGGAAATAAAAGGAAAAAAAAAATGGGGAAAAGGAGGAAAAAATTGGGAAAAAAGAGGGGGAAAAGGGAAAATAATGGGAAAAGAGAGGAAAAAAGGGGGAAAAAAGGAAATAAAAGGAAAAAAATGGGGAAAAGGGAGGAAAAAATTGGGAAAAGAGAGGGGGAAAAGGGAAAAGGGAAAAAATTGGGAAAAGAGAGGAAAAAAGGGGGAAAAAGGAAATAAAAGGAAAAAAAAATGGGGAAAAGGGAGGAAAAAAGGGGAAAAGTGAGGAAAAAAGGGGGAAAAGGGAGGAAAAGGATGGAAAAATGGGAGAGAAGGGGAAAAAAGGGAAGAAAAATTGGGAAAAGGGAAGAAAAATGGGAAAATGGAAGGAAAATGAGAAGAAGGAGAAGAAAAAAAGGAAAAATTTGGGAAAAGGGCAGGAAAAATTGGGAAAAATGAGGAAAAAGGAGGAAAAAGGGTGGAAAAAACGTGGGGAAAGAAAATGGGAAAAAGGGAGGAAAATGGGGAAAAAGGAAGGAGGAAAAGGGAAGGAAAAGTTCGAAAAAAAGGAGGAAAAAAAGTTGGAAAAAATGGGGGGGGAAGAGAAAATGGGAATAAAGGAGAAAAATGGGGAATAAAGGAAAAAAATGGGGAATAAAGGAAAAAAATGGGGAAAAAGAAGGAAAATGGGAGGAAGGAGGGAAAAAAAGGGAAAAATTTGGGAAAAGAGGGAAAAGGGAGGGAAAAATGAGGGGAAATAGGGGGGAAAAGGAAAAAAGTTGGAAAAAAAATAGGGAGGAAAAAGAAGAAAAGGAGGAAAAAGCAGGAAAAGAGGGAATTGAGAATTCCAAAATTCTCACCCACCTTGCCAACTGCTCGTGTTCGTGCCGTAGGAAGCTGGAAAAAAAAAGGGAAAATTCAGGAATTTTTCATGGAAAAATGCTGAAATTTGGGCTGAAATGTTTGGGGTTTCTGGGAAAAAGGAGGGGATTTCGGGATAAAACAGGAGGGATAGGGGAAAGGGTGGGAAAATGGGGAAAAATGGAAAAATAGAGGGGAAGAGGGTGGGAAATAGGGAGGAAATGGGGAAAAAAGGAAAAAAAAGGAGAAATATGTGATAAAGGGGGAAAAGTGGGAGAAATACGGGGGAATAATAGGAGAAAAAAGAAGGAAAATGGGAGAAAAATTGGGGGGAAATGGGAGGAAAATGGGGTAAAATAGGAGAAAATGGGAGAAAAACTGGGAAAAAAGAAGAAAACTGGGGGGAAGGGGCGAAAATGGAAGAAATAGGAGGAAAATTGGGGGAAAATGGGAGGAAAATGGGGTAAAATAGGAGAAAATGGGAGAAAAACTGGGGGAAAAGGAGAAAACGGGGGAAGGGGCGAAAATGGAAGAAATAGGAGGAAAATTGGGGGAAAATGGGAGGAAAATGGGGTAAAATAGGAGAAAATGGGAGAAAAACTGGGGAAAAAGAAGAAAACTGGGGGGAAGGGGCGAAAATGGAAGAAATAGGAGGAAAATTGGGGGAAAATGGGAGGAAAATGGGGTAAAATAGGAGAAAATGGGAGAAAAACTGGGAAAAAAGCAGAAAACTGAGGGGAAGGGGCGAAAATGGAAGAAATAGGAGGAAAATTGGGGGAAATGGGGTAAAATAGGAGAAAATGGGAGAAAAACTGGGGAAAAAGGAGAAAACTGGGGGGAAGGGAGGGAAACGGAAGAAATAAGAGGAAAATTGGGGAAAATAGGAGAAAAATGAGAGGAAATGGAGAAAATACGAAAAAATGGAGGAAATGAGAGAAAAATGGGGGTGAAAACGGGACAGAAAAGGAATAAAATGGGAGGAAAATGGGGGACAGGAAAGGAGAGAAAAAAGGGGAAAATGGGAGAAAAATTGGAGAAAAAGGGGAGAAAGATGAGGGGGAAAAATGGGGGGGAAAAGGAGAAATTGATGCAAATTTGGGAACAGCTCACCCTGGGCGCCGGCGGCCCCGGTGCTCCAGGTGCCATATCCTGGGAAAAAGGAGAATCCGTCAGCAAGGAAGGGAAAATTCCCACTTTTCCGGAGCATAATCCCAAATTCCAGTCCCAATGCAAAATTCCAGCCCCAAATTCCAGTCTCGATCCCAAATCCCAGCCCCCAAATCCTAAATTCCAGCCCCAAAACCCAGCCCTGATCCCAAAATCCAGCCCAAATCCTAAATTCCAGCCCCAAAACCCAGCCCTGATCCCAAATCCTAGTCCCAAATTCCAGCCCTGATCCCAAAATCCAGCCCAAATCCTAAATTCCAGTCCTAATCCCAAACCCCAGCCCCAAAATCCAAAGTAAGCCTGGAAAAGAAGCCAAGCCTGGGATAAATAATCCCAAAAAAATCAGGGTTGGATTTGCCTTTTCCTGATCCCTTTATCCAGGCTGAGGAATCCGGGGGAAATTCCAGGGTGGATCATGAGGGGATCCAGGGGAATTTCCAGGGTGGATCATGAGGGGATCCAGGGGAATTTCCAGGGGGATCCTGAGGAATTTCCAGGGGCATTTCCAGGGGAATCCTGAGTAATTTCCAGGGGAATTTCCAGAGCGATCCAGGGGAAATCCTGAGGGGATCCAGGGGAATTTCCAGGGGAATCCTGAGGAATTTCAAGGGGGATTTCCAGGGGAATCCTGAGGAATTTCCAGGGGAAATCCTGAGGGGATCCAGGGGAATTTCCAGGGAGATCCTGAGGGGATCCAGGGTGGAGACCATGAGGGGGAATCCAAGGAAATTCCAGGGGGAATCCTGAGGGAGATCCGGGGGAGAATCCAGGAGGGAATTTCTAGGGGGAAACCTGAGGGAGATCTAGGGGAGATCCAAGGCGGGGACTCCAGGGGATCCCCCTGAGGAGAAGACAGGGATCCCCTCAGGAGGGGGACACGGGATCCCCTCAGGAGAGGGACACAGAACCCCCGAGGAAGGGGACATGGATCCCCCGGGTGCCGCCACAATTGGGACGGGCCAGGACGAGGGAAACTGAGGCACAGGCGGTCGGGACGGGCCAGGACGAGGGAAACTGAGGCACAGGCGGCGGGGGCGGGGCCGCGGCCGCCATTTTGTGTCGCCTTCAGAAATGGGCCCGGCGCCATTTCCGCCCCCCCCGGTCCCCCTCAGGGCATGACCCCTCCCACCACTCCCCAAGAGCCAATCAGCGCCGCCCTAGCGGTGACTGACGTGGCGCTCAGCCAATCAGCGGCGCCACCGCCTCACGGGGGGGCGGGCGCTCCGCTTCCCGCTGTGGCGGAGCCCTCTCCCCCCCCCGCCAGCACTCGCCGGTAACGGAACCGGTGCTGAGGCAGCCACGGGAAGGAGCCGCCGCCATCCCGGGTGAGCGGCAGCACCGCGGGGCCGCCCCTCCCGGCACTTACCGCCGTATCCCGGCTCCATCGCCGCCGCCGCCGCTTCACCGCCCGCCTCAGCCGCCTGCGCACGCGCGCCACCACCCGCCTCCCGTTTGGCCCCGCCCACGACACTCCTGATTGGTCGGTCTCTTCATCGGCGCGGTCCTCCCACAGCTCCCATTGGTCCCAATGGTTCCCGCCCATGATGTGATTGGTGGAGGCGCTTCCTCCCTGAGGGCACGGCCTGTCAATCACGGGCGTTCTGGCTGCTGATTGGGCGGCGCCGCGGGGCGCGCCGTTTGCCGGCGGGGAGGGGCCGCCATGGAGTCCCCGGGACCGGGAGCGGAGCGGCCCCGAAGCGAACCCGGAACGGGCCCGGACAGGCCCCGGAGCGGCCTAAAAATGGCCCCGGAGCGGCCCCACCCAGTGACAATGTCCCCAGGGCCTCACAGTGAGTGTCCCCGGCCCCTCAGTGACAGCGTCCCCAGATCCCCTCAGGGACTGCAAATGGCCCCAAATCCCCTCACAATGTCCGCAAATCCCATCAAAGTCCCCAAATCCCCTCACGGTGTCCCCACATCCCCTCACAATGTCCTCAAATTCCATCAGAATGTCCCCAAATCTCCTCAGGGTCTCCAAATTCTCTCAGGGACCCCAAATCCACTAAAAATGTCCCCAAATCCCCTCACGGATACCAAATCCCCACAAAATGTCCTAAAATCACCTCAGGGACCCCAAATCCACTAAAAATGTCCCCAAATCCCCTCACGGATCCCAAATCCCCACAAAATGTCCTAAAATCACCTCAGTGTCCCCAAATCCCCTCACAGGGACCCCAAATTCCACCAAAATGTCCCCAAATCCCCTCACAGGGACCCCGAATTCCATCAAAATGTCCCCAAATCCCCTCAGGGACCCCAAATCCCCTCAGGGACCCCAAATGCCCTCACAGGGTCCCCAGATTCCCTCAGGGACCCCAAATCCACTGAAAATATACCCAAATCCCCTCACAATATCCTCAAATTCCATCAAAAAGTCCCCAAATCTCCTCAGGGACCCCAAATCCACTGAAAATGTCCCCAAATCCCCTCAGGGATCCCAAATCCCCACAAAATGTCCTAAAATCACCTCAGTGTCCCCAAATCCCCTCACAGGGACCCCAAATTCCATCAAAATGTCCCCAAATCCACTCAGGGACCCCAAATCCCCACAAAATGTCCCCAAATCCCCTCAGGGATCCCAAATCCCCACAAAATGTCCTAAAATCACCTCAGTGTCCCCAAATCCCCTCACAGGGACCCCAAATTCCATCAAAATCTCCCCAAATCCCCTCAGGGACCCCAAATCCACTGAAAATGTCCCCAAATCCCCTCAGGGATCCCAAATCCACTGAAAATGTCCCCAAATCCCCTCAGGGATCCCAAATCCCCACAAAATGTCCTAAAATCACCTCAGTGTCCCCAAATCCCCTCACAGGGACCCCAAATTCCATCAAAATGTCCCCAAATCCCCTCAGAGACCCCAAATCCACTAAAAATGTCCCCAAATCCCCTCAGGGATCCCAAATCCCCACAAAATGTCCTAAAATCACCTCAGTGTCCCCAAATCCCCTCACAGGGACCCCAAATTCCATCAAAATGTCCCCAAATCCCCTCAGGGACCCCAAATCCACTGAAAATGTCCCCAAATCCCCTCAGGGATCCCAAATTCCATCAAAATGTCCTAAAATCACCTCAGTGTCCCCAAATCCCCTCACAGGGACCCCAAATTCCATCAAAATGTCCCCAAATCCCCTCAGGGACCCCAAATCCACTGAAAATGTCCCCAAATCCCCTCAGGGATCCCAAATCCACTGAAAATGTCCCCAAAATCCCACCAGGGAACCCAAATCCCCACAAAATGTCCTAAAATCGCCTCAGTGTCCCCAAATCCCCTCACAGGGACCCCGAATTCCATCAAAATGTCCCCAAATCTCCTCAGGGACCCCAAATGCACTCAAAATGTCCCCAAATCCCCTCAGGGATCCCAAATCCACTGAAAATGTCCCCAAATCCCCTCAGGGATCCCAAATCCCCACAAAATGTCCTAAAATCACCTCAGTGTCCCCAAATCCCCTCACAGGGACCCCAAATTCCATCAAAATGTCCCCAAATCCCCTCAGGGACCCAAAATCCACTGAAAATGTCCCCAAATCCCCTCAGGGATCCCAAATCCCCACAAAATGTCCTAAAATCACCTCAGTGTCCCCAAATCCCCTCACAGGGACCCCGAATTCCATCAAAATGTCCCCAAATCCCCTCAGAGACCCCAAATCCACTAAAAATGTCCCCAAATCCCCTCAGGGATCCCAAATCCCCACAAAATGTCCTAAAATCACCTCAGTGTCCCCAAATCCCCTCACAGGGACCCCAAATTCCATCAAAATGTCCCCAAATCCCCTCAGGGACCCAAAATCCACTGAAAATGTCCCCAAATCCCCTCAGGGATCCCAAATCCCCACAAAATGTCCTAAAATCACCTCAGTGTCCCCAAATCCCCTCACAGGGACCCCGAATTCCATCAAAATGTCCCCAAATCCCCTCAGAGACCCCAAATCCACTCAAAATGTCCCCAAAATCCCACCAGGGAACCCAAATCCCCACAAAATGTCCTAAAATCGCCTCAGTGTCCCCAAATCCCCTCACAGGGACCCCGAATTCCATCAAAATGTCCCCAAATCTCCTCAGGGACCCCAAAATCACCTCAGTGTCCCCAGATCTCCTCAAAATGTCCCCAAATCCTTCAGGGACCCCAAATGCCCTCACAGGGTCCCCAAATTCCCTCAGGGACCCCAAACCCACTGAAAATGTCCCCAAATCCCCTCACAATATCCTCAAATTCCTTCAAAAAGTCCCCAAATCCCCTCAGGGACCCCAAATCCACTGAAAATATACCCAAATCCCCTCAGGGATCCCAAATCCCCACAAAATGTCCTAAAATCACCTCAGTGTCCCCAAATCCCCTCACAATATCCTCAAATTCCTTCAAAAAGTCCCCAAATTCCCTCAGGGACCCAAAATCCCATCAGGGAACCCAAATCCATCAAAATGTCCCCAGATCTCCTCAGGGACCCCAAATCCACTCAAAATGTCCCCAAAATCCCCTCACAGCATCCCCAAATACCCTAAAAATGTCCAAAAATCCCATCAGGGACCCCAAATCCACTGAAAATGTCCCCAAATCCCCTCAGGGACCCCAAATGCCCTCACAGGGTCCCCAGATTCCCTCAGGGACCCCAAATCCACTGAAAATATACCCAAATCCCCTCACAATATCCTCAAATTCCATCAAAATGTCCCCAAATCTCCTCAGGGACCCCAAATCCACTCAAAATGTCCCCAAAATCCCACCAGGGAACCCAAATCCACTCAAAATGTCCCCAGATCTCCTCAGGGACCCCAAATCCACTTAAAATGTCTCCAAATCCCTTCAGGGACCCCAAATCCACTCAAAATGTCCCCAAATCCCCTCACAGCATCCCCAAATACCCTAAAAATGTCCACAAATCCCTTCAGGGACCCCAAATCCACTCAAAATGTCCTAAAATCACCTCAGTGTCCCCAAATCCCCTCACAGGGACCCCAAATTCCATCAAAATGTCCCCAAATCCCCTCAGGAACCCCAAAATCACCTCAGTGTCCCCAGATGTCCTCAAAATGTCCCCAAATCGCTTCAGGGACCCCAAATGCCCTCACAGGGTCCCCAAATTCCCTCAGGGACCCCAAACCCACTGAAAATGTCCCCAAATCCCCTCACAATATCCTCAAATTCCTTCAAAAAGTCCCCTAATTCCCTCAGGGACCCAAAATCCCATCAGGGAACCCAAATCCACTCAAAATGTCCCCAAAATCCCACCAGGGAACCCAAATCCACTCAAAATGTCCCCAGATCTCCTCAGGGACCCTAAATCCGCTCAAAATGTCCCCAAAATCCCTTCAGGGACCCCAAATCCACTCAAAATGTCCCCAAAATCCCCTCACAGCATCCCCAAATACCCTAAAAATGTCCACAAATCCCATCAGGAACCCCAAATCCACTGAAAATTACCTCAAATCCCATCAAAATGTCCCCAAATTCCCCCACAGGGACCCCAAATCTCCTTTTCCCACCCCTTTTCCCTCTTTTTCCCATAATTTTCCATCCCTTTCCCCATTTTCCCCATCCTTTTCCTGCCCCTTTCCCATCTTTTCTTCCCCATCCCCTTTTCCACCCTTTTTCCTAATCCTGGCAGGAATTTTCCCATCCCGGAAGGATTTTTTCCCTATCCCTGAAGGAATTTTCCCATTCCTGAAAGAATTTCCCCATTCGTGGTGAGAATTTCCCCATTTCTGAAGGAATTTTCCCATCCCAGAAGGAATTTCCCCATTCCTAAAAGATTTTCCCCCATTCCTGAAGGATTTTCTCCGATCCCTGAAGGAATTTTTCCCATTCCAGAAGGAATTTTCCTAATCCTGACAGGAATTTCCCCATTTCTGAAGGAATTTCCCCATTCCTGAAGGAATTTTCCCAATCCTGGTGGGAATTTCCTCATTCCTGAAGGAATTTTTCCCATTCCAGAAGGAATTTTCCTAATCCTGACAGGAATTTCCCCGTTCCTGAAGGAATTTTCCCTATTTTTGAAGGAGTTTTCCCATTCATGGTGAGAATTTCCCCATTTCTGAAGGAATTTCCCCATTCCTAAAAGATTTTCCCCCCATTCCTGAAGGATTTTCTCCGATCCCTGAAGGAATTTTTCCCATTCCAGAAGGAATTTTCCTAATCCCGACAGGAATTTCCCCATTCCTGAGGGATTTTTCCCCATTCCTGAAGGAATTTCCCCAATCCTGGTGGGAATTTCCTCATTCCTGAAGGAATTTTCCCCATTCCTGAAGGAATTTCCCCAATCCTGGTGGGAATTTCCCCAATCCTGGTGGGAATTTCCTCATTCCTGAAGGAATTTTTCCCATTCCTGAAGGAATTTTCGCAATCCTGAAGGATTTTCTCCCATTCCTGAAGGATTTTTTCCCACTACTGAAGAAATTCTCCCATTCCTGGTGGGAATTTTCCCAATCCTGGTGGGAATTTCCCCATTCCTGAAGGAATTTCCCAATTCCTGAAGGAATTTTTCCCATTCCTGAAGGAATTTCCCCATTCCTGGCAGGAATTTTCCCATTCCTGAAGGAATTTCCCCAATCCTGGTGGGAATTTCCCCATTCCTGGTGGGAATTTCCCCATTCCTGAAGGATTTTTTCCCCATTCCTGAAGGAATTTTCCCAATCCTGGCGGGAATTTTCCCATTCCTGAAGGAATTTTTTTCCCAATCCTGAAGGATTTTTTCCCACTCCAGCCCCACCTGGACCTCCCAACCCCCAATTCCCAAATCCCAAATCCCAAAATTTCCTCACTTTGGGCAGGAAAATCCCAATCAGCACCGAACAATCTCCCAAAAAAACACCCCCAAAAAACAGGAATTTGGGGCTTTCCTGAGGACGAAAGAGTCGGGAGAAGCTCGGGATGAGAGTCCTTTAAAATCCACAAAAACCTCGGGAATTTCTCCCGTTTCACAACGGACACAACGGCACCGAACGCTCCGAGAGGGGCGGGAAAAAACGACGGAAAAACGACGGAAAAACGACGGAAAAACCGGGAAAACGACGGGAAAACAACGGGAAAAGGGACCCACGGCCACAGGAAAACCTCGGGACAAATCCCAGCCCCGTTCCCGAGGGAAATCCGGGAGAAATTCCCAAAAATCCACGCCGGGAGCACGGCGAAAACGCTGGGAGGTGTGGTAGGAAAAATTCCCCAAAATTCCAGGGAATCCCTGCTTTTTTTCTGGGAATTCCCAAAAAAATCCAATGAAATTCCCCTTTTTTTCCCTAGGAATTCCCAAAATATCCAAGGAATTGCCCTTTTTTTCCTAGGAATTCCCAAAAAAATCCAAGGAATTGCCCTTTTTTATCTAGGAATTCCCAAAAAATCCAAGGAAATTCCCTTTTTTTCCTAGGAATTCCCAAAATATCCAAGGAATTGCCCTTTTTTATCTAGGAATTCCCAAAAAATCCAAGGAAATTCCCTTTTTTTCCTAGGAATTCCCAAAATATCCAAGGAATTGCCCTTTTTTTCCTAGGAATTCCCAAAAAAATCCAAGGAAATTCCCTTTTTTTCCTAGGAATTCCCAAAATATCCAAGGAATTGCCCTTTTTTATCTAGGAATTCCCAAAAAATCCAAGGAAATTCCCTTTTTTTCCTAGGAATTCCCCAAAAATCCAACAAAATTCCCTTTTATTCCTGGAATTCCCAAAACCCCAAGGAAATTCCTTCTTTTTCCAAGGAATTCTCAAAAAAATCCAAGGAAATCCCTTTTTTTTCCCTGGAATTTGCAAAAAATCCAGTGAATTTCCTCTTCTTTCAGGAATTCCCAAAAAAACAGACGGAATTCCTGCTTTTTTTTCTGGGAATTCCTCCAAAAAGTTCAATCGATTTTCTACTTTTTCTTGGGAAATCCCAAAAAAATCCAATGGAATTCCCAGTTACTCCCTGGAATTCCCAAAAAATTCAAGGAAACTAAAAAAAAAAAAAAAATTCCAAGGAAATTCCTTTTTTTCCCAAAAAACGTCCACAAATTCCCCTCTTTTACCCGAGAATTCCCAAAAAATCCAAGGAAATTCCCTTTTTTTCCTAGGAATTCCCCCCCCACCCAAAAAAAAAAAAATCCAACTGAATTCCCTTTTATTCCTGGGAATTCCCAAAAAATCCAAGGAAATTCCCTTTTTTCCCAGAAATTTAAAAAAAAAAACAAAAAAAAACTCCACAAAATTCCAGGCGGGCTGGCTGTGGAATTTTCCGGAATTCCTGGAATTTTGGGCAGGGGAATTCCCGGAATTCCTGAAATTCCTGGGATTTGGGGCAGCAGAATTCCCGGAATTTGGGGCAGGGGAATTCCCGGAATTTTGGGAATTCGTGGGATTTGGGGCTGGGGCACATCCAGGGACACGAATCCGACACATCCGGGAACGCTCCGGGTCCTTTTCCCGCCAGGAATTCACTCCCGGAACATTCCAGAACTTTCCAGGAACTTTCCAGAACTTTTCTTCTCTCCCGGAACATTCCAGAACTTTTTTGACATTCCGGAATTTTTCCGCTCCCGGAACGTTCCAGAACTTTTTCAACTCCCGAAACGTTCCGGAACTTTTTTCTCTCCCGGAACATTCCAGAACTTTTTTGACATTCCGGAATTTTTTCACTCCCGGAACGTTCCGGAAATTCCCTCTGGGTGCTGCTCCGGGAATTCCTCGGGATTTTGGGAATTTTCCCCAGGATTTTGGGAGTTTTCCTCGGGATTTTGGGAATTTTCCTCCTTTTCCGCCCCTGCTCCCCTTTCCCGCCCTTCGGCTGCCGCTCCTCCCTCGAGATTTTCCAGATTTTCCTCGGAATTTTCCTCGGGATTTTCCGGATTTTCCTCGGGATCCGCTGAATTTCTGGGATTTTCCTCAGGATTTTCGGGATTTTCCTCGAGATTTTGGGGATTTCCCGCGGGATTTTCAGGATTTTCCTCGGAATTTTGGGGTTTTTTCATGGGATTTTCCAGATTTTCTGTGGGATTTTGGAGATTTTCCGTGGGATTTTGGAGATTTTCCGTGGGATTTTCCAGATTTTTGGGGTTTTCTGTGGGATTTTCAGGATGTTCCTCTGGATTTGGAGGATTTTCCGTGGGATTTTCCAAATTTTGGGGGTTTTCCGTGTTTTCTGTGAGATTTTCTGGATTTTCCGCTGGATTTTGGGGATTTTCTGTGGGATTTTCCAGGTTTTCCGTGGGATTTTCTGGATTTTGGGGATTTTCCATAGGATTTTCCGTGTTTTCTGTGGGAATTTGGGGATTTTCCGTGGGATTTTCCTCCCCTGCTCCTTCCCCTTCCTCGTGCTCCTCCTTTTCCTCGGGATCATCCGTGAAGGGATTTTCCCCCTGGAAAAAAAGGGAAAAAAAATTCCCCAAACCCCTCAAAAATTCCCCAAAAAAATTCCACAAAACCTCCCAAAAATTCCCAAAAAATTCCCCAAACAAACCCCTGAAAATTCCCCAAAAATTCCCCAAAAATTCCCCAAAACCTTTTCCCAAATCCCTAAAATTCAAAAAAATTCCCCAAAATACCCTCAAAATTCCAACATTCCCAAAAATTCCCAAAAAATTCCCCAAAACCCCACAAAAATTCCCCAAAAAATTCCACAAAACCTCCCAAAAATTCCCAAAAAATTCCCCAAAAAAAGCCCTGAAAATTCCCCAAAAATTCCCAAAACCTTTTCCCAAATCCCTAAAATTCAAAAAAAAATTCCCCAAAATACCCTCAAAATTCCAAAACATTCCCAAAAATTCCCAAAAAATTCCCCAAAACCCCCAAAAAATTTCCTACACACTTCGAAAATTCCCCAAAAACCCCTGAAAACTCCCCAAAAGTTCTCCAAAACCCCCAAAAATCCCCCCAAAAAATCTCCCCAGATCCCCCAAAATCCTCTGGAAACATCTGAAAATTCCCAAAGACCCAAATATTCCCAAAAAAACCCCTGAAAGTTCCCTAAAATCCCTGAAAATTCCCAAAAAAATCCCAAAAACGCCCCCAAAACCTCCAAAAAATCCCCAAAAACCCCTGCAAAATCCTCCAAAAACCCCCAAAACCCCCCAAAAATTCCCCAAAAATCCCTCCAAAACTTCCCCCGAACCCCTGAAAATTCCCAAACATTCCTGAACATTCCCAAAAATTGCTGGAATTCCCAAAAAATTCCCAAAACTGCCCTGAAAACCTCCAAAAAATCCCAAAAACCCCCAAAAATTCCTCAGAATTCCCAAAACTTCCCAAATAGTCCCAAAAAACCTCTGAAAATTCCCTAAAACCCCTCAGAATTCCCAAAAAATTCCCAAAACCGCCCCCAAAAGCCCTGAAAATTCCAAAAAAATTCTCCAAAATGCCCCCAAAACCACCGAAAATTCCCAAATATTCCCAAAAAAACCTCCGAAAATCCCCCCAAAAGCCCTGAAAATTCACAAATATTCCCAAAAAACCTCCGAAAATCCCCCCAAAAGCCCTCCAAAACTTCCCCGTAACCCCTGAAAATTCCCAAACATTCCTGAACATTCCCAAAATTTGCTGGGATTCCCAAAAAATTCCCAAAACTGCCCTGAAAACCACCAAAAATTCCCAAAAAAACCCTGCAAAATCCTCCAAAAACCCCCAAAACCCCCAAAAATTCCCCAGAATTCCCCCCAAAATTCCCAGATAGTCCCAAAAAACCTCCGAAAATTCCCCAAAAGCCCTGAAAATTCAAAAAAAAATTCCCCAAAATCCCCCCAAAACCACCGAAAATTCCCAAATATTCCCAAAAAACCTCCGAAAATTCCCCAAAAATCCCTCCAAAACTTCTCCCGAACCCCTGAAAATTCCCAAACGTTCCCCAACATTCCCAAAAATTCCTGGAATTCCCCAAAAATTCCCAAAACTGCCCTGAAAACCTCCAAAAAATCCCAAAAACCCCCCGAAAATTCCCCAGAATTCCCAAAACTTCCCAAATATTCCCAAAAAACCTCCGAAAGTTCCCTAAAACCCCTCAGAATTCCCAAAAAATTCCGAAAACCGCCCCCGAAAGCCCTGAAAATTCAAAAAAAAATTCCCCAAAATCCCCCCAAAACCACTGAAAATTCCCAAATATTCCCAAAAAAAACTCTGAAAATCCCCCCAAAAGCCCTGAAAATTCCAAAACATTCCCAAAAAAAATCCTAAATCCCCTGCAAAACCCCCCAAACCCCTCAAAATTCCCAAAAAAATCCCAAACCCGTCCCCAAAACCTCCAAAAATCCCTCCAAAACTTCTCCCGAACCCCTGAAAATTCCCAAACGTTCCCCAACATTCCCAAAAATTCCTGGAATTCCCAAAAAATTCCCGAAAACTGCCCCCAAAAATTCCCCAGAATTCCCAAAACTTCCCAAATATTCCCCAAAAACCTCCGAAAATTCCCAAATATTCCCAAAAAAACTCCGAAAATCCCCCCAAAAGCCCTGAAAATTCCCAAATATTCCCAAAAAAACTCCGAGAATTCCCCAAAACCCCTGAAAATTCCAAAACATTCCCAAAAAAAATCCTAAATCCCCTGCAAAACCCCCCAAACCCCTCAAAATTCCCAAAAAAATCCCAAAACCGCCCCGAAAACCTCCAAAAAATCCCAAAAAACACCAAAAATTCCCCAGAATTCCCAAAACTTCCCAAATATTCCCAAAAAAACTCAGAAAGTTCCCTAAAACCCCTCAGAATTCCCAAAAAATTCCGAAAACCGCCCCCAAAACCACCGAAAATTCCCAAATATTCCCAAAAAACCTCCGAAAATTCCCCAAAAATCCCTCCAAAACTTCCCCCTAACCCCTGAAAATTCCCGAAAAATTCCCGAAAATTCCCGAAAACGCCCGGAATTCCCGAAAATCCCGGGATTTGGCACCTGCAGGAAGCGCTGGAGTTTGCTGCCGATGGTTTTGTTGTTGAGGATGCTCCGAGCCACCGCCAGCGACGCCCGCTTGGAATGCTCCAGCATGGCCTGGGAAAAGCGGGAATTCCCTGGGAATTCCGGGAATTCCGGGAATGCCGGGAATGCCAGGAGTTCTCCAGGGAAAACTCCTCAGAATTCTGGGGTTTTACTGGGAAAATTCGTCAGAATTTGGGATTTTCCAGGGAATTCTCCTGGTAATTTTGGGAATTTCCTGGGAAAACTCCTCAGAATTCCAGGAATTCTCAAGGGAAAACTCCTCAGAATTCTGAGATTTTCCTGGGAATTCTCCTGGGAAAACTCTTTAGAATTCCAGGAATTCTCTTGGGAAAACTCCTGGGAAAACTCCTCAGAATTCCAGGAATTCTCCTGGGAAAACTCCTGGGAAAACTCCTCAGAATTCTGGGAATTCTCCTGGGAAAACTCCTCAGAATTCTGGGAATTCTCCTGGGAAAACTCCTCAGAATTCCAGGAATTCTCCTGGGAAAACTCCTGGGAATTCTTCAGGGAATTTTTCAGATAATTTTCCTGGGAATTACAGGGGATTTTCCAGGGAAATCTCCAGGGAATTTTCCTGGGAATTCTGGAATTTTCCTGGGAATTCTCCTGGGAATTTTCCTGGGATTTTTCCTGAGAATTCTAAGGAATTTTCTGGGAAATTCCTGGGAATTACAGGGGATTTTCCAGGGAAATCTCCAGGGAATTTCTCTGGGAATTCTCCTTGGAATTTTCCTAGAAATCTCCTGGGAATATTTCTGGGAATTCTGGAATTTTCCTGGGAATTCTCTTGGGAATTATTCTGGGAATTTTCCAGGGAATTTTTCAGGGAAATCCCTAGGGAATTCTCCTGGGAATTTTCCATGGAATTCCAGGGAATTTTCCTGAAAATTATCCTGGGAATTCCAGGGAATTCTCCTGGGCAGATCCCCTCAGAATTCCCAGGATGTGGGTGGATCCCCTCAGGAATCCCGGGATTTTGGATGGATCCCACCAGAATTCCCGGGATTTGGGGCAGATCCCAACAGAATTCCTGGGGTTCGGGCAGGATTCCCGGGATTTTGGGGCTCACCCGGTGGAATTCCCGGGATTTGGGATGGATCCCAGCAGAATTCCGGGATTTTGGGGCTCACCCGGCGGGGTTCCCAGGATTTGGGCGATTCCCATTTGGATTCCCGGGATCTGGGGCAGATCCCATCAGAATTTCCAGGATTTGGGTGGGATTCCCGGGATTTGGGGCAGATCCCATCAGGATTCCCGGGATTCGTGCGGGATTCCTGCGGGATTCCTGGGATTTGGGATGGATCCCAGCGGAATTCCCGGGATTTGGGTGGGATTCCCTGGATTTGGGGCAGATCCCATCAGAATTCCCGGGATTTGGGATGGATCGCAGCAGAATTCCCGGGCTTTGGTGCAGATCCCATGAGAATTCCCGGGATCCGTGCAGAATTCCCGGGATTCGGGATGGATCCCAGCAGAATTCCCGGGATTCGGGTGGAATTCCCCGGATTTGGGTCAGATCCCATCAGAATTCCCGGGATTTGGGTCAGATCCGATGAGAATTCCCAGGATTGGGGCGGGATTCCCGGGATTTGGGGCAGATCCCATCGGAATTCCCGGGATTTGGGCAGAATTCCCGGGATTTGGGGCAGATCCCTTTAGAATTCCCGGGATTTGGGTCGGACCCCATCAGAATTCCCGGGATTTGGGTCAGATCCCATCAGAATTCCTGGGATTCGTGCGGGATTCCCTGGATCTGGGGCAGATCCCATCAGAACTTCCAGGATTTGGGTGGGATTCCCGGGATTCGGGCAGATCCCCTCGGAATTCCCGGGATTTGGGGCAGATCCCCTCAGAATTCCCGGGATTCGGGCAGAATTCCCGGGCTTTGGGGCAGATCCCATCAGAATTCCCGGGATTTGGGTCAGATCCCCTCAGAATTCCCGGGATTCGTGGCAGATCCCCTCAGAATTCCCGGGATTTGGGTCAGATCCCATCAGAATTCCCGGGCTTTGGGGCAGATCCCATCAGAATTCCCAGGATTTGGGTCAGATCCCATCAGAATTTCTGGGATTTGGGTGGGATTCCGGGGATTTGGGGCAGATCCCAGTAGAATTCCCGGGATTCGGGCAGAATTCCCGGGATTTGGGGCAGATCCCATGAGAATTCCCGGGCTTTGGGGCAGATCCCTTTAGAATTCCCAGGATTCGTGCGGGATTCCGGGGATTTGGGGCAGATCCCTTTAGAATTCCCGGGATTTGTGTCAGATCCCCTCGGAATTCCCGGGATTTGGGGCAGAATTCCCGGGATTTGGGGCAGAATTCCCGGGATTTGGGGCAGATCCCATGGGAATTCCCGGGATTCGGGCAGAATTCCCGGGATTTTGGGCTCACCCGGCGGTTGTGGTTGTGCTCCGGGGCCCGGAGGTGCCGCTGGATGGATCCGAAATGCATCGGGAGCAGCAGGTCACAGGCGGAGCAGTGAGCGGCCTCCACCTTCCGCACGAACTGATCCAGGCCCAGATCTGGGAAATCGGGAATGGGATCGGGATCAGGGATCAGGGATTGGGATCTGGGATCGGGAATGGGATCGGGAATGGGATCGGGAATGGGATCAGGAATGGGATCGGGAACGGGATCGGGATCAGGGATTGGGAATGGGATCGGGAATGGGATCGGGATCAGGGATTGGGAATGGGATCGGGAATGGGATCGGGATCAGGGATTGGGATCGGGAATGGGATCGGGAATGGGATCAGGAATGGGATCGGGAATGGGATCAGCAGGTCACAGGCGGAGCAGTGAGCGGCCTCCACCTTCCGCACGAACTGATCCAGGCCCAGCTCTGGGAAATCGGGAATTTGGGATCGGGATCAGGGATCAGGGATTGGGATCGGGATCAGGGATCGGGAATGGGATTGGGAATGGGATCGGGAATGGGATCAGTTTTGGGATTGGGAATGGGACCAGGAATGGGATCAGGAAAGGGATCAGGGATGAGATCAGGGATTGGAATCAGGGATTAGGATCAGGAATGGGATCGGGAATGGGATCAGGAATGAAAGCAGGAATGGGATCAAGAATGGGATCAGGAATGGGATTGGGAACAGGGATCTGGGAATGGGATCAGGGATTGGGATCGGGGATGGGATCAGGGATTGGGATCAGGATCAGGAATGGGATCAGGAAACAGGATCAGGAATTGGAATCAGGGACTGGGAGCAGGAATAGGATCGGGATTGGGATCAGGATTGGGAACAGGGATCCGATCTGGGAATGGGATCGGGAATGGGATCAGGGATGAGATCAGGGATTGGGATCAGGAATGGGATCAGGAATGGGATCGGGAATGGGATCGGGAATGGGATCGGGAATGGGATCGGGAATGGGAGCAGCAGGTCACAGGCGGAGCAGTGAGCGGCCTCCACCTTCCGGACAAACTGATCCAGGGCCAGCTCTGGGAAATCGGGAATTTGGGATCAGGTTTGGGATCGGGATCAGGGATCTGGGATCGGGAATGGGATCGGGAATGGGATCGGGAATGGGATCGGGAATGGGAGCAGCAGGTCACAGGCGGAGCAGTGAGCGGCCTCCACCTTCCGCACGAACTGATCCAGGCCCAGCTCTGGGAAATCGGGAATTTGGGATCGGGATCAGGGATCTGGGATCGGGAATGGGATCGGGAATGGGATCGGGAATGGGATCGGGAATGGGATCAGCAGGTCACAGGCGGAGCAGTGAGCGGCCTCCACCTTCCGCACGAACTGATCCAGGGCCAGGTCTGGGAAATCGGGAATGGGATCGGGATCAGGGATCTGGGATCGGGAATGGGATCGGGAATGAGATCGGGAATGGGATCGGGAATGGGATCAGGGATCGGGAATGGGAGCAGGAATGGGATCAGGAATGAAATCAGGAACGGGATCAGGTTTGGGATCAGGGATGAGATCAGGAAAGGGATCAGGGATGAGATCAGGGATTGGGATCAGGAATGGGATCAAGAATGGGATCGGGATTGGGAGCAGGGATCATGAATGGGGATCAGGGATTGGGATTGGGATCGGGAATGGGAGCAAGAAGGAATGGGATCGGGAATGGGATCAGGAATGGGATCGGGGATGGGATCAGGAATGGGATCGGGGATGGGATCAGGGATTGGGATCAGGGACTGGGAGCAGGAATAGGATCGGGAATGGGATCAGGAATGGGATCAGGGATCAGGATCAGGAATGGGATCAGGTTTGGGAACAGAGATCCGATCTGGGAATGGGATCAGGAGTGGGATCAGGTATTTGGATCAGGAATGGGATCGGGAATGGGATTGGGAATGGGATGAGGAAACGGGATCAGGGATTGGAATCAGGGACTGGGAATGGGATCGGGAATGGGATCACAACTGGGATCAGGAATGGGATCAGGAAACAGGATCATGGATTGGGAGCAGGAATGGGATCGGGAATGAAATCAGGAATGGGATCGGGAATGGGATTGGGAACAGGGATCTGGGAATGGGATCAGGGATTGGGATCAGGGATTGGGATCACGACTGGGATCAGGAATGGGATCGGGAATGGGATCAGGAATGGGATCAGGAATCAGGATCGGGATCAGGATCGGGACCAGGAATGTCCTATCCCTCCGGGACGTTCCCGAGCCATTCCCGGGGTTCCCGGGAATTCGGGGTACCCTGGGTCAGGTCCTGCTCCCGCTGGATCTGCTGGATCACGGCGTTGATGTCCCGGATCCCGCGGCGCCGCTCCTCCGTCTTCCGCGTCTTGTTGGCCACGTATTCCTGCGGGAATTCCATGGGATCAGCTTCCCAAAAATCCCCGGGATCGGCTTCCCAAAAATCCCTGGGATCAGCTTCCCAAAAATCCCCAATTCCTCCTGCAGGAATTCCATGGGATCAGCTTCCCAAAAACCCCTGGGATCAGCTTCCCAAAAATCCCTGGGATCAGCTTCCCAAAAATCCCCAACACACCCTGGAATCATCCCAAAAATCCCCAATTTCCCTGCAGGGAATTCCATGGGATCAGCTTCCCAAAAATCCCTGGGATCGGCTTCCCAAAAATCCCCGGGAATGGCTTCCCAAAAATCCCTGGGATCGGCTTCCCAAAAATCCCCGGGAATGGACCTGGAGAATCCCCAATTTCCCAATTCCCCCTGCAGGGAATTCCATGGGATCAGAATCCCAAAAATCCCCAACCCACCCTGGAATTATCCCAAAAATCCCCAATTCTCCTGAATTGATGAAGATGAAGATGAAGATGAAGATGAAGATGAGGATGAAGATGAGGATGAGGAGGATGAGGAGGCTGAGGCCGAAGGCACCTGCAGGAACTGGGCCAGCTGCTGGGGCAGCACGAACTGGAAATGGGAAATGGGAGAGGGAAAGCAGGAACAGGAGAGGAGGAAGATGAAGATGAAGATGAAGATGAAGATGAAGATGAAGATGATGAAGATGAGAATGAGGAGGATGAGGATGAAGATGAGGATGAGGATGATGAAGGCACCTGCAGGAACTGGGCCGTGTGGGGCGGCAGCCGTGCGCCCACGAACTGGAAATGGGAAATGGGAGAGGGAAAGCAGGAACAGGAGAGGAAGAGGAGGAAGATGAAGATGAAGATGAAGATGAAGATGAAGATGAAGATGAAGATGAAGATGAGGATGATGAGGATGAAGATGAGGATGATGAAGGCACCTGCAGGAACTGGGCCGTGTGGGGCGGCAGCCGCGCTCCCACGAACTGGAAATGGGAAATGGGAGAGGAAAAGCAGGAACAGGAGAGGAGGAACAGGAGGAGGATGAAGATGAGGATGAAGATGAGGAGGATGATGAAGATGAGGATGATGAAGAGGATGAGGATGATGAAGGCACCTGCAGGAACTGGGTTGTGTGGGGGGGCAGCACGAACTGGAAATGGGAAATGGGAGAGGAAAAGCAGGAACAGGAGAGGAGGAAGAGGAGGATGAAGATGAGGAGGATGAAGATGAGGATGATGAAGATGAAGATGAAGATGAGGATGAAGATGAGGAGGATGAGGAGGATGAGGCCGAAGGCACCTGGAGGAACTGTGCCGTGTGGGGCGGCAGCCGCGCGCCCACGAACTGGAAATGGGAAATGGGAGAGGGAAAGCAGGAACAGGAGAGGAGGAAGAGGAGGATGAGGATGAAGATGAGGATGAAGATGAAGATGAGGAGGATGATGAGGATGAGGATGATGAAGGCACCTGCAGGAACTGGGTCGTCTGCGGGGGCAGCACGAACTGGAAATGGGAAATGGGAGAGGGAAAGCAGGAACAGGAGAGGAGGAAGAGGAGGATGATGAAGATGAGGAGGATGATGAAGATGAGGAGGATGATGAAGATGATGAAGATGAGGATGAGGAGGATGAGGCCGAAGGCACCTGCAGGAACTGGGTCATCTGCTGGGGCAGCACGAACTGGAAATGGAAAATGGGAGAGGAAAAGCAGGAACAGGAGAGGAGGAAGAGGAGGATGAAGAGGATGATGAAGATGAAGATGAAGATGAGGATGAGGCTGAAGGCACCTGGAGGAACTGTGCTGTCTGCGGGGGCAGCCGCGCTCCCACGAACTGGAAATGGGAAATGGGAGAGGAAAAGCAGGAACAGGAGAGGAGGAAGAGGAGGAGGATGAAGATGAAGATGATGAAGATGAGGATGAAGATGAAGATGAAGATGAGGATGAAGATGATGATGAGGATGAGGAGGATGAGGCTGAAGGCACCTGCAGGAACTGGGCTGTCTGCGGGGGCAGCTGCGCGCCCACGAACTGGAAATGGGAAATGGGAGAGGAAAGGCAGGAAAAGGGAAGAGGAAAAGCAGGAACAGGAGAGGAGGAAGAGGATGAAGATGAAGATGAAGATGAAGATGAAGATGAAGATGAGGAGGATGATGAAGATGAGGAGGATGAAGATGAGGATGAGGATGATGAAGGCACCTGCAGGAACTGGGCTGTCTGCGGGGGCAGCCGCGCTCCCACGAACTGGAAATGGGAAATGGGAGAGGGAAAGCAGGAACAGGAGATGATGAGGAGGAGGATGAGGATGAAGATGAAGATGAAGATGAAGATGAAGATGAAGATGAGGATGAAGATGAGGATGAAGATGAGGATGAGGATGAAGATGAGGAGGCCGAAGGCACCTGCAGGAACTGGGCCGTGTGGGGCGGCAGCCGCGCTCCCACGAACTGGAAATAGGAAATGGGAGAGGGAAAGCAGGAACAGGAGAGGAGGAAGAGGAGGATGAGGATGAAGATGATGAAGATGAAGATGAAGATGAGGATGAAGATGAGGAGGATGAGGAGGATGAGGCCGAAGGCACCTGGAGGAACTGTGCCGTGTGGGGCGGCAGCCGCGCGCCCACGAACTGGAAATGGGAAATGGGAGAGGAAAAGCAGGAAAAGGAGAGGAGGAAGAGGAGGAGGATGAAGATGATGAAGAGGAGGAAGATGAGGAGGATGATGATGAGGATGATGAGGAGGATGAAGAAGATGAAGGCACCTGCAGGAACTGTGCCGTCTGCGGGGGCAGCCGCGCTCCCACGAACTGGAAATGCTCCCGGTGGAATTTGCTCTCCAGGTGCTGCCGGATCTCGTCCTCGAAGAACGTCCGGAACTTGCACAGGGAGCAGACGAACTGGATCCTGGAAAATAAACACCGGGATAGCGGGAATAACGGCGGGAATAACGGGAATAACGGGAATAACGGGAATAACGCGGGAATGACGGGAATAACGGGAACGGCGGGAATAACGGGAATGGCGGGAATGGCGGGAATAACGGCGGGAATAACGGCGGGAATAACGGGAACGGCGGGAATGGGAAACGCGGGAACGGCGGGAATGGGAAACGTGGGAAACATGGGAATGGGAAACACGGGAATAAATGGGAATGGGAAACACGGGAATAAATGGGAATGGGAAACGTGGGAATAACGGGAATGGTGGGAATGATGGGAATGGGAAACACGGGAATAAATGGGAATAACAGGAATGGGAAACACGGGAATAATGGGAATGGGAAACACGGGAATAAATGGGAATGGGAAACGGGGGAAACACGGGAATAAATGGGAATAATGGGAATGGGAAACGTGGGAATAAATGGGAATAATAGGAATGGGAAACACGGGAATAAATGGGAATAATGGGAATGGGAAACACGGGAATAAATGGGAATAATAGGAATGGGAAACACGGGAATAACGGGAATAACGGGAATGGCGGGAATAACGCGGGAATGGCGGGAATGGGAAACGCGGGAACGGCGGGAATGGGAAACGCAGGAAACACGGGAATAAATGGGAATGGGAAACGCGGGAATAAATGGGAATAATGGGAATGGGAAACACGGGAATAACGGGAATGACGGGAATGGTGGGAATGGGAATAACGGGAATGTGAAACACGAGAAACACGGGAATAAATGGGAATAATGGGAATGATGGGAATGGGAAACACGGGAATAAATGGGAATGGGAAACACGGGAATAATGGGAATAACGGGAATAATGGGAATGATGGGAATGGGAAACATGGGAATAACGGAATGGGAATAATGGGAATAGTGGGAATAATGGGAACAATGGGAGTGGGAAACACGGGAATAACGGGAATAACGGGAATAATGGGAAAAATGGAAAAAATGGGAAAAATGGGAATGGGGAAATGGGAAAAATGGGAAACAAAGGAATGGTGGGAAAAATAGGAATGGTGGGAATAACGGGAAACACGGGAATAACGGGAATGACAAACATGGGAAAAATCTCTGAAAATTGGGGAGAAATTCCTAAAGAGAGCAAGAATCCCTAAAAAAGTGAAAAAGATCCCTAAAAAAGTGGGAACAATCCCTAAAAAAGAATAAAACTCCATTAAAAGAGCGAAAAATCTCTAAAAAAAGGGGGAAAATCCCAAAGAGGAAAAATCCATTAAAAAAGGGAAAGAATCTCGAAAAATGTTGAAAAAAAATCCCAAAAAAAAAGAGGAAAAATCCATAAAAAAAGGAGGAAAAATCCATTAAAAAAAGAGGAAAAGTCCATTAAAAAAAGGGAAAAAAATCTCTAAAAAAGTGGGGAAAAAATCCCTAAAAGAGTGGGAAAAATCCCTAAAAAAAGAGGAAAAAATCCATTTTAAAAAGGAAAAAAGTCTTTGAAAATGTGGAAAAAAATCTCAAAAAAAAGGGGAAAAATCCATTTTAAAAAGGAAAAAAATCTTTAAAAATGTGGAAAAAAATCTCAAAAAAAAGGGGAAAAATTCATTTTAAAATGGAAAATCTCTAAAAAATGGGAAATATTCCCAAAAAAAGGGAAATATTCCCAAAAAAGGGGGAAATTCCCGGAATCCCGGGGTACCTCTCCACCATCCGGTCCCGGTGCCGCTTCTTCTGCCGTTCCTGGGATTTCCTCCCGGCCGGGAGCCGCTGGGAAATCTGGGAATTCTCCTCGGGATGGCCCAGGGCGCCTGGAAAACGGGAATTCCGGGAATTCCGGGAATTCCGGGAAGCTCGGAGGGAATCCAGCCCCAAATCCCAGAAAATCCAACCTAAAATCCCAAAAATCGGCCCAAAATCCCAGAAAATCCAACCTAAAATCCCAAAAAATCAGCCCAAAATCCCAGGAAATCCAACCTAAAATCCCAAAAAATCGGCCCAAAATCCAAGAAAATCCAACCTAAAATCCAAAAAAATCGGCCCAAAATCCCAGAAAATCCAACCTAAAATCCCCAAAAAATCGGCTCAAAATCCCAGAAAATCCAACCTAAAATCCCAAAAAATCGGCCCAAAATCCCAGAAAATCCAACCTAAAATCCCAAAAAATCGGCCCAAAATCCCAGAAAATCCAACCTAAAATCCCAAAAAATCGGCCCAAAATCCCAGAAAATCCAACCTAAAATCCCCAAAAAATCGGCCCAAAATCCCAGAAAATCCAACCTAAAATCCCAAAAAATCGGCCCAAAATCCCAGAAAATCCAACCCAGAAATCCAACCTAAAATCCCAAAAAATCAGCCCAAAATCCCAGGGAATTCAAAATCCCAAGAAATCCAGAATCCAAAAAAAATCAGCCCAAAATCCCAAAAACCGACCCAAAATCTCAGGGAATCCAAGGAAAATACGAGGGAATCCAGCCCAAAATCCCAGAAAATCCAAAATCCCAGGAAATCAGCCCAAAATCGCAGGGAATCCAAGGAAATTCCCAGGGAATCCAAAATCGCAGGAAATCCAACCCAAAAATCCCAAAAAATCAACCCAAAATCCCAGGGAATCAAAAATCCCAAGAAACCAATAAAAAATCCCGGGAAATCAGCCCAATATCCCAGGAAATCCAAAATTCCAGGAAATCCAACCCAAAATCCAAAGAAATCGGCCCAAAATCCCAGAAAATCCAGCCCGGAATCCCAGGAAATAGAAAATCCCAGGAAATCAATCCAAAAATCCCAGGAAATCCAAGGAAAATCCCAAAAAAATCAGCCCCAAATCCTCCCCTGATCCCAAATTCCTGGAATTCCCTCCCCAAATTCCTGGAATTTCCTGGAATTCCCGACTCACCTTTCTCGGAATCTCTTCCCTCTTCGTCCTCCCCTTCCTGAAAACCCAAAAATTCGGGAATTTCAAACCCCCCTGGAATGAAATCCCGGGAATTTTTTCTCCCTCAGGAAATTTCCCTTGGATTTGGGAATCCCCAAATTTTGGGGGATTTTTTCCCAAAGAAATCCCTCAGGGATGGGAATTCCATTGGAGAGGTTGAAATTCCCTGGAATTCCCAAATTTCCTGTGAAAAATTCCAATTCCAGCCCTTCCCCCACGTGCAAAATCCTCCTGGAATTCCACCAAAATTCCGGAATTTCCCACCCCCAGATCCCCAAATCCTGGAATTTCCTTCCCCCAAATCCCAAAATCCAGGAATTTCCCTCCCCCAGATCCCAAAATTCTGGAATTTCCCTCCCCCAGATCCCAAAATTCTGGAATTTCCCTCCCCCAGATCCCAAAATTCCAGAAATTTCCTTTCCCAAAATCCCAAAATTCCCAAATTTCCCCCACTCACCCCTCTGGATTCCTCCTTTTCTCCGGATTCTCCCTCCGTGCCTTCCTCTGGAACCAACAAAACCCCAAAAATTTGGGAATTTGGGATAAATCCCGGGAATTTTAACCTGGAAATCCAAAATTCAACCCCAAAAATTGGGAATTCGGGAGAAAATTCCGGGATTTTCCTGAGCTGGAATTCCAGGATTCAGCCCCAAAAATTTGGGAATTTGGGATAAATCCTGAGATTTTTTAACCTGGAAATCCAAAATTCAGCCCCAAAAATTGGGAATTTTGGGTCAATCCAGGAATTTTTTGTAGTTGAAATCCAGGATTCGCCCCCAAACTGTGGAATTTGGGGTCAATCCCAGGATTTTTGAACAGGAATTTTGGAATTCGGCCCCAGAAATTGGGAATTTGGGTAAATCCTGGGATTTTTAACCAAAATTCATCCCAATAAATGCGGAATTTGGGGTAAATCCCGGGATTTTTGAACAGGAATTCCGGAACTCATCCCCAGAAATTGGGAATTTGGGTGATTCCTGGGATTTTAACCCAGAACTCATCCCAAAAAATGGGGAATTTGGGGTAAATCCCGGGATTTTTGAACAGGAATTCCAGAACTCATCCCCAGAAATTGGGAATTTGGGTAATTCCTGGGATTTTAACCCGGAACTCATCCCAAAAAATTGGGAATTTGGGTGATTCCTGGGATTTTAACCCGGAACTCATCCCAAAAAATGCGGAATTTGGGGTAAATCCCAGGATTTCTTAACAGGAATTCCGGAACTCATCCCAAAAAATGCGGAATTTGGGTAATTCCTGGGATTTTTAAACCAGAATTCAGCCCAATAAATGTGGAATTTGGGGTAAATCCCGGGATTTTTGAACAGGAATTCCGGAACTCATCCCCAGAAATTGGGAATTTAGGTAATTCCTGGGATTTTAACCCGGAACCCATCCCGAAAAAGGCGGAATTTGGGTAATTCCTGGGATTTTAACCCGGAACTCATCCCGAAAAACGCGGAATTTGGGTGATTCCAGGGATTTTAACCCGGAACTCATCCCGAAAAAGGCGGAATTTGGGTAATTCCTGGGATTTTAACCCGGAACTCATCCCGAAAAACGCGGAATTTGGGTGATTCCAGGGATTTTAACCCGGAACTCATCCCGAAAAACGCGGAATTTGGGGTAAATCCCAGGATTTTTGAACAGGAATTCCGGAACTCATCCCAAAAAATGCGGAATTTGGGGTAAATCCCAGGATTTTGTAACAGGAATTCCGGAACTCATCCCAAAAAATGCAGAATTTGGGTAATTCCTGGGATTTTAAACCAGAACTCATCCCAATAAATGTGGAATTTGGGGTAAATCCCAGGATTTTGTAACAGGAATTCTGGAACTCATCCCCAGAAATTGGGAATTTGGGTAAATCCTGGGATTTTAACCCGGAACTCATCCCGAAAAATGCGGATTTTGGGTAATTCCTGGGATTTTTAACCAAAATTCATCCCAATAAATGTGGAATTTGGGGTAAATCCCAGGATTTTTTAACAGGAATTCCGGAAATCATCCCCAGAAATTGGGAATTTGGGTGATTCCTGGGATTTTAACCCAGAACTCATCCCGAAAAACGCGGAATTTGGGTAAATCCTGGGATTTTAACCCAGAATTCATCCCAAAAAATGCGGAATTTGGGGTAAATCCCGGGATTTTTGAACAGGAATTCCGGAACTCATCCCAATAAATGTGGAATTTGGGATAAATCCCGGGATTTTAACCCGGAACTCATCCCAAAAAAATGCGGAATTTGGGGTAAATCCCGGGATTTTTAAACAGGAATTCCAGAACTCATCCCAATAAATGTGGAATTTGGGTAAATCCTGGGATTTTAACCCGGAACTCATCCCGAAAAACGCGGAATTTGGGTGATTCCTGGGATTTTGACCCGGAACCCATCCCGAAAAATGCGGAATTTGGGTAATTCCTGACCGTTGTCGGAGCTGGAGTTGTCGGAGCCGTTCTCGTTCCGTTCCTCGCTCGGCTGCTGCCGCCGCCGGCCCGAACCCTCCCGGCGCGGCCGCTTCCGCTGCGGCTGCGGGAAAACCGGGAAAAATCGGGAAAATTGGGGGAAATGGAGAGAAAATCGGGAAAATTGGGGGAAATGGAGAGAAAATCGGGAGAAAATTGGGAGAAAATTGGGAAAATTGGAGGAAATGGAGAGAAAATCGGGAAAAGATTGGGAAAATTGGAGGAAATGGAGAGAAAATCGGGAAAAGATTGGGAAATTTGGGGGACATGGAGAGAAAACCGGGAGAAAATTGGGGAAAAATGGGGGACATGGAGAGAAAATCGGGAGAAAATTGGGAAAATTGGGGGAAATGGAGAGAAAATCGGGAGAAAATTGGGGAAAATTGGGAAAATTGGGGGAAAGGGAGAGAAAATCGGGAGAAAATTGGGAAAATTGGGGGAAATGGAGAGAAAATCGGGACAAAATTGGGAGAAAATTGGGAAAATTGGGGGAAATTGAGAGAAAATTGGGAGAAAATTGGGAGAAAATTGGGAGAAAATTGGGAAAATTGGGGGAAATGGAGAGAAAATCGGGAGAAAATTGGGAGAAAATTGGGGGAAATGGAGAGAAAATCGGGAGAAAATTGGGAGAAAATTGGGAAAATTGGGGGAAATGGAGAGAAAATCGGGAGAAAATTGGGGAAAATGGGGGAAAACTGAGAGAAAATCGGGAGAAAATTGGGAAAATTGGGGGAAATGGAGAGAAAATCAGGAAAAATCGGGAGAAAATTGGGGGAAATGGAGAGAAAATCGGGAGAAAATTGGGGGAAATGGAGAGAAAATCGGGAAATGATTGGGAGAAAATTGGGAAAATTGGGGGAAATGGAGAGAAAATCCGGAGAAAATTGAGAGAAAATCGGGAGAAAATTGGGGAAAAATGGGAAAATTGGGGGAAATGGAGAGAAAATCGGGAGAAAATTGGGAAAATTGGGGGAAATGGAGAGAAAATCGGGAGAAAATTGGGAAAATTGGGGGAAATGGAGAGAAAATCGGGAGAAAATTGGGGAAAAATGGGGGAAATGGAGAGAAAATCGGGAGAAAATTGGGAGAAAATTGGGAAAATTGGGGGAAATGGAGAGAAAATCAGGAGAAAACTGGGAGAAAATTGGGAAAATTGGGGGAAATGGAGAGAAAATCGGGGAAAATTGGGAGAAAATTGGGAAAATTGGGGGAAATGGAGAGAAATTCGGGAGAAAATTGGGAAAATTGGGGGAAATAGAGAGAAAATCGGGAGAAAATTGGGGGAAATGGAGAGAAAATTGGGAAAATTGGGGGAAATGGAGAGAAAATCGGGAGAAAACTGGGAGAAAATTGGGAAAATTGGGGGAAATGGAGAGAAAATCGGGAGAAAATTGGGAGAAAATTGGGAAAATTGGGGGAAATGGAGAGAAAACTGGCAAAATTGGGGAAAATTGGGGGAAATGGAGAGAAAATCGGGAGAAAATTGGGAGAAAATTGGGAAAATTGGGGGACATGGAGAGAAAACCGGGAGAAAATCGGGAGAAAATTGGGGGAAATGGAGAGAAAATCGGGAGAAAATCGGGATAAAATTGGTGGAAATGGAGAGAAAATTGGGAGAAAATTGGGGAAAAATGGGAAAATTGGGGGAAATGGAGAGAAAGTCGGGAGAAAATTGGGAAAATTGGGGGAAATGGAGAGAAAATCCGGAGAAAATTGGGGAAATTGGGAATGGAGAGAAAATCGGGAGAAAATTGGGAAAATTGGGGGAAATGGAGAGAAAATCGGGAGAAAATTGGGAGAAAATTGGGAAAATTGGGGGAAATGGAGAGAAAATCAGGAGAAAATTGGGAGAAAATTGGGAAAATTGGGGGAAATGGAGAGAAAATCGGAAGAAAATTGGGGAAAAATGGGGGAAATGGAGAGAAAATCGGGAGAAAATTGGGAAAATTGGGGGAAATGGAGAGAAAATCGGGAGAAAATTGTTAAAATTGGGGGAAATGGAGAGAAAATCGGGAGAAAATTGGGAAAATTGGGAAAATTGGGGGAAATGGAGAGAAAATCGGGAGAAAATTGGGAGAAAATTGGGGGAAATGGAGAGAAAATCGGGAGAAAATTGGGGAAAAATGGGAAAATTGGGGGAAATGGAGAGAAAATCGGGAGAAAATTGGGGAAATGGAGAGAAAATCGGGAGAAAATTGGGAAAATTGGGGGAAATGGAGAGAAAATCGGGAGAAAATTGGGAGAAAATTGGGAAAATTGGGGGAAATGGAGAGAAAATCGGGAGAAAATTGGGAAAATTGGGGGAAATGGAGAGAAAATCGGGAAAAGATTGGGAAAATTGGGGGAAATTGAGAGAAAATCGGGAGAAAATTGGGGGAAATGGAGAGAAAATCGGGAGAAAATTGGGAAAATTGGGGGAAATGGGGGAAATTGAGAGAAAATCGGGAGAAAATTGGGGAAAATTGGGGGAAATGGAGAGAAAATCGGGAGAAAATTGGGAAAATTGGGGGAAATGGAGAGAAAATCGGGAGAAAATTGGGAAAATTGGGGGAAATGGAGAGAAAATCGGGGGAAAATTGGGGAAAAATGGGGGAAATTGAAAGAAAACTGGGGGATAAATGGGGGAAAAGTTGGGGGAAACGCACGGAAAAGTTATGGAAAAGACATGGAAAACTCATGGAAAACCATGGAAAATCCAGGAAAAAAAGAATGGAAAATCATGGGAAAACCACGGAAAACCATGGAAAAAACACGAAAAAAGCATGGAAAGACCATGGAAAAGCTATGGAAAACTCATGGAAAACCACGGAAAATCCAGGAAAAAATAATGAAAAATCATGGGAAAACCACGGAAAGACCATGGAAACTCATGGAAAGGGATATAAAAATAATGGAACATGGAAAACCATGGAAATACCATGGAAAGACCAGGGAAACTCATGGAAAAACCATGAAAACTCATGGAAAACCATACAAAAATGACGGAAAAATAACGGAACATGGAAAACCATGGAAAAACCATGGAAAGACCATGAAAACTCATGGAAAACCATACAAAAACTATATAAAAATAACGGAACATGGAAAACCATGGAAAAACCATGGAAAAACCATGGAAACTCATGGAAACACCATGGAAAACCATGGAAAATCCAAGAAAAAATACTGGAAAATAATGTGAAAACCACGGAAAACCATGGAAAGACCATGGAAACTCATGGAAAACCATGGAAAATCCAAGAAAAAATAATGGAAAACCATGGAAAAACCATGGAAAGACCCCGTAAAAACCATGAAAACTCATGGAAAACCATACAAAACCTATATAAAAACAACGTAACATGGAAAACCATGGAAAACCCAAGGGAAACCCGCCGGAGGAGCCCCGACTCACCCGGAACTCGGCGTCCCAGAGCCGCCAGCCCCTCCGGAGGCGCTTGAGGCCGCGGCCGGAGCCGGGGAAGGCGCGTCCGGCCTCGGGGAGGATGTTGTGGGAGAAGAGCGACGGGAGGCGCCGGCCGGGCCCGCGCGGATCGGCCCATCCGCCGCGCGCCGGGAACGCCGGGAACGCCGGGAACGGCCGCTCCCGGCCCCAGCCCCGCGCGCTCAAATCCTCACGGAATTTCCCCGGGAATTGCTGCTCCCGCGGCGGCGGCGGCGGGCGGCCGTAGAAGTCGCCGACGTCGGGCTCGGGTTCGCCGGGATAATCGCCGGGATAATCGTTGGGATAATCGGGATAATCGTTGGGATAATCAGGATAATCGTTGGGATAATCGTTGGGATAATCGTTGGGATAATCGTTGGGATAATCGCCGGGATAGTCGAAGGCGGCCCGGTACGGATCCCGGTCGTTCACGCGGGAGTCGCCGTAGGATTCGTAGGGATCGTACCTGACGGGGAAAATTCGGGAATTTTGGGGTTTTTTCCAAATGGGAAAGGGAGCGGTGCAGGGTGGGAGAGGGGTTTTTTTTTGGGAATTGCCAAAAAAATGGTTTCAAGGGGTTGGGGATTTCTAAGAAAAAGGGTCTGGGGGATCGGGATCCACTTTTCTCCCAAAAAAAATGGGTCCCGGGAGTTGGGGAGCACCTTCTCCAGCCCTTTTCCCACGTTTTCCATCCCTTTTCTCACGTTTTCCAGCCCTTTTCCCACGTTTTCCATCCCTCCCCACTCCCCAGGATCCAATCCCAAGCAGCCCTGGAACCCCAAATCCCAAAATCTGGATTTTTCAGGACAATCTTCCATTGCCAATCCCATTCCCACCCCATTCCCCATTCCCAATAGCAATCCCACATTCCCAATCCCCCATTCCCATTCTCCCATTCCCATTCTTCCAATCCCCCATTCCCCCATTCCCATTGTCCCAAATCCCCATTCCCAATCCCCTATTCCTATTCCCCCATTCCCAATCCCCATTCCCATTCCCAAATCCCCATTCCCATTCTCCCATTCCCAATCCCCCAATTCCCCATTCCCATTCCCAATCCCCCATTCCCAAATCCCCATTCCCCCATTCCCAATCCCCATTCCCAAATCCCTCATTCCCATTCTCCCAATCCCCCATTCCCACATTCCAAATCCCCATTCCCAATCCCCCATTCCCAAATCCCCATTCCCAATCCCAATTCCCCATTCCCATTCCCAAATCCCCATTCCCAATCCCAATCCCCCATTCCCAATCCCCCATTCCCATTCTCCCAATACCCCATTCCCACATTCCGAATCCCCATTCCCAAATCCCCATTCCCAATCCCCCATTCCCATTCTCCAAATCCCCCATCCCCATTCCCCCAATTCCCCATTCCCAATCCCCCATTCCCATTCTCCCATTCTCCCAATCCCCCATTCCCATTCTCCCATTCCCAATCCCCCATTCCCCCATTCCCATTCCCAATCCCCCATTCCTACATTCCGAATCCCCCAATCCCCCATTCTCCCATTCCCATTCCCAATCCCATTCCCCCATTCCCAATCCCCCAATCCCAATCCCCCATTCCCAATCCCCCATTCCCATTCCCAAATCCCCCATTCCCATTCCCAATCCCCCAATCCCGAATCCCCATTCCCAATCCCCCATTCCCAATCCCCACTCCCCCATTCCCAATCCCCGCCTGTCCGCTGCGGCTCCGTACCCCCGTCCCGTTCCCGGGGGTCCCTCGGGGTCGCTCTGGCCGGTGGTTCCCGGCTCCGGCCGCTGTTTCCCGGCGCCCTCGGGGGCCCCGTCGGGCTCGGAGCCGCCCAAATCCCAGGAATTGGCGGCGGTGCCGAAGCCGAAGGCTCCGGAGCCCTCCTGCCCGTAGCCGTAGCCGTAGGCATAGCCCTCGTAGCCTGGCGGGAGGAATTCGGGATTAACGGGAATTCCGGAGGCACCAGGGATTCAGGAATTCGGGATTCACCGGGGATTCAGGAATTCGGGATTCAGGAATTCGGGATTCAGGAATTTGGGATTCACCGGGGATTCAGGAATTCGGGATTCAGGAATTCGGGATTCGGGAATTTGGGACTCACCGGGAATTCAGGAATTTGGGATTCACCAGGGATTCAGGAATTCGGGATTCACCGGGAATTCGGGAGGCACCGGGAATTCGGGATTCACCGGGAATTCAGGAATTTGGGATTCACCGGGGATTCGGGAATTTGGGAATCACAGGGGATTCGGGAATTTGGGATTCACCAGGAATTCGGAATTCACCGGGGATTCAGGAATTCGGGAGGCGCCAGGGATTCAGAAATTCGGGATTCACCGGGGATTCAGGAATTCGGGACTCACCAGGAATTCAGGATTACCGGGGATTCGGGAATTTGGGATTCACCAGGAATTCGGGAGGCACCGGGAATTTGGGATTACCGGGAATTTGGGAGGCACCGGGAATTTGGGAGGCACCGGGGATTCGGGAGGCACCGGGAATTCGGGAGGCACCGGGAATTCCAGAGGCACCAGGGATTCAGGATTACCGGGAATTCGGGAGGCACCGGGGATTCAGGAATTCAGGATTCACCAGGAATTCGGGAGGCACCAGGAATTCGGGAGGCACCGGGAATTCGGGATTCACCGGGAATTCAGGAATTCGGGATTCACCGGGAATTTGGGACTCACCGGGGATTCGGGAATTTGGGATTCACCAGGGATTCAGGAATTCGGGAGTCACCGGGGATTCAGGAATTCGGGATTCACCGGGAATTTGGGACTCACCGGGGATTCGGGAATTTGGGATTCACCAGGGATTCAGGAATTTGGGACTCACCAGGAATTTGGGACTCACCGGGGATTCGGGAATTTGGGATTCACCAGGGATTCAGGAATTTGGGACTCACCGGGGATTCAGGAATTCGGGATTCACCGGGATTCGGGAATTTGGGATTTACCAGGAATTCGGGATCGTTCCCAGGTAATTCCTATGGAATTTGGGGTCATTCCCATGGAATTTAGGATCATTCCCACAGAATTCGGGGTCATTCCCATGGAATTCGGGATCATTCCCGCCGAAGGAATCCCAAAAATTCCCTCATTTGGAACTCTGAGCCGTTTCCCCGTTCCAAAAATGCCGATTTTTTGTCGGATCCGGCGGGAATTTGGGACTAAAATTCGGGAAAGGAGAGGTGGGAACTTCCCGAGGGCTCGGGCCGGGATCCAGGGATGGATCCAGAGGGATCCGGGGGAGGAAATTCCGCACTTGCCTCTGCTCGAGCCCGAATTCCAATCTCCGTACCCTAAAAAAGAGGAAAATCCCGGTCAGGCTCCCAAAATCCCCCAAATTCCCCCCAAATCCGCCAGGAATCGGCCCCAGGAGCCCCAAATCCCAAATTTCCGTCCAAGTTGGGAAGAATTCCCATCCCTGGGGATTTGGGGATCGTCAGGAAAGGGAAATTCCTGCTGAGAAATTGGGGAAAAGTGGGGGAAAAAATGGGAAAAAATTGGGAAAGAAATGGAAAAATTGGGAAAGAATTGGGGGGAAATGGGAAAATATGGGGGAAACCAGGGGAAAATGGAAAGAGTGGGAGAAAACTGGGAAAATTTGAGAAAGAATTGGGAAAAATGGGGGGAAATGGGAAATAATGGGAAAAAATGAGAAAAAAAAAAGAAAAAATGGGGAAAAATAGGGAAAACTTGGAAAAACTGGGGAAAAATGGCGAAAATGGGGAAAAATGGGGTAAAAATGGGGGGAAAATGGGGGGAAAATGGGGGGAAAATGGGCAAAACAGGGAAAATGGGAATAATTGAAAGAATTTGGAAAAATAGGGGGAAAAAATAGGAAGAATAGGGGGAAATGGGAAAGAATAGGGAAAAAATGGGGAAAACCAGGAGAAAAATGGGGAAAAGGAGGAGAAAAATGGGAAAAAACCAGGAATTGGATCCGTTCCTGCTGTTCCTGGCTGCCCTCATTCCCCATCGGAATTTCAGCCCTAATTAGCGGCTCCTCATTAGCACAACAGCCCAATTAAGGGCTTTGGGCGCCTCCGGGTGGGAATTTTCCTGGAATATTTTGGGAATTGCTGCCTCTCCCCCTCCGGGTGTGTCCCAGGTGAAACGAGGCCGCTGCAGGAGCCGGGAACGAGGCGGGATTCATGGAAAAATGGGGAAAAATGGGAATAAAAGGGCTCAGGTGGAACCGGGAATTCCCGGGCCGGGAATTTGGGAATTCCCGAGGCGGCGAATGGGGCTGGACTGGGAGCAAATCCCAATTTTGGGAGCAAATCCCGGGAATTTGGGAATTCCCGGTGCCCAGAGCGGGATCAGGAGACCCAAACGGGGCTGGATTTGGAACAAATCCAAATTTTGGGATCGAACTCCCCGGGATCGGGGCTGCCCCGGTGTCCCCCCCGGTGTCCCTCAGGGACATCTCCGTGTCCCGGTGTCCCTCATGGACATCTCCGTGTCCCGGTGTCCCTCAGGGACATCTCCGTGTCCCGGTGTCCCCCCGGTGTTCCTCAGGGACATCTCCGTGTCCCGGTGTCCCCCCCGGTGTCCCTCAGGGACATCTCCGTGTCCCGGTGTCCCTCATGGACATCTCCGTGTCCCGGTGTCCCTCAGGGACATCTCCGTGTCCCGGTGTCCCCCCGGTGTTCCTCAGGGACATCTCCGTGTCCCGGTGTCCCCCCGGTGCCTCAGGGACACCCCCGGTCCCTCCCGTCCCCTCCGGTCCCTCACGGACATCTCCGGTCCCTCACGGACACCCCCGGTCCCTCACGGACATCTCCGGTCCCTCAGAGTTCCCCCCGGTCCCTCACGGACACCGCCGGTCCCTCACGGACACCGCCGGTCCCTCAGGGACACCACCGGTCCCTCAGAGTTCCCCCCGGTCCCTCACGGACACCCCCGGTCCCTCAGGGTTCCCCCCGGTCCCTCAGGGATCGCTTCCCGCTCTCCCCTCACGGACACCCCCGGTCCCTCAGGTTCCCCCCGGTCCCTCCCGTCCCCCCCCCGGTCCCTCAGGGACACCCCCGGTCCCTCATGGACACCCCCGGTCCCTCACGGACATCTCCGGTCCCTCACGGACAGCCCCGGTCCCTCACGGACAGCCCCGGTCCCTCACGGACACCCCCGGTCCCTCAGAGTTCCCCCCGGTCCCTCACGGACACCCCCGGTCCCTCAGGGGATCCCTCCCATCCCCCCGGTCCCTCAGGGACAGCCCCGGTCCCTCACAGACACCCCCGGTCCCTCAGGGACACCCCCGGTCCCTCACGGACATCTCCGGTCCCTCACGGACATCTCCGGTCCCTCACGGACAGCCCCGGTCCCTCAGGGACACCGCCGGTGTCCCTCAGGGACATCTCCGGTCCCTCACGGACATCTCCGGTCCCTCACGGACATCTCCGGTCCCTCAGGGGATCCCTCCCGTCCCCCACCCCGGTCCCTCAGGGACACTCCCGGTCCCTCACGGACATCTCCGGTCCCTCAGGGACATCTCCGGTCCCTCACGGACATCTCCGGTCCCTCCCGTCCCTCCGGTCCCTCACGGACACCCCCGGTCCCTCACGGACACCGCCGGTCCCTCAGGGGATCCCTCCCGTCCCCCCGCTCCCTCAGGGATCGCTTCCCGCTCTCCCCTCACGGCTGCCCCCGAACCCCTCGGGGTTCCTGCCCTGCCCGCCGCCCCCTCACGGTTCCCGCTCCTCACCGACCCCACCGGCCCCTCACGGACCCGCTGACACCTCACCGGCCTCAGAGACCCCTCACGGTTCCCGCTCCTCACGGTTCCCGCTGACCCCTCACGGTTCCCGCTCCTCACCGGCCTCAGAGACCCCTCACGGTTCCCGCTGACCCCTCACGGACCCGCTGACCCCTCACCGGCCTCAGAGACCCCTCATGGTTCCCGCTCCTCACGGTTCCCGCCGCCCCTCACGGTTCCCGCTGACCCCTCACCGGTCCCGCTCCTCACGGACCCCAGACACCCCTCACGGTTCCCGCCCCTTATGAACACCACCGGCCCCTCACGGACCCGCCGCCCCTCACCGGCCTCAGAGACCCCTCACGGTTCCTGCCGGCCCCTCACGGACCCGGTGACCCCTCACGGACCCGCCGCCCCTCACGGTTCCCGCCGGCCCCTCACGGACCCGCCGCCCCTCACCGGCCTCAGAGACCCCCTCACGGTTCCTGCTGACCCCTCACCGGCCTCAGAGACCCCTCACGGTTCCTGCTGACCCCTCACCGGCCTCAGAGACCCCTCACGGTTCCCGCTCCTCACGGTTCCCGCCGGCCCCTCACGGACCCGCTGACCCCTCACGGACCTCAGAGACCCCTCACGGTTCCCGCTCCTCACGGACCCCAGCGCGCCCTCATGGACCCCAGACACCCCTCACGGTTCCCGCCCCTTATGAACACCACCGGCCCCTCACGGACCCGCTGACCCCTCACCGGCCTCAGAGACCCCTCACGGTTCCCGCCGCCCCTCACGGTTCCTGCCGCCCCTCACGGTTCCCGCTGACCCCTCACGGAGCCGCCGCCCCTCACCGGCCTCAGAGACCCCTCACGGTTCCCGCTGACCCCTCACCGGCCTCAGAGACCCCCTCACGGTTCCCGCCCCTCACGGTTCCTGCCGACCCCACACAGATCCCAGAGACCCCGCACGGTTCCCGCCGGCCCCACACAGATCCCAGAGAACCCTCACGGTTCCCGCTCCTCACGGTTCCCGCTCCTCACGGTTCCTGCCGCCCCTCACCGACCCCGCCGGCCCCTCACGGTTCCCGCCCCTCACGGTTCCCGCTGGCCCCTCACGGACCCAGTGACCCCTCACGGACCCGGTGACTCCACACAGATCCCAGAGAACCCTCACGGTTCCCGCCCCTCACGGTTCCTGCCGCCCCTCACGGACCCGCCGCCCCTCACCGGCCTCAGAGACCCCTCACGGTTCCCGCTCCTCACGGTTCCTGCCGCCCCTCACCGACCCCGCTGACCCCTCACGGACCCGCCGCCCCTCACCGGTTTCGCCCCTCACCGGCCTCAGAGACCCCTCACGGTTCCCGCTGACCCCTCACCGGCCTCAGAGACCCCTCACGGTTCCCGCTCCTCACGGACCCGGTGACCCCTCACAGACCCCAGAGACCCCTCACGGTTCCTGCCGGCCCCTCAGGGACCCCGGTGACCCCTCACGGACCCCGGTGACCCCTCACGGACCCGCCGCCCCTCACCGGTCCCGCTCCTCACCGACCCCACCGGCTCCTCACGGTTCCCGCCCCCCCTCACGGTTCCCCCTCCTCAAGGACCCCAGCGTCCCCTCACGACTCCCGCCCCTCACAGCCCCGCCGGTCCTTCACGGTTCCCCCTCCTCACGGACCCCGCCAGCCCCACCCGAGCCGGGCCGGTCCCGCCGCCCGCAGCCGCTCCGGTGCCGGTGCCGCCCCCCCCTCACCGTAGCTCATGATGGCGGCGCCTCCTCCCCTTTCCCGGGCGGTAACGGCGCCGCGCCGGCCCCGCCCCCACGCGCTGATTGGCAGCGGCGCTCCGTCTTCCCCGCGCTGATTGGTCCGCGAGGTTCGCGCCTCCCATTGGCCGTCAGGCGCTGTCGTTCATCGCGCTCTCCGCGCTGCGATTGGTTGAAATGAAAGTCTGCTTGATGAGTAGGCGTGGTTTCAGCAGCTCTGCTCTCCCATTGGCCGGCTGCGCCGGGTGAGGACCTATCGCGTGAGGGGCGCCCTTTGCCACGCCCCCTCCCCGCAGAGCCGGCTGCTATTGGCTGTCTCCGATGAAGCCACGCCCCCCGCGGCGTCACCTGCGGGGGTCACGTGCCGCGCGCGTCACGTGCCGGTCACGCGGGGTCGACGCTGGGTCACGTGACGAGGGAGAGGCCCCAAAATCCCCAAAAAATCCCAAAAAAATCCCAAAAATCCCCAAATCCCTGTCCCCAAAAATACCCAAAAACCTCCAAAAAATCCGCCCCAAAAAAACCCCAAATCCCTGTCCCCAAAAACCTCCAAAAAATCCACCCCCAAAACCCCCAAATCCCCCAAAATCCCCAAAAACCTCCAAAAATCCCCCCCAAAAACCCCAAAATCCCTGTCCCCAAAAATCCCCAAAAACCTCCAAAAAATCCCCCCCAAAACCCCAAATCCCTGTCCCCAAAAATCCCCAAAAACCTCCAAAAAATTCCCCCCAAAAAACCCCAAAATCTTCAAATCCCTGTCCCCAAAAATCCCCAAAAACCTCCAAAAATCCCCCCCCAAAAACCCCAAATCCCTGTCCCCAAAAACCTCCAAAAAATCCGCCCCAAAAAACCCCAAAATCCCCAAATCCCTGTCCCCAAAAATCCCCAAAAACCTCCAAAAATCCCCCCCCAAAAAACCCCAAAATCCCCAAATCCCTGTCCCCAAAAATCCCCAAAAACCTCCAAAAATCCCCCCAAAAAACCCCAAAAATCCCCAAAAACCTCCAAAAAATCCCCCCCAAAATTCCCAAATCCCTGTCCCCAAAAATCCCCAAAAACCTCCAAAAATCCCCCCCAAAAACCCCAAAAATCCCCAAAAACCTCCAAAAATCCCCCCCCAAAAAACCCCAAAATCCCCAAATCCCCGTCCCCAAAAATCCCCAAAAACCTCCAAAAATCCCCCCCCAAAAAAACCCAAAATCCCCAAATCCCTTTCCCCAAAAATCCCCAAAAACCTCCAAAAAATCCCCCCCCCAAAACCCCAAATCCCTTTCCCCAAAAATCCCCAAAAACCTCCAAAAAATCCCCCTCAAAAACCTCCAAAAAATCCGCCCCCAAAAACCCCAAATTCCCCAAATCCCTGTCCCCAAAAATCCCCAAAAACCTCCAAAAAATCCCCCCCCAAAAACCCCAAAATCCCCAAATCCCTGTCCCCAAAAATCCCCAAAAACCTCCAAAAAATCCCCCCCCCAAAAAAACCCCAAAATCCCCAAATCCCTGTCCCCAAAAATCCCCAAAAATAAAAAAAAAACCCAAAAAACCCCCAAAAACCCCAAATCCCTGTCCCCAAAAATCCCCAAAAACCTCCAAAAAATCCCCCCAAAAAAACCCCAAAATCCCCAAATCCGTCCCCCAAAATCCCCAAAAATAAAAAAAAATAAAATCCAAAAAAATCCCCAAGAATCCACAAATCCCAAATTCCAAAATCCAAAATCTGTCCCCCCAAATCTCAAATCCCGGGGAATTCCCCCAAATTTTCCCAAATTTCCCCCAAATTTATGCAAGTTTCCCTGGAATTCCCCCAAACCCTCCTGGATTCCCCAAATTTCCCCCAAATTTCCGTGGAATTCCCCCAAATTTCCCTGGATTTCCCCAAATCCTCCTGAATTTCCCCCAAATTTCGGCAAATTTCCCTCAAATTTCTGGAAATTTCCCTGGAATTCCCCCAAATTTCCCTGGATTTCCCCAAATTTCCTTGGATTTCCCCAATTTTCCCTGGAATTCCCCCAAAATTTCTGGAATTCCCCCCAAATTTCCCTGGAATTCTCCCAAAATTCCCTGGATTTCCCCAAATCCTCCTGAATTTCCCCCAAATTTCTGCAAATTTCCCTCAAATTTCTGGAAATTTCCTTGGAATTCCCCCAAATTTCCCTGGAATTCCCCCAAATCCTCCTGGATTTCCCAAATTTTCCCCAATTTTCCCACGATTTCCCCAAATTTCCTTGGATTTTCCCAAATTTCCCTGAAATTTCCCCAAATTTTCGTGGATTTCCCTCAAGTCCCCCTGGATTTCTTAAAAAATTCCCCAAAATCCTTCTGGAATTCCCAATTTTCCCTGGAATTCCCCCAAATCCTCCTGGATTTCCCAAATTTTCCCCAAATTTCCATGGAATTCCCTTACATTTCCCCGTATTCCCCCAAATTTCCCTGGAATTCTCAGAAATCCCCCTAAATTCCCCCAAATCTTCCTGATTTTCCTCAAATTTCCCCCAAATTTTCCCAAATTTCCCTGGAATTTTCCTAAATTTCCCTGGAATTTTCCCAAATTCCCCTGGAATTCCCCAAATCCTCCTGGATTTCCCAAATTTCCCCCAATTTTCCCAGGATTTCCCAAATTTTCCCTGGATTTCCCAATTTTCCCTGGAATTTCCCCAAATTTCCCTGGAATTCCCCCAAATTTCCCCCAATTTTCCTAGGATTTCCCCAATTTTCCTTGGATTTTCCCAAATTTCCCTGGAATTCCCCCAAAATTTCTGGAATTCCACCAAATTTCCCTGGAATTCCCCCAATTTTCCCTGGATTTCCCCAAATTTCCCTGGAATTCCCCCAATTTTCCCTGGATTTCCCCCAAATTTCCGTGGAATTCCCCCAAATTTCCCTGGATTTCCCCAAATCCTCCTGAATTTCCCCCAAATTTCTGCAAATTTCCCTCAAATTTCTGGAAATTTCCCTGGAATTCCCCCAAATTTCCCCGAATTTCCTTGGATTTTCTCAAATTTCCCTGGAATTCCCCCAAATCCTCCTGGATTTCCCGAATTTCCCCCAATTTTCCCAGGATTTCCCAAAATTTCCTTGGATTTCCCCAAATTTCCTTGGATTTTCCAAATTTCCCTGAAATTCCCCCAAATTTCCCTGGAATTCTCCCAATTTCCCCAAATTTCCCTGGATCCCCCAAGTCCCCCTGGATTTCTTTAAAATTTCCCCAAAATCCTCCTGGATTTCCCAAATTTCCCCCAATTTTCCCTGGATTTCCCAAAATTTCCTTGGATTTTCCCAAATTTCCCTGGAATTCTCCCAAATTTCCCTGGAATTCCCCCAAGTCCCCCTGGATTTCTTTAAAATTTCCCCAAAATCCTCCTGGATTTCCCAAATTTCCCCCAATTTTCCCTGGATTTCCCAAAATTTCCTTGGATTTTCCCAAATTTCCCTGGAATTCTCCCAAATTTCCCTGGAATTCCCCCAAGTCCCCCTGGATTTCTTTAAAATTTCCCCAAAATCCTCCTGGATTTCCCAAATTTCCCCCAATTTTCCCAGGATTTCCCAAAATTTCCTTGGATTTTCACAAATTTCCCTGAAATTCCCCCAAAATTTCTGGAATTCCCCCAAATTTCCCTGGAATTCTCCCAAATTTCCCTGGAATTCTCCCAATTTCCCCAAATTTCCCCAGAATTCCCCCAAGTCCTCCTGGATTTCTTAAGAATTTCCCCAAAATCCTCCTGGATTTCCTAATTTTCCCTGGAATTTCCCCGAATTTCCTTGGATTTTCCCAAATTTCCCTGAAATTCCCCCAAATTTTCGTGGAATTCTCCCAAATTTCCCCTGGAATTTTCCCAAATTTCCCTGGAATTTTCCCAAATTCCCCTGGAATTCCCCAAATCCTCCTGGATTTCCCAAATTTCCCCCAAATTTCCATGGAATTTCCCCAAATTTCCCCAGATTTCTGACAATTTCCCTGGAATTCTCACAAATCCCTCTGGATTTCGTAAAAATTTCCCCCAAATCTTCCTGATTTTTCTTAAATTTTCCCAAATTTCCCTGGAATTCCCCCAAATTTCCCTGGAATTCCCCAAATCCCCCTGGAATTCCCCAAATCCCGCATTCCAGGCATCCAGAAACTCCGTTTTTTTCCCGGGAATTCATCTCCAGAAGAATTTAATCCATCGTTCTCCAGCCCCGGGTACAGGAACCGCCGGAAACGTCCCGAAAAACGTGGAAATAAAATTAAAAAAAACCAAAAAAACAAAAAAAAACAGGAAAAAAAAACCCAAAATATTTCTCCGTTAAAATTCCTTCCGAAATCCGGAAGTTTCGGGATTCCCAAATAAAAATGGATTTATTTTTTTTTTCCCTTGGATTTCTACACAAATCTAGAGTTTAAAAAATTCGGGATGAGGAGGGAAAAAACGGGAATAAAACCGAGAACGACGGGAAAAAAAAACAAACAACAAAAAACGGGAATTTGGGGGAAAAAAACGGGAAAAAACAAACAACAAAAAAACGGGAATTTGGGGGAAAAAAACGGAGCCGAATCTTCCCGGAATTTTGGGGATTCATTCCCGCGGGATTTCCCGGATCCGCCGCCGGGGGAATTTTGGGAGAATCCCGCGGGATTTGCTTGGGGAAAAAATGGGAATTTTGGGAACATGCAACCCGGGAATTGAGGCAATCCCGACATCTAAAAAAACAAACCAAAAAAAACCCCAAAAAACGGGAAAAAAACCGAAAAAAAAAAAAAGGGAATTTACAGCTCCAAATGTACAAAATCCACAACTTTTCCCCCCGGGAATTCCGGGAATTCCGGGAATTCCCTCCCCGGGGCGCCGCCGAGACGCCGCCGCCGGTTCTTTGGGATAAAAAAATTTGGGAATTTTTGTTCTTGGGAATTCCCGGGGAATTCCCGCCGGGATGGGTGTAGTGCTCCTGGAATCCGCCGCCGCTCCCGGGCGGAATTTTCCGGGTTTTTTTTTTGGGATTTTTGGGAATTTTGGGAGAAGCCTCAGGGAGCGTCGGGAAGGGCCGGAGGCTCCGGGGGCGCCTCGTTCCGACACGGATCCGCCTTGGAAAAATTCATCTCCAGGATGTGGCGCTGGAGGTGCCGCACCCACTCCTCCTGGATGGACAGAGGGCCCTGGAATTCCACCTCGCAGAACCTGGAATGCGAAATTCCAGAGGGATTTCAGACGGAATTCCGGGAATCCGGGAAAAAATCCACAATTTCGGGAGGAGTTCCCGCTGATTTCAGCGAGAATTCCACGATTTCGGGAGGAATTCTTCTCATTTTTACCAGGAATTCCTGGATTTTGGGAGGAATTCTCCTCATTTTCAGCAGGAATTCCCTAAATTTCGGGAGGAATTCCCCCGATTTTCGGCAGGAATTTCCCAATTTTGGGAGGAATTCCCCAAATTCAGGAGGAGTTTCCCAGATATTGGCAGGAATTCCCCGATTTTGGGAGGAATTCCCCCTGATTTCAGCGAGAATTCCACGATTTCGGGAGGAATTCTCCCCATTTTCGGCAGGAATTTCCCGGATTTCAGCAGGAATTCCTGGAATTCTGGAGGAATTCTCCTCATTTTCGGCAGGATTTTCCCAATTTTGGGAGGAATTCCCCAAATTCGGGAGGAATTCCCACCGATTTCAGCGAGAATTCCCCAATTTCGGAAGGAATTCCTGGAATTCTGGAGGAATTCCCACTGATTTCAGCGAGAATTCCCCGATTTCGGGAGGAATTCTCCCCATTTTCGGCAGGAATTCCCGGAATTTCCGGAGGAATTCCCCGGTTTCGGGAGGAATTCCCGGAATTCTGGAGGAGTTTCCCAGATATCGGCAGGAATTCCCCGATTTTGGGAGGAATTTCCAGAATCCGGGAAAAAATCCACAATTTCGGGAGGAATTCCCGCCGATTTCAGCGAGAATTCCCCAATTTCGGGAGGAATTCTCCCCATTTTCAGCAGGAATTCCTGGAATTCTGGAGGAATTCCCCCCATTTTTGGCAGGAATTCCCAGATTTTGGGAGGAATTCTCCCCATTTTCAGCAGGAATTCCCCGATTTCAGGAGGAATTTCCAGAATCCAGGAAAAAATCCCCAATTTCGGGAGGAATTCCCGCCGATTTCAGCGAGAATTCCACAATTTCGGGAGGAATTCTCCCCATTTTCAGCAGGAATTCCCCCGGTTTCAGCAGGAATTTCCCCATTTCAGCAGGAATTCCTGGAATTCTGGAGGAATTCCCAGGATTTCAGCAAGAATTCTCCAAATTTGGGAGGGGAAAAAGGCAGAAAAAGAGGGAAAAAAGCCAAAAATAGGGATGGGGATGAAGGAAAGGGGGATAAGGCAGGAAAAAAGGGGAAAAGAGCCAAAAATAGGGATGGGGATGAAGGAAAAGGGGGAAAATACAGAAAAAGGGGGAAAAGAGCCCAAACCAGGGAGGGAAGAGGGAGGAAAATCAGGAAAAACTGCCCGGAAAAGTCTGGGAAACTGGGAAAAGCGCCCTAAAAATCCGGAAAACGTTCCCGATCCCGGTTTTCCCACCTGCACTTGAGGGTGTAGATGTTGCCCACGAACTTGACCAGCGAGGTCTGCGGCGGGCGCGGCACCAGCGCCGGCACCGGGCGCACGCGCGGCGGCGGCCGCGGCTCCGGAAGTTTCCGCGGGAATTCGGCGCCGCCGTCGGTGTCCCGGGGCTGCGGCGGCTCCGGGGGCCGCGCCTGGCGCCGCTCGAACTCTGCCGCGGGAGGAATTCGGGAATGGGGAGTGGGATGGGATCCGGACCTCGGTCCCGTCCACGATCCCAATTTTCCGTTCCCAATTTCCCGTTCCCAATCCTGACCCCATTTCCAATCCTGACCCCGTTCCCAATCCTGACCCCATTCCCAGTCCCATTCCAAATTTCACATTCCCAATCCCATCGCCAATTCCCATTCCCAGTTCCCAATCCTGACCCCATTCCCAGTCCCATTCCCAATTCCCATTCCCAATTCCCCAATCCCAATCCCATCCCCAATTCCCATTCCCATCCCCGTTCCCAATTTCCCATTCCCAATTTCACATTCCCATCTTGACCCCATTCTCAATTTCAAATTCCCAATTCCCAGTCCCATTCCCAATCCTGACCCCATTCCCAATTCCCCATTCCCAATCCTGACCACGTTCCCAATTTCACATTCCCAATCCCATCCCCAATTCCCAAACCTGACCCCATTCCCAATCCTGACCCCATTCCCAATTTCCCATTCCCAATTCCCCATTCCCAGTCCTGACCCCGTTCCCAGTCCTGTTCCCAATTTCACATTCCCAATCCTGACCCCGTTCCCAGTCCCATTCCCAATTCCCCGTTCCCAGTCCTGACCCCATTCCCAATTTCCCATTCCCAATTCCCCCTTCCCAATCCTGACCCCATTTCCAATCCTGACCCTGTTCCCAATCCTGACCCCGTTCCCAGTCCCATTCCCAATTTCACATTCCCAATTCCTCCTTCCCAATCCTGACCCCATTCCCAATCTTGACCCCATTCTCAATTTCAAATTCCAAATCCCATCCCCATTCCCAATTTCCCGTTCCCAATTCCCCGTTCCCAATCCTGACCCCGTTCCCAGTCCCATTCCCAATTCCCATTCCCAATTCCCCCTTCCCAATCCTGACCCCCTTCCCAGTCCTGACCCCGTTCCCAGTCCTGACCCCATTCCCAATTTCACATTCCCAATTTTGACCCCATTCTCAATTTCAAATTCCCAATCCTGACCCCATTCCCAATCCTGACCCCATTTCCCATTTTTCCCATCCCAAACCCCATTTTCCCATGTCCCAAACCCCACAATTCCCATTTCCCCCACCCCAAACCCCGCAATTCCCATTTCCCCCACCCCAAACCCCACACTTCCCATTTTCCCCACCCCAAACCCCATTTTTCCATGTCCCAAACCCCATTTCCGAACCCAAATCCCCATTTTCTCCACCTCAAATCCCATTTTTCCCTGTCCCAAACCCCACAAACCCCCATATCCCCACCCCAAACCCCACATTTCTCACCCCAAACCTCATGTTCCCCACCCCAAACCCCATTTTTCCCTGTCCCAATCCCCATTCTCCCACCCCACCCTCACTCACTGCTGAAGTTGCCCCTCTGCTCCTCCACCTTGAGCAGCCCCAGGGGTGAGCCCAGCGCCCTCTCGGTGCCCTCGGCGCCCTTGGGACCCTCTCCCAGCGCCGCCTCAGCCGCCAGCCCACCCTTGGGCGCGAAGGGCACCGCGTGGGCGCCGCGGGGCTCCCGTGGGTGCGCCGAGCTGCGGAACTTCTTGGAGAAGGGGCGGCCGCCCTGGATGTAGCTGCGGTAGGCGCCGGCCTTGTGGGGCCGGTGGCGGATCCACTCCCGCAGCGTCTCGATGGGGGAACCGTTGACGCACCACTCGGTGACGCCGAACTGCCGCAGGTGCGCCCGGGCGTGGCTGGCCAGGGCCTTGCGGTTCTCGAAGTACAGCCCGCAGAGCTCGCAGCAGGCCTCTGCTGCTGGGAAATGGGGAAAAAATGGGGTTAAATGGGATTAAAATGGGGTAAAATGGGGTAAAAATGGGGTTAATGTACAGAAAATGGGGTATGGGCACTGCCCAAAGTGCCGCAGGTGCGCCCGGGCGTGGCTGGCCAGGGCCTTGCGGTTCTCGAAGTACAGCCCGCAGAGCTCGCAGCAGGCTCTGCTGCTGGGAAATACAAAAAGAAGGGTTAAAATAGGGAAAAATGGGGTTAAAATGGGAAAAAATGGGATTAAAATAGGGGAAAATGGGAAAAAACGCTAAAAAAATGGGATTAACAGGGAGGAAATGGGACATGGGCACTGCCCAAAGCACCTTCCTGTTCTCAGAGTACAGCCCGCAGAGCTCGCAGCAGGCCTCTGCTGCTGGGAAATGGGGAAAAAATGGGGTTAAAATGGCATTAAAATGGGAAAAAATGGGAAAAAATGGGGTTAAAATAGGGAAAAATGGGGTATGGGCACTGCCCAAAGTGCCGCAGGTGCGCCCGGGCGTGGCTGGCCAGGGCCTTGCGGTTCTCGAAGTACAGCCCGCAGAGCTCGCAGCAGGCCTCTGCTGCTGGGAAACACAAAAAGAGGGGTTAAAATGGGATTAAAATGGGAAAAAATGGGGTTAAAGTAGGGAAAAATGGGGTAAAAATGGGATTAATGTAGAGAAAATGGGGTCATGGGCACTGCCCAAAGCGCCTTCCTGTTCTCAGAGCACAGCCCGCAGAGATCGCAGCAGGCTCTGCTGCTGGGAAATGGGGAAAAATGGGTTAAAATAGGGAAAAATGGAAAAAAATGGGGTAAAAATGGGATTAAAATAGGAAAAATGGGATTAACAGGGAGAAAATTGGGTACGGGCACTGCCCAAAGCGCCTTCCTGTTCTCAGAGCACAGCCCGCAGAGCTCGCAGCAGCCTCTGCTGCTGGGAAATACAAAAAGAAGGGTTAAAATAGGGAAAAATGGGGTAAAATGAGGTAAAAATGGGATTAAAATAGGGAAAAATGGGATTAACAGGGAGAAAATTGGGTACAGGCACCGCCCAAAGCACTCACAGGCCTTGTCGTGCAGAGCCTTGGCCTTGAAGCCCAGCTCGAAGGCACTCCCTGCCCATCCCAAAATCACCCCAAAAACACCCCAAAAACCACCCCAAATCACCTTAAAACCATCCCAAAACGACCCCAAATCACCCCAAAACCATCCCAAAACCCTCAAATTCCCCAAAATTCCCAGGAATTCCCTGAGGACTCACAGGCCTTGTCGTGCAGAGCCTTGGCCTTGAAGCCCAGCTCGAAGGCACTGCCTGCCCAAGACAAAACCATCCCAAAACCATCCCAAAATCACCCCAAAACTTCCCCAACAATCCCAAAATCACCCCAAAATTCCCAAAAAACCCCAAAACCCCCTGAGGACTCACAGGCCTTGTCGTGCAGAGCCTTGGCCTTGAAGCCCAGCTCGAAGGCTTTGTGCTTGGCCTCGCCGTGCCCGCCCAGCCTCTCCTCGCCCAGCGGCCTCTTGGTGGCCAGGAACGCTCCGGGATTTTTGGATCCCAGCGGTGCCAAGGCCAGACCCGAGCCCGGTTTGCCCAGTGCCAAGCCCGGGGGCAGCGCTTTGCCCGGCAGCGGCGGTTTGGGCTCGGCGCCGTCCTCGGCCGGCTCCATCCCCGGCGGCGCCGGCGGCTCCTTCTTGATGAGGCAGGGTTTGGATTTCTTCCTGAGGATCTCCCGGAGGGTGTCGATGGGAGAACCGTTCACCGACCACTCGGTCACCCCCATCTGCCGCAGGTGGGAGCGCGCGTGGCTCGACAGCCCCTTGCGGTTCTCGAAGAACTCCCCGCAGAACTCGCAGCGGATGTCGCGCACCGGGTCTGCCCGGGAGGCTGCAGGGGGAAATTCGGGGATTAGGGAGGGAAAAAAAAGCCTGGATGGGCTCAGAGTGTCCCCAAAATCCCGTGGATGTTGTGCACTGGGTCTGCCCGGGAGGCTGGAGGGGGAAATTTGGGGATTAGGGAGGGAAGGAACCCCCAGGATGGGCTCAGAGTGTCCCCAAAATCTCGGAGATGTTGTGCACCGGGTCCGCCCGGGAGGCTGGAGGGGGAAATTTGGGGATTAGGGAGGGAAGGAACCCCCTGGGATGGGATTTTGGGTGCCTAAATCCCTGGAAGAGCTCAGAGAGTCCCCAGAATCCCCAGGATGGGCTCAGAGTGTCACCAGAATCCCTGACAGGAGCTCAGAGAGTCCCCAGATCCCTGGCAGGAGCTCAAGAGTGTCCCCAAAATCCCCAGGATGGGCTCAGAGCATCCCCAGAATCCCTGGCAGGAGCTCAAGAGTGTCCCCAAAAACTCAGGGATGTCGTGCACTGGGTCCGCCCGGGAGGCTGGAGGGGGAAATTTGGGGATTAGGGAGGGAAGGAAACGCCTGGATGGGCTCAGAGTGTCCCCAAAATCCTCGGGATGGGCTCAAGAGAGTCCCCAAAATCTCCAGGATGGGCTCAGAGTGTCCCCAAAATCCCGTGGATTTCGTGTGCTGTGTCTGCCTGGGAGGATGGAGAAGGAAAATGTTGGGATTAGGGAGGGAAGGAAACGCCTGGATGGGCTCAGAGCATCCCCAAAATCCTCAGGATGGGCTCAGAGAGTCCCCAGAATCCTTGAACGGAGCTCAGAGAGTCCCCAGATCCCTGGCAGGAGCTCAGAGTGTCCCCAAAATCCCCGGGATGGGCTCAGAGTGTCCCTAAAATCCTGTGGATGTCGTGCACTGGGTCCGCCCGGGAGGCTGCAGAGGGAAATTTGGGGATTAGGGAGGGAAGGAACCCCCTGGGATGGGATTTTGGGGGCCTAAATCCCTGGCAGGAGCTCAGAGCATCCCCAAAATCCCTGGGATGATCTCTGAACCTCCCAAATCCCTTTGGATAAACCCCCTAAATCCCCCAAATCCCCGTGACAAACCCCAAAACCACTCACAGAGATTGAGCGGTGCCATCTCCTCATGGCCCTGAGATGGATCCCAGCTCCCCAAATCCCTGGGACAAACTCCTAAATCCCCCAAATCCCTGGGATAAACCCCCAAATCCCTGGGATAAACTCCTAAACCCCCCAAATCCCCGTGACAAACCCCAAAACAATCACAGAGGTTGAGCGGCGCCATCTCCTCATGGCCCCGAGATGGATCCCTGAACTCCCCAAATCCCTTTGGATAACCCCCCAAATCCTTGGGATGTTCTCTGAACCCCCCAAATCCCTGGGATAAACTCCTAAATCCCCCAAATCCCTTTGGATAAACCCCCAAATCCCCGTGACAAACCCCAAAACCACTCACAGAGGTTGAGCGGTGCCATCTCCTCATGACCCTGGGATGGATCCCAGAACTCCCCAAATCCTTGGGATAAACTCCTAAACCCCCCAAATCCCTTTGGATAAACCCCCCAAATCCCTGGGATAAACTCCTAAATCCCCCAAATCCCTGGGATAAACCCCCAAATCCCCGTGACAAACTCCAAATCCCCACGACAAACCCCAAAACCACTCACACAGATTGAGCGGCGCCATCTCCTCATGGCCCTGGGATGGATCCCAGAATTCCCCAAATCCCTGGGATGGATCCCAGCTCCCCAAATCCCTTTGGATAAACCCCCCAAATCCCCCAAATCCCTTTGGATAAACCCCCAAATCCTGGGACAAACCCCCAAACCCCCGTGACAAACCCCAAAACCACTCACAGAGGTTGAGCGGCGCCATCTCCTCATGGCCCTGGGATGGATCCCAGCTCCCAAAATCCCTTTGGATAACCCCCCAAATCCTTGGGATGTTCTCTGAACCCCCCAAATCGCTGGGACAAACTCCTAAATCCCCCAAATCCCTGGGATAAACCCCCAAATCCCCGTGACAAACCCCAAAACCACTCACACAGGTTGAGCGGCGCCATCTCCTCATGGCCCTGGGATGGATCCCAGAACTCCCCAAATCCCTGGGACAAACTCCTAAATCCCCCAAATCCTTGGGATAAACCCCCAAACCCCCCAAATCCCTGGGATAAACTCCTAAATCCCCCAAATCCCTTTGGATAAACCCCCCAAATCCCTGGGATAAACTCCTAAATCCCCCAAATCCCCATGACAAACCCCAAATCCTTGGGATAAACCCCCAAATCCCCATGACAAACCCCAAAACCACTCACACAGGTTGAGCGGTGCCATCTCCTCATGGCCCTGGGATGGATCCCAGCTCCCCAAATCCCTGGGATAAAGTCCTAAATCCCCCAAATCCTTGGGATAAATTCCTAAATCCCTCAAATCCCTTTGGATAACCCCCCAAATCCTTGGGATAAACCCCCCAAACCCCCCAAATCCCTGTGACAAACCCCAAAACCACTCACAGAGGTTGAGCGGTGCCATCTCCTCATGGCCCTGGGATGGATCCCAGAACTCCCCAAATCCTTTTGGATAACCCCCCAAATCCCTGGGACAAACTCCTAAATCCCCCAAATCCTTGAGAAAAACCCCCAAATCCCTGCGACAAACCCCAAATCCCCATGACAAGCCCCAAAACCACTCACAGAGTTGAGCGGCGCCATCTCCTCATGGCCCTGGGATGGATCCCAGAACCCCCAAATCCCTTTGAATAAACTCCTAAATCCCCCAAATCCCTTTGATAAACCCCCAAATCCTTGGGATAAACTCCTAAATCCCCAAAATCCCTGGGATAACCCCCCCAAATCCCCGTGACAAACCCCAAAACCACTCACAGAGGTTGAGCAGCGCCATCTCCTCATGGCCCTGGGATGGATCCCAGCTCCCAAATTCCCTGGGATAAACTCCTAAATCCCCCAAATCCTTTGATCCCTGAACCCCTCAAATCCTTGGGATGATCTCTGAACCTCCCAAATCCCTTTGGATAAACCCCCAAATCCTTGGGATGTTCTCTGAACCCCCCAAATCCTTGGGATAAATTCCTAAATCCCTCAAATCCCTTGGATAAACCCCCAAATCCCTGGGATAAACCCCCCAAACCCCCAAATCCCTTTGGATAAACCCCCCAAATCCTTGGGATAAACCCCCAAACCCCCCAAACCCCCCAAATCCCCGTGACAAACCCCAAAACCACTCACACAGGTTGAGCGGCGCCATCTCCTCGTGCGCCGCCCAGGCCGAGTCCGGCGGCGCTGGCGCCTCTCCGGGATGGATCCCACCTCCTCCTCCTCCTCCTCCTCCTCCTCCTCCTCCTCCTCCTCCCGCCGCCATCATCTCCCTCTTGATCTCCACCCTGAGCTGATCCTGCTTCATCTTCTTGTGCAGGCTCAGCCCGGGGAACATTTTCCGCGCGGTGGGCGGCGGCGAGGCCGCGCCGGGCGCCGCTCCCGGGGCGCTCAGCAGCTTCTTGCCCAGCCCGGGCAGGTGCAGCTCCGGCCCCGGCGGCCGTGGGGGCTCCAGGGGGGTCAGCCCGGCCAGGAGACTCTTGGTCAGGGGTTTGGGGTGGCCGGAGCGGCGGCGGGTGAGGATCTCGCGGAGGGTGTCGATGGGAGAGCCGTTGACGTACCACTCGGTCACCCCCATCTGCCGCAGGTGGGAGCGCGCGTGGCTCGACAGCCCCTTGCGGTTCTCGAAGAACTCCCCGCAGAACTCGCAGCGGATGTCGCGGCACGGCTCCGAGCCCGAGGCTGGGGGATGGGAGGGAAAGGGTTAAAAAGTGATCTGGTGGGGTTTGGTCACGGTACGGCTCCCAGATGGGGCAGGGAACACGGGAAAATGGGAGGGAAGGGGTTAAAAAGGGATCTGGTGGGGTTTGGTCATGGCACGGCTCCGAGCCCGAGGCTGGGGAAGCAGGAAAATGGGAGGGAAGGGGTTAAAAATGGCTCTGGTGGGGGTTTGGTCATGGCAAGGCTCCAAGTCCGAGGCTGGGAACACAAAAAAATGGGAGGGAAGGGGTTAAAAAGTGATCTGGTGGGGTTTGGTCACAGCCCGAGGCTGGGAGACAGGAGGGAAGGGGTTAAAAAGGGATCTGGTGGGGTTTGGTCACGGTACGGCTCCCAGATGGGGCAGGGAACACGGGAAAATGGGAGGGAAGGGGTTAAAAAGGGATCCGGTGGGGTTTGGTCATGGCACGGTTCCGAGCCCGAGGCTGGGGAAGCGGGAAAATGGGAGGGAAGGGGTTAAAAAGGGATCTGGTGGGGTTTGGTCAGGAAAATGGGAGGGAAGGGGTTAAAAAGGGATCTGGTGGGGTTTGGTCATGGCACGGCTCCCAGATGGGGCTGGGAAAGTGGGAAAAGGGGAGGGAAGGGGTTAAAAAGTGATCTGGTGGGGTTTGGGGATGAGGGGATTCCATGGCATGGCACGGCTCTGATCCTGAGGCTGGGAAAGCGGGAAAATGGGAGGGAAGGGGTTAAAAAGTCCTGGTGGGAAGCGGGAAAATGGGAGAGAAGGGGTTAAAAAGGGATCTGGTGGGGTTTGGGAATGGCCTGAGGCTCCGAGCCCGAGGCTGGGAGATGGGAGGGAAGGGGTTAAAAAGTGATCTGGTGGGGTTTGGGTATGAGGGGATGACAGGGCTCCGAGCCCGAGGCTGGGAAAGCGGGAAAATGGGAGAGAAGGGGTTAAAAAGTGATCTGGTGGGGTTTGGGAATGGCCTGAGGCTGGGAAAGCGGGAAAATGGGAGGGAAGGGGTTAAAAAGGGATCTGGTGGGGATTTGGTCAGGAAAATGGGAGGGAAGGGGTTAAAAAGGGATCTGGTGGGGTTTGGTCATGGCACGGCTCCGAGCCCGAGGCTGGGACACTGGGACATGGGAGAGAAGGGGTTAAAAAGGGATCTGGTGGGGTTTGGGGATGAGGGGATTCCATGGCATGGCATGGCTCTGATCCTGAGGCTGGGAGATGGGAGGGAAGGGGTTAAAAAAGTGATCTGGTGGGGTTTGGTCAGAGAATGGGAGGGAAGGGGTTAAAAAGGGATCTGGTGGGGTTTGGTCATGGCACGGCTCCGAGCCTGAGGCTGGGACACTGGGACATGGGAGAGAAGGGGTTAAAAAAGTGATCTGGTGGGGTTCCATGTCATGGCATGGCTCTGATCCTGAGGCTGGGAGATGGGAGGGAAGGGGTTAAGAAGGGATCTGGTGGGGTTTGGTCACAAAATGGGAGGGAAGGGGTTAAAAAGTGTCCTGGTGGGGTTTGGTCACAGCCCGAGGCTGGGAGACAGGAGGGAAGGGGTTAAAAAGGGATCTGGTGGGGTTTGGTCATGGCACGGCTCCCAGATGGGGCTGGGGGATGGGAGGGAAAGGGTTAAAAAGCGATCTGGTGGGATTTGGTCATGGCACGGTTCTGAGCCTGAGGCTTGAAGATGGGAGGGAAGGGGTTAAAAAGGGATCTGGTGGGGTTTGGGGACGAGAATGGGAGAGAAGGGGTTAAACAGTCCTGATGGGAAAGCGGGAAAATGGGAGGGAAGGGGTTAAAAAGGGATCTGGTGGGGTTTGGTCATGGCACGGCTCCGAGCCCGAGGCTGGGGAAGTGGGAAAATGGGAGGGAAGGGGTTAAAAAGTGATCTGGTGGGGTTTGGTCAGAGAATGGGAGAGAAGGGGTTAAACAGTCCTGGTGGGAAGCAGGAAAATGGGAGAGAAGGGGTTAAAAAGGGATCTGGTGGGGTTTGGTCATGGCACGGCTCCGAGCCCGAGGCTGGGGAAGTGGGAAAATGGGAGGGAAGGGGTTAAAAAAGTGATCTGGTGGGGTTTGGTCAGAGAATGGGAGAGAAGGGGTTAAAAAGTGATCTGGTGGAGGTTTGGTCATGGCATGGCTCCCAGATGGGGCTGGGAACACGGGAGATGGGAGGGAAGGGGTTAAAAAGGGCTCTGGTGGGGTTTGGTCATGGCCTGAGGCTGGGAAAGTGGGAACATGGGAGAGAAGGGGTTAAAAAAGTGATCTGGTGGGGTTTGGTCAGAGAATGGGAGGGAAGGGGTTAAAAAGGGATCTGGTGGGGTTTGGTCATGGCACGGCTCCCAGATGGGGCTGGGAACAGGGGAAAATGGGAGCGAAGGGGTTAAAAAGGGATCTGGTGGGGTTTGGGGATGAGAATGGGAGAGAAGGGGTTAAACAGTCCTGATGGGAAGCGGGAAAAGGGGAGGGAAGGGGTTAAAAAGGGATCTGGTGGGGTTTGGGGATGAGGGGACTCCTGGGGCAGAACACCACACTAAAAACCCCATTACACCCCACTAACCCAAATAAAAACCCCATTACACCCCACTACACCCCACAAAACCCCAACACAACCCAATAAAAACCCCGTTATACCCCACTAAATCCCATTACACCCCACTAAACCCCACTAAAAACCCCACTCCACCCCACTACACCCCAACACACCCCACTAAAAACCCCACAAAACCCCATTCCACCCCACTCCACCCCACTCCACCCCACTCCACCCCAACACACCCCACTAAACCCCAATAAAAACCCCATTACACCCCACTAAACCTCCACTAAACCCCACTAAAAACCCCACTCCACCCCATTACACCCCACTAAACCCCACTAAAACCCCCACTCCACCCCACTACACCCCAGCACACCCCACTAAACCCCAATAAACCAAAATAAAACCCAACAGTAACCACATAAAACCCCACTACACCCCACTAAACCTCATTAAAACCCAGTAACAACCTCATTACACCCCATTAAACCCCAACGTAACCCAATAGAAACCCCATAAAACCCCACTAAACCCCAATAAAACTCAATAAAAACCCCATTACGCCCCACTAAACCCCAATATAACCCAATAAAACCCACTAAAAACCCCATCCCACCCCATTACACCCCAATAAACCCCAATAAAAACCCCACTCCACCCCACTAAACCCCAAAAAAACCCCACTAAACCCCAATATAACCCAATAAAACCCACTAAAAATCCCATTCCACCCCACTAAACTCCAACACACCCCACTAAACCCCCATTACACCCCACTAAAAACCCCAATATAACCCAATAAAACCCACTAAAAATCCCATTCCACCCCACTAAACCCCAACATAACCCAATAAAAACCCCACAAACCCCCACCCCACCCCATTCCACCCCATAAAAACCCCACTCCACCCCACCCCACCCCCCTAAACCCCCCCCACACACTCACTAAGATTCAGCGGCCCGTCCTCCTCGGGCACCCACTTTCCCTCAGCGGGCATCGGGCTCAGCGCCAGCTTGGCCCCCTTCTCCTCAGCACCCTTGGGTGACGCCGGCAGCGCCTTCCGGAGCCCCGGGGAGCCGAAGCCCGGCGGGGATTTGATGGCTTTGTTGACGGCACCCTCGGATTTGGGCAGCAGCAGCAGCGGCGGCCGCGGCGGCGGCGGCTCTTTGGGGGAACCGGCGGATTTTTTGGCCAAGGCGCCCTCGGGTTTGGGTTTGTGCCGCACCAGCTCGTAGAGGAGGTCGATGGGCGCCCCGGAACTCTCGGATTCGGCCACGCCGAGCTGGCGGAGGTGGGAACGGGCGTGGCTGGACAGACCCTTGCGGGTCTCGAAGCAGGCGCCGCACACCTCGCAGGTGGTCAGGCTGGGGGCTGGAAAACAAGGGGGAAATGGGAAATTAGGGGTTAAAAATCAGGCTGGGGGCTGGAAAATGGGGAAAAATGGGAAATTAGGGGTTAAAAATCAGGCTGGGGGCTGGAAATGGGGAGAAAAAATGGGAAATTAGGGGTTAAAATCACTCAGGAAATGGGAAATTAGGGGTTAAAAATCACTTGGGATCAGCTTTGGAGCAGGTGCCCACAGGTGGTCAGGCTGGGGGCTGGAAAATGGGGGAAAAATGGGAAATTAGGGGTTAAAAATCACTCAGGAAATGGGAAATTAGGGGTTAAAAATAGCCTGGGATCTGGGAAATTAGGGGTTAAAATCCCTCAGGCTGGGAGCCAGAAAATGGGAAATAAGGGGTTAAAATCCCTCAGGCTGGGAACCAGAAAATGGGAAATTAGGGGTTAAAATCCCTCAGGCTGGGAACCAGAAAATGGGAAATTAGGGGTTAAAAATCCCTCGGGATCTGGGAAATTAGGGGTTAAAAATCCCTCATTTTCAGCTTCCAGAGCAGGTGCCTGCAGGTGGTCAGGCTGGGGGCTGGAAAACGGGAAATTAGGGGTTAAAAATTGCTCAGGCTGGAGGCTGGAAACGGGGAGAAAATACGGGAAATTAGGGGTTAAAATCCCTTGAACTGGGGGCTGGAAAATGGGGAGAAAAAATGGGAAATTAGGGGTTAAAATCCCTCATTATCAGTTTTGGAGCAGGCGCCGCACACCTCGCAGGTGGTCAGGCTGGGGGCTGGAAAACAAGGGGAAAATGGGGAAAAAGTGGGGAAAAAATGGGAAATTAGGGGTTAAAATCCCTTGGGCTGGGGGCTGGAAAATGGGAAATTAGGGGTTAAAATCCCTCTGGCTAGGGGCTGGAAAATGGGGGGGAAAATGGGAAATTAGTGGTTAAAAATCACTCAGGCTGGAGGCTGGAAAACGGGGGAAAAAATGGGAAATTAGGGGTTAAAATCCCTTGGGCTGGGGGCTGGGAAACGGGGAGAAAATGGGAAATTAGGGGTTAAAAATCGCTCAGGAAATGGGAAATTAGGGGTTACCTCGCAGGTGGTCAGGCTGGGGACTGGAAAATGGGGGAAAAAATGGGGCAAAAATGGGAAATTAGGGGTTAAAATCATTCAGGAGCTGGGAAATTAAGGGGTTAAAAATTCCTTGGGATCTGGGAAATTAGGGGTTAAAATCCCTCAGGCTGGGAGCCAGAAAATGGGAAATTAGGGGTTAAAATCACTCAGGATCTGGGAAATTTGGGGTTAAAATCCCTCATTTTCAGCTTCAGGAGCAGGTGCCTGCAGGTGGTCAGGCTGGGGGCTGGAAAATGGGGGAAAAATGGGGAAAAAATGGGAAATTAGGGGTTAAAAGTCGCTCAGGAGATGGGAAATTAAGGGGTTAAAAATCCCTCAGGCTGGGGGCTGGAAAAGGGGGGAAAAAATGGGAAATTAGGGGTTAAAAATCCCTTGGGATCAGCTTCAGGAACAGGTGGTCAGGCTGGGGGCTGGAAATGGGGAAAAAATGGGAAATTAGGGGTTAAAAATCCCTTGGGAGATGGGAAATTAGGGGTTAAAATCCCTTGGGATCAGCTCCCATCCACTCCTGGTTTTGGGATCAGAGCACGGGGTCGTGGGGGCTGGAAAATGGGGAAAAAACAGGAAAAAATGGGGAAAAATGGGGAAAAATGGGGAAAAATGGGGATAAATCGGGATAAATCCGATCTCAGAGTGAGGAAAACGAGGAGGGACAGGAAGGAAAACTTGGGAGTCAATCCCAAAAAATTCCAACCGCTCCCAGGCCAAGTTTTGGGATCAGAGCTTGAACAGGGTCAGGCTGGGGGCTGAAAATGGGAAAAAACGGGGAAAAAAGGGGAAAAAATGGGGAAAAATGGGGGAAAATGGGGAAAAAGGGGGAAAAAGGGGGAAAAATTGGGGGAAAAATGGGGGAAAATGGGGAAAAATGGGGGAAAAAATGGGGGAAAAATGGGGAAAAACGGGGAAAATGGGATAAAATGGGGGAAAATGGGGGAAAAATGGGGGGAAACAGGGAAAAATTGGAGGAAAATGGGGAAAAATGGGGAAAAGTAGGGAAAAATGGGGAAAATGAGAGGAAAATGGGGAAAAATGGGGGAAAATGGGGAAAAATTGGGGGAAAATGGGGAAAAAGTTTTGGGATCAGAGCTGGTGCTGCACATCTTGCATGGGGTCAGGCTGGGGGTTGAAAATGGGGGAAAAACAGGGAAAAATGGGGAAAAATGGGGAAAATTAGGGGAAAATGGGGAAAAATGAGGAAAACTGGGGAAAAATGGGGAAAAATTGGGAAAAATGGGGAAAAATGGGGAAAAATGGGGAAAAATCGGGATAAATCCGATCTCAGAGTGAGGAAAACGAGGAGGGACAGGAAGGAAAACTTGGGAGCCAATCCCAAAAAATTCCAACCGCTCCCAGGCCAAGTTTTGGGGTCAGAGCTGGCACCGCCTTGAACAGTCAGGCTGGGGGCTGAAAATGGGGAAAAATGGGGAAAAAATGGGGAAAAATGGGGGAAAATGGGGGAAAAATGGGGAAAAATGGGGGAAAATGGGGAAAAATGAGGAAAAATGGGGAAAAATGGGGAAAAACGGGGAAAATGGGGAAAAATGGGGAAAAATGGGGGAAAAATGGGGGAAAATGGGGAAAAATGGGGAAAAATGGGGAAAAATGGGGGAAAATGGGGAAAAAAGGGGAAAAATGGGGAAAAATGGGGGAAAATGGGGAAAAAATGGGGAAAAAGGGGGAAAATGTGGGAAAACGGGGAAAAATGGGATAAAATGGGGGAAAATGGGGAAAAATGGGGAAAAATGGGGGAAAAATGGGGATAAAACCTCTCTCAGAGTGAGGAAAACGAGGAGGGTCAGGAAGGAAAACTCGGGAGCCAATCCCAAAAAATTCCAACCGCTCCAAGCAGGACAGCCCCCCCTCGTTAACCCCACACTAATTAACCCCAAATTCCCCCCGGGTGGGTTCTGAGGGCCCCGATCCGAGGGAAATCGGGGAAAATCCCGGGAATTCCGGGAATTCTGACCTTTGGAGTCCTGGGGCTCGGCTTTGCTGCCGGGGGGCTCCGGGCTCAGTTTGGTCCCGAGGCGGGGCGGGGGCGGCTCCAGCGCCGAATTCCCGGATTTTTTGGGAATGGGAGGAGGGGACGTCACTTCCATGGCCACCAAATCGTCCTCGTCGGGAGCCAGAACTGCGGGGAGAAATTGGGAATTAGGGATTTGGGGGATTTGGGGGGATCCAGGAGGGATTTGGGGTGATCCAGGTGGGATTTGGGAGGTTCCAGAGGAGATTCGGGGAGTTCCAGAGGGATTTGGGATGTTTGAGAGAAGATTTGGGGAGTTCCAGACAGGATTTGGGGTGTTCCAGAGGGATTTGGGGGTTCCAGGTGAGATTTGGGGTGTTCCAGAGGGGATTTTGGGGGTTCCAGGTGGGATTTGGGATGTTCCAGGTGGGATTTGGAAGTTCCAGGTGGGATTTGGGGTGATCCAGGTGGGATTTGGGGGTTCCAGAGGGGATTTCGGGGGTTCCAGGTGGGATTTGGGATGGTCCAGATGACAATTTGGGGGTTCCAGACAGGATTTGGGGTGATCCAGGTGGGATTTTGGGGGTTCCCGGTGGGATTTGGGGTGATCCAGGTGGGATTTCGGGTGATCCAGGTGGGATTTGGGGGTTCCAGGTGGGATTTGGGGTGATCCAGGTGGGATTTCGGGTGATCCAGGTGGGATTTGGGGTGTTCCAAAGGGAATTTTGGGGGTTCCAGGTGGCATTTGGGGACAGGGACAGAGGCAGGTCCCGGCAGGTGACATCGGAGGTGCCACCAGGAACGGTGACAGGTCCTGGAAGGGACAAGGGACAGGGGAGGGGACAGGTCCCCAAAGGGGAGGGGACACAGAGAGGTGACAAATGCCAGCAGGGAGGGGACAGTGACAAAAGGAGAGGTGACAAATGCCAGCAGGGGACAGCACAGGGTGGTGGCAGGTCCCTAAAGGGGAGGGGACAGGAGAGGTGACAAATGCCAGCAGGGGACAGCACAGGGTGGTGGCAGGTCCCTAAAGGGGAGGGGACAAGTGACAGGTCCCTAAAGGGGAGGGGACAGGTGACAGGTCCCTAAAGGGGAGGGGACAGGGTGGTGGCATCTCCCAGCAGGGAGTGGGGACAGGTCCCTAAGGGGTGGGGACACAGAGGTGACAAATCCCGGCAGGGGACAGCACAGGGGTGGGGACAGGGCTGGGGACACTTTGGTGACAGAACTGGGGACACCCCAGTGACAGAACTGGGGACACTTTGGTGACAGAACTGGGGACACCCCAGTGACAGAACTGGGGACACCCCAGTGACAGAACTGGGGACACTTTGGTGACAGAACTGGGGACACCCCAGTGACAGAACTGGGGACATCCCAGTGACAGAACTGGGGACACCCCAGTGACAGAACTGGGGACACTTTGGTGACAGAACTGGGGACATCCCAGTGACAGAACTGGGGACACCCCAGTGACAGAACTGGGGACACTTTGGTGACAGAACTGGGGACACCCCAGTGACAGAACTGGGGACATCCCAGTGACAGAACTGGGGACACTTTGGTGACAGAACTGGGGACACCCCAGTGACAGAACTGGGGACACCCCAGTGACAGAACTGGGGACACTTTGGTGACAGAACTGGGGACATCCCAGTGACAGAACTGGGGACATCCCAGTGACAGAACTGGGGACACCCCAGTGACAGAACTGGGGACATCCCAGTGACAGAACTGGGGACATCCCAGTGACAGAACTGGGGACATCCCAGTGACAGAACTGGGGACACCCCAGTGACAGAACTGGGGACATCCCAGTGACAGAACTGGGGACACTTTGGTGACAGAACTGGGGACACCCCAGTGACAGAACTGGGGACACTTTGGTGACAGAACTGGGGACATCCCAGTGACAGAACTGGGGACACCCCAGTGACAGAACTGGGGACACTTTGGTGACAGAACTGGGGACATCCCAGTGACAGAACTGGGGACACTTTGGTGACAGAACTGGGGACACTTTGGTGACAGAACTGGGGACATCCCAGTGACAGAACTGGGGACACCCCAGTGACAGAACTGGGGACATCCCAGTGACAGAACTGGGGACACCCCAGTGACAGAACTGGGGACACTTTGGTGACAGAACTGGGGACACTTTGGTGACAGAACTGGGGACACCCCAGTGACAGAACTGGGGACACTTTGGTGACAGAACTGGGGACACTTTGGTGACAGAACTGGGGACACCCCAGTGACAGAACTGGGGATACTTTGGTGACAGAACTGGGGACACCCCAGTGACAGAACTGGGGACACTTTGGTGACAGAACTGGGGACACTTTGGTGACAGAACTGGGGACACTTTGGTGACAGAACTGGGGACATCCCAGTGACAGAACTGGGGACATCCCAGTGACAGAACTGGGGACACTTTGGTGACAGAACTGGGGACACCCCAGTGACAGAACTGGGGACATCCCAGTGACAGAACTGGGGACACTTTGGTGACAGAACTGGGGACACTTTGGTGACAGAACTGGGGACACCCCAGTGACAGAACTGGGGACACCCCAGTGACAGAACTGGGGACACTTTGGTGACAGAACTGGGGACACCCCAGTGACAGAACTGGGGACACTTTGGTGACAGAACTGGGGACACTTTGGTGACAGAACTGGGGACATCCCAGTGACAGAACTGGGGACATCCCAGTGACAGAACTGGGGACACTTTGGTGACAGAACTGGGGACACCCCAGTGACAGAACTGGGGACATCCCAGTGACAGAACTGGGGACACCCCAGTGACAGAACTGGGGACACTTTGGTGACAGAACTGGGGACACCCCAGTGACAGAACTGGGGACATCCCAGTGACAGAACTGGGGACACTTTGGTGACAGAACTGGGGACACCCCAGTGACAGAACTGGGGACACCCCAGTGACAGAACTGGGGACATCCCAGTGACAGAACTGGGGACACTTTGGTGACAGAACTGGGGACACTTTGGTGACAGAACTGGGGACACTTTGGTGACAGAACTGGGGACACCCCAGTGACAGAACTGGGGACACTTTGGTGACAGAACTGGGGACACCCCAGTGACAGAACTGGGGACACTTTGGTGACAGAACTGGGGACACCCCAGTGACAGAACTGGGGACACTTTGGTGACAGAACTGGGGACACTTTGGTCACAGAACTGGGGACACTTTGGTGACAGAACTGGGGACATCCCAGTGACAGAACTGGGGACATCCCAGTGACAGAACTGGGGACACTTTGGTGACAGAACTGGGGACACCCCAGTGACAGAACTGGGGACACTTTGGTGACAGAACTGGGGACACTTTGGTGACAGAACTGGGGACACTTTGGTGACATCTCTGGGGACATCCCAGTGACAGAACTGGGGACATCCCAGTGACAGAACTGGGGACACCCCAGTGACAGAACTGGGGACACTTTGGTGACAGAACTGGGGACACTTTGGGGACAGAACTGGGGACATCCCAGTGACAGAACTGGGGACACTTTGGTGACAGAACTGGGGACATCCCAGTGACAGAACTGGGGACATCCCAGTGACAGAACTGGGGACACTTTGGTGACAGAACTGGGGACACCCCAGTGACAGAACTGGGGACACTTTGGTGACAGAACTGGGGACACCCCAGTGACAGAACTGGGGACATCCCAGTGACAGAACTGGGGACACTTTGGTGACAGAACTGGGGACACTTTGGTGACACCTTTGGGGACACCCCAGTGACAGAACTGGGGACACTTTGGTGACACCTTTGGGGACATCCCAGTGACAGAACTGGGGACATCCCAGTGACAGAACTGGGGACACTTTGGTGACAGAACTGGGGACATCCCAGTGACAGAACTGGGGACACCCCAGTGACAGAACTGGGGACACTTTGGTGACAGAACTGGGGACACTTTGGTGACAGAACTGGGGACACCCCAGTGACAGAACTGGGGACACTTTGGTGACAGAACTGGGGACATCCCAGTGACAGAACTGGGGACATCCCAGTGACAGAACTGGGGACACCCCAGTGACAGAACTGGGGACACCCCAGTGACAGAACTGGGGACACTTTGGTGACAGAACTGGGGACATCCCAGTGACAGAACTGGGGACACTTTGGTGACAGAACTGGGGACATCCCAGTGACAGAACTGGGGACACCCCAGTGACAGAACTGGGGACACCCCAGTGACAGAACTGGGGACATCCCAGTGACAGAACTGGGGACACTTTGGTGACAGAACTGGGGACACTTTGGTGACAGAACTGGGGACACCCCAGTGACAGAACTGGGGACACTTTGGTGACAGAACTGGGGACACCCCAGTGACAGAACTGGGGACACCCCAGTGACAGAACTGGGGACACTTTGGTGACAGAACTGGGGACACTTTGGTGACATCTTTGGGGACATCCCAGTGACAGAACTGGGGACACCCCAGTGACAGAACTGGGGACACTTTGGTGACAGAACTGGGGACATCCCAGTGACAGAACTGGGGACACCCCAGTGACAGAACTGGGGACACTTTGGTGACAGAACTGGGGACACCCCAGTGACAGAACTGGGGACACCCCAGTGACAGAACTGGGGACACTTTGGTGACAGAACTGGGGACACCCCAGTGACAGAACTGGGGACACCCCAGTGACAGAACTGGGGACATCCCAGTGACAGAACTGGGGACACTTTGGTGACAGAACTGGGGACACCCCAGTGACAGAACTGGGGACACCCCAGTGACAGAACTGGGGACATCCCAGTGACAGAACTGGGGACACTTTGGTGACAGAACTGGGGACACTTTGGTGACAGAACTGGGGACACCCCAGTGACAGAACTGGGGACATCCCAGTGACAGAACTGGGGACACTTTGGTGACAGAACTGGGGACACTTTGGTGACAGAACTGGGGACATCCCAGTGACAGAACTGGGGACACCCCAGTGACAGAACTGGGGACACTTTGGTGACAGAACTGGGGACACTTTGGTGACAGAACTGGGGACACCCCAGTGACAGAACTGGGGACACCCCAGTGACAGAACTGGGGACACCCCAGTGACAGAACTGGGGACACCCCAGTGACAGAACTGGGGACACCCCAGTGACAGAACTGGGGACACTTTGGTGACAGAACTGGGGACATCCCAGTGACAGAACTGGGGACACTTTGGTGACATCTCTGGGGACATCCCGGCGCTCTCAGGACCGGTTTGGCCTCCCCGGGCCGGGACCCCCGACCCAAACCGGACCGGACCGGGACAATGAGAACCGGACCGGGACAATGAGAACCGGACCGGACAATGAGAACCGGACCGGGACAATCAGAACCGGACCGGGACAATGAGAACCGGACCGGGATAATCAGAACCGGACCGGGACAATGAGAACCGGACTGGGCAATGAGAACCGGACCGGGACAATCAGAACCGGACCGGGCTCTCCGAACCGGACCGGGCTCTCCGAACCGTACCGGGCTCTCCGAACCGAGCACTTCCCGGCCCCCGAGCAGCCCCGAGCAGCCCCGAGCAGCCCCGGCCCGCCGTTCCCGCTCCGCCGTTCCCACCCGGAGCCCGCGGCCGGTCCCGGGGCGCATCCCGGGGGTCCCGCGGGGACAAAGCGGGGCCGGGACCGGGACAAAGGAGGGCGGCGTCTCCCTGGCCGCGGCCTCCCGGAGCCCCCCCGGGTGCCCTCCCCGGTGCAGCGGCGCGGCGGGAGCGGGAGCGGATCCGTGAGGGGAGACGGGCCCGGTGAGGGTGGGGTGGGGGGGGGTGGGCGCGGGTGGGCCCGGGCGCGGCGGGGCGGGGCCGGCGCGGGGGAAAAGGGGCGCTCACCCGGCTCGGGCGCGGCCGGGGGCTCGGGGTCGCCGTCCCCGCCGCGGTCGCGGTCGCGGGGCCGCGGAGCCGCCGCCGCTTTGGTGACTTTGGGCGGCGGAGAAGCGGCGGCCGAGGCCGAGGTGGAGGCCGCCATCTTGGAAACGGCGCACGCGGGGCGCCCGCCAGGCCAGCGCGCCGAGCGCCGAGAGCGCCGCGGATCGAGCGGGACAGGGGAGAGCAGCCGAGCGCCGAGCGGGGAGAGCGGCGGGGGATTCGGGGGGTTCGAGCGCGGGGGAGATTTGGGGAGATTTGGGGGAATTTGGGGATTTTGGGGAAATTTGGGGAGATTTGGGGGATTTTGGAGGGAAAAAAAGGAAATTCGAGAATTTCAAGTGGAAATTTGGGGGGAATTTGGGGGGGGAAAAGGGAAATTTGGGGAGATTTGGGGAGATTTGGGGGGAAAAAGGGGAAATTTGGGGAAATTCGGGAATTTACAGGGGAAATTTGGGGGATTTTGGGGAGATTTGGGGGATTTTGGAGGGGAAAAAAAGGAAATTTGAGGAAATTCGGGAATTTCAAGTGGAAATTTGGGGAGATTTGGGGAAATTCGGGGGATTTTGGGGGATTTTGGAGAGGAAAAAAAGGGAAATTTGAGGAAATTCGAGAATTTCAAGTGGAAATTTGGGGGAATTCGGGGATTTACAGGGGGAATTTGGGGGAATTTGGGGGGAAAGGGGAAATTTGGGAAAATTTGGGGATTTTGGGGGGAAATTTTAGAAAATTCTCGACTTTTGAGGGGAGATTTGGGGGGAATTTGGTGGGTAAAAAAGGGAAATTTGGGAAAATTTGGGAATTTAAGGGGAAATTTGGGAGAAGTTGGGGGATTTTGAAGGGAAATTGATGAAAATGTGGGGGGAAATTGGGGAAATTTGGGGATTTTGGGGGGAAAAGGGGAATTCTGGGGATTTTTGGAGGCAGTTGGAGTTTTTTTTTCGAGGAAAAAAAGGAATTTGGGATATTTTGAGGGAAAGAAAAGGGAATTTGGGGGCAAAGGGGGATTTGGGTTTGGGAATTGGAAATATCCTGGATTTTGTTGATTTGGGGATTCAAATATCCCGAATTTTGTGGATTTGGCCCCAAAATCTCCTGGATTTCCAACAGCAAATCCCCAAAATCCCAAAGCACGGATCCAGAGGGGCTCCTCCTTCAGCTCCCAAATCCCAAATGGAGCCCAAAACTCCCAAATTTATCCCAAAAAATCCCCAAAATCCGACACCAAAAACCCAAACCCCAAATCAATCCCAAAAACCCCAAAACTCCCAAATTTATCCCAAAAAATCCCCAAAATCCGACACCAAAAACTCATCCCAAACCCCAAACGGATCCCAAAAACCCCAAAACTCCCAAATTTATCCCAAAAAATCCCCAAAATCCAACACCAAAAACCCATCACAAAACCCAAACCCCACATCAATCCCCAAATTCCCAAAACAACCAAATTTATCCCAAAAAAAATCCCCAAAATCCAATTCTGAGAACCAACCCCAAAATCCAAACCCCAAGTGGATGCCAAAAACCCCAAAACCACCAAATTTACCCCAAAAAATCCCCAAAATCCAACGTCAAAACTCATCCCAAATCCCAAATGGATCCCAAAACTCCCAAATTTATCCCAAAAAATCCCCAAAATCCAACACCAAAAACCCATCACAAAACCCAAACCCCAAAAACCCCAAAACTCCCAAATTTATCCAAAAAAATCTCCAAAATCCGACACCAAAAACCCATCACAAAACCCAAACCCCAAAACAATCCCAAAAACCCCAAAACTCCCAAATTTATCCAAAAAAATCCCCAAAATCCGACACCAAAAACTGATCCCAAAACCCAAACCTCAAATTTATTCCAAAAACCCCAAACCCACCAAATTTATCCCAAAAAATCCCCAAAATCCGACGTCCAAAACTCATCCCAAACCCCAAATGGATCCCAAAAAATCCCCAAAATCCGACATCAAAAATTGTTCTAAAATGCCAAATGAATCCTAAAACCACCAAATTTATCCCAAAAAAACCCCAAAATCCAAATCCGAGAACTGACCCCACAACCCCAAAATCCCAAATAGATCCCAAAAAATCCCCAAAATCACAAATGGATCCCAAAAACCCCAAATGGATCCCAAAAAAATCCCCAAAATCCGACACCAAAACCTGTTCTAAAATGCCAAATGAATCCCAAAAACACCAAATTTATCCCCAAAAATCCAACGTCAAAAACTCATCCCAAACCCCAAATGAATCCCAAAAACCCCAAAACCCCAAATGGATCCCAAAAAGCCAAAATCCCAAATGGATCCCAAAAAATCCCCAAAATCCGACACCAAAACCTGCTCTAAAATCCCAAATGAACCCCAAAACCACCAAATTTATCCCAAAAAATCCCCAAAATCCAACACCAAAAACTCATCCCAAACCCCAAACGGATCCCAAAAAATCCCCAAAATCCAACATCAAAAACTGATCCCAAAAACCCCAAATTTATCCCAAATGGATCCCAAAAAATCCCCGAAATTCAACACCAAAACCTGTTCTAAAATGCCAAATGAATCCCAAAACCCCCAAATTTATCCCAAAAAATCCCCAAAATCCAAATCCAAGAACCGACCCCAAACCCCAAAATCCCAAATAGATCCCAAAAAATCCCCAAAATCACAAATGGATCCCAAAAACCCCAAATGGATCCCAAAAAAATCCCCAAAATCCGACACCAAAACCTGTTCTAAAATGCCAAATGAATCCCAAAAACACCAAATTTATCCCCAAAAATCCAACGTCAAAAACTCATCCCAAACCCCAAATGAATCCCAAAAACCCCAAAACCCCAAATGGATCCCAAAAAGCCAAAATCCCAAATGGATCCCAAAAAATCCCCAAAATCCGACACCAAAACCTGCTCTAAAATCCCAAATGAACCCCAAAACCACCAAATTTATCCCAAAAAATCCCCAAAATCCAACGTCAAAAACTCATCCCAAAACCCCAAATGGATCCAAAAACCCCAAAATCCCAAAAGGATCCCAAAAAATCCCTTAAATCCAACACCAAAACCTGTTCTAAAATGCCAAATGAATCCCAAAACCACCAAATTTATCCCAAAAAATCCCCAAAATCCAAATCCAAGAACCGACCCCAAACCCCAAAAACCCCAAAAAGACGGAATTCCCGCCCAGAATTGCCGATTTTCCCGTTTTTTGGGTCTCTCACCGTCCCTGTAGTTCTGCAGAGCTCCGTCCCCCCACGGCGGCGGGAACGGCGCCGGTTTCGGCAGGTCCCGGTGGAGATCCCACTGGAGGTCCTGGTGGAGATCCTGGTGGAGATCCTGGTGGAGATCCTGGTGGAGATCCTGGTGGAGATCCTGGTGGAGATCCTGGTGGAGATCCTGGTGGAGATCCTGGTGGAGATCCTGATGGAGATCCCGGTGATCGGGGTGGAAATCCGGATGGAGATCCGGGTGGAGATCCCGGTGGAGATCCTGGTGGAGATCCTGGTGAAGATCCTGGTGGAGATCCCGGTGATCGGGGTGGAGATCCCGGTGAAGATCCGGGTGGAGATCCGGATGGAAATCCCGTTGGAGATCCGGGTGGAGGTCCCGTTGGAGATCCGGGTGGAGGTCCCGGTGGAGGTCCCGGTGGAGGTCGCGGCCGGGAGAGGCCCCCATGGCCCGAAGCAGCGCCGGGTGCTCGGGGGCGGTGGCCAGGAGCTCCTTGAGGATGTGGATGGGGGACACGGTGAGCTCCCAGTTGGTGATGCCGAAATCGCGCAGGTGGGCGCGGGCGTGGCTGGACAGCCCCGCCCGCGTGTCGAAACCGGCGCCGCAGAACTCGCAGCGCATCAGGCTGAACGTGCCCGGGTCGAAGTTGGCCACTGCAAACACAGACACGTGGTCAGTGGTGGGACCAGGACCACCAAAAAGCCAAAAAAACCCAACCAGGAACAACAAAAACCCAAAAAATCCCAACCGGGAACACCAAAAACGCAAAAAAACTCAACCAGGAACACCAAAAACCCAACGAGGAACACCAAAAACGCAAAAAAACTCAACCAGGAACACCAAAACCCAAAAAAACTCAACCAGGACCTTTAAGAACCCAAAAAATCCCAACCAGGAACACAAAAAACCCAAAAAAACTCAACCAGGAACATAAAAAACCCAACCGGGACCATCAAAAACCCAAAAAAACCCAACCAGGACCATCAAAAATGCAAAAAAACTCAACCAGGACCACCAAAAACCCAAAAAAACTCAACCAGGACCACCAAAAACCCAAAAAAACCCAACCAGGACCACCAAAAACCCAACCAGGAACACCAAAAACCCAAAAAACCCATCCAGGAACACCAAAAACCCAAAAAAACCCAACCAGGAACACCAAAAACCCAAAAAAACTCAACCAGGAACACCAAAAACCCAAAAAAACTCAACCAGGACCACCAAAAACCAACAAGGATCCAAAAAACTCCACCCAAAAAACCACCAAGATCAGGCTGAACGTGCCCGGGTCGAAGTTGGCCACTGCAAACGGGGACACGTGGTCAGTGGTGGGACCAGGACCACCAAAAAGCCAAAAAAAACCCAACCAGGAACATCAAAAACCTAAAAAAACTCAACCAGGAACACAAAAAAACCAAAAAACCCAACCAGGAACACCAAAAACCCAACGAGGAACACCAAAAACCCAAAAAAACCCATCCAGGACCACCAAAAACCCAACCAGGAACACCAAAAACCCAAAAAAACTCAACCAGGAACACCAAAAACCCAAAAAAACTCAACCAGGACCATCAAAAACCCAAAAAAACTCAACCAGGACCATCAAAAACCCAAAAAAACCCAACCAGGAACACCAAAAACCCAAAAAACCCAACCAGGACCACCAAAAACCCAAAAAACCCAACCAGGACCACCAAAAACCCAAAAAAACTCAACCAGGAACACCAAAAACCCAAAAAAACTCAACCAGGACCTCCAAAAACCCAAAAAACCCAACCAGGACCACCAAAAACCCAAAAAAACTCAACCAGGAACACCAAAAACCCAAAAAACCCAACCAGGAACACCAAAAACCCAAAAAAACCCAACCATGACCATCAAAAACGCAAAAAACCTCAACCAGGAACACCAAAAACCCAAAAAAACCCATCCAGGAACACCAAAAACCAAAAAAAACCCATCCAGGAACACCAAAAACCAAAAAAAACTCAACCAGGAACACCAAAAACCCAAAAACTCAACCAGGAACATAAAAAACCCAAAAAAACCCATCCAGGACCACCAAAAACCCAAAAAAACCCATCCAGGAACACCAAAAACGCAAAAAAACCCAACCAGGGCCACCAAAAACCCAAAAAAACTCAACCAGGACCACCAGAAACCAAGAAGAATCCAAAAAACTCCACCCAAAACCACCAAAAAACCACCAGGATCAGGTTGAATGTGCCCAGGTCAAAGTTGGCCACTGCAAACGGGGACATGTGGTCAGTGGTGGGACCAGGAACACCAAAAAGCCAAAAAAACCCAACCAGGACCACCAAAAACCCAACCAGGAACACCAAAAACCCAACCAGGACCACCAAAAAGCCAAAAAAACCCAACCAGGAACACCAAAAACCCAACCAGGAGCCCTAAAAACCCAAAAAAACTCAACCAGGACCACCAAAAACCAAAAAACCCAACCAGGAACACCAAAAACCCAACCAGGACCACCAAAAACCCAAAAAAACTCAACCAGGAACACCAAAAACCAAAAAAAACTTAACCAGGGCCACCAAAAACCCAAAAAACCCAACCAGGAACACCAAAAACCCAACCAGGAACACCAAAAACCAAAAAAAACTCAACCAGGAACACCAAAAACGCAAAAAAAACCAACCAGGACCACCAAAAACCCAAAAAAACTCAACCAGGAACACCAAAAACCCAAAAAAACTCAACCAGGAACATAAAAAACCCAAAAAAAACCAACCAGGACCATCAAAAACTCAAAAAAACCCAACCAGGAACATCAAAAACCCAAAAAAACCCAACCAGGGACACCAAAAACCCAAAAAAACCCAACCAGGACCATCAAAAACCAACAAGAATCCAAAAAACTCCACCCAAAAAACCCAAAAAAACCCAAAATCCATCTCTGGTCAGATGTCCAGGTGGGTTGGTAGCCATGGTGACCACCAGGACCTTGGTCAGATGTCCAGGTGGATCTGTAGCCATGATGACCACCAAGACCAGCCAGGTGGGTTGGTAGCCATGATGACCACCAAGACCTTGGTCAGATGTCCAGGTAGGTTGGCAGCCATGATGACCACCAAGACCAACCAGGTGGGTTGGCAGCCGTGATGACCACCAAGACCTGGGTCAGATGTCCAGGTGGGTTGGTAGCCATGATGACCACCAAGACCTTGATCAGATGTCCAGGTGGGTCAGTAGCCATGATGACCACCAAGACCAACCAGGTGGGTTGGTAGCCATGGTGACCACCAAGATCTGTGGTCAGATGTCCAGGTGGGTTGGTAGCCATGATGACCACCAAGACCCATGGTTGATGACCACCAAGACCTTGGTCAGATGTCCAGGTGGGTTGGTAGCCACCAGGACCACCAAGACCAACCAGGTGGGTTGGCAGCCATGATGACCACCAAGACCTTGGTCAGATGTCCAGGTGGGTTGGAGGCCATGATGACCACCAAGACCAGCCAGGTGGGTTGGTAGCCATGGTGACCACCAAGACCTTGGTCAGATGTCCAGGTGGGTTGGTAGCCATGGTGACCACCAAGACCTGGGTCAGATGTCCAGGAGGGTTGGTAGCCATGGTGACCACCAAGACCAGCCAGGTGGGTCAGTAGCCATGATGATCACCAAGACCTTGGTCAGATGTCCAGGTGGGTTGGTACCCATGATGACCATGGTCAGATGTCCACGTGAGCTTGCAGCCATGGTGACCACCAAGCCCCACGGCAGCAGAAGACCTCACCATCACCGCGCCGTCCCCGGCAATTCTGCACCAACTACCTTTTTTCTTCTTCTTCTGGAAGGAGAACTTCTGCTCGATGGCCTGGACCTCCTCGGCGGAGATGAAGTGCCGCACGTTGTAGCTGACGCCGACGCGGTTGAGGTGGCCGCGGACGTGGTTGGCCAAACCGATGCCGTTGTGGAACCGGTCGGGGCAATAGGGACATTTCCTCTCCTCGTTCCTCAGCATGGAGGAGCCCAGAAGCTCCTCCAGCTCCAGAGGAGCTTCCAGAGGTGCCTCCAGCAGGAGAACGTCCAACGGCAGCGGTTCCTCCGGCAGGAACGCCGATGCCACCACCGATGCCGATGCCGGTTTTCTCTTCAGCGCTTTTCCCCGCGGTTTTTTGCCGGCGCCGCCGCGGCGACCGCGCAGCTCCTCCAGCACCACCACCGGCACCGCCGTCCTCAGCTGCCGCCGCTGCTCCTCCGAGGCCACCGCCGGGTCCACGTCCCTCAAAACGGCGCCGAAACTCCTCTTCAGCTCCATGGCGGCGCGCGGCACGGCGGCGGCGTGGCGGTGCCGCGGTTCCGGCTCGTCCTCGGTGCCACCGTCACCATCGGGGTGTTGGGTGGTGGATCTTCTCCGTGGTGGCTGTGGGAAGGGTTTGGGCGAGGAGAAACCGCCCAACGCCGAATTTTGGTGCGGCGGCGCCTTCCTGGCGTGGTGGAACCCGTGCGGTTCCGTCTTGTCCGACCCAAAGACGGTCGTGGTGGACTCGTAGAGCGCCGGATCCTCCCGGCACGGCGTCGGCGAGAAGAGCCGCTCCGAAAATCCCTTCTCGGCTTTGCCGAACGCGTCGGCGTCGCCGAAACAACCGTAGGAGTCGCGGCTGGTGCCGGGCTGGTCGGCGTCGTCCTCGAAGCCGTCGCGCCGCCAGGAGAGGTGGGAGTGGGCGAAGCTCAGGTGCTCCTTGAGGACGCGCCGGTCGGGCGCCGGGAAGCCGCAGAGGGCGCAGGCGGCGCTCGGCGCTTTGCCGGGCGGCGTCACCGGCGGCGTTTCGGCCGCGAAGGGTTTGTAGATCGCGGCGGCGTCGCGACGCTCGCCGAAAACGCCGGCGCTCCTCCCGGCGTGCTCCTTGCGCTCCTGGACGTGCATCTTGGCGTGTTGCACGAAGGTTTTGGAGGAGTTGGTGCCGAAGACGCACTTGGGGCACTGGAGCCGCGCCTCGCGGCCCTCGTCCGGCAACCCGTCCGGCAACCCGTCCGGCAACCCGTCCGGCAACCCGTCCGGCAACCCGTCCGGCAACCCGTTCAGCTTCCGGATCTCCTCCATGATCCTCTCCCGCGACTCCTGGTGCAGCCGCCGGTGCCGCTCCAGCGCCGCCGGCTCGCCGAAGGTCCAGCCGCACTCGGCGCAGCGGAGTTGGCCGTGGGGCGCGTCGGTGCCGCGCGCGGCGCCGCGGTTGTGCTGCAGCGTGTGCTCCACCAGGTGCTCCCGGCGCCGGAAATAAATGCTGCACTCGATGCAGGTGAAGACGCTCGGCGCGTCCTCCGGCTCCGGCGCGTCGTCCCGGCAACGCGGCTCCACCGAGGCCTCGGCGTTCACCGTCCACGTCTGCGTCCCCACCGCCTCCGGCTGCGGCGGCGCCCACGGGGCCGCATCCGGCTCGGCGCGGCGCCGGCGGCTCTCCGAGGGTTTGGCTTTGGCTCGGCGCGACGCCGGCGCCGCGTCCCGGCCGGGCGGAGCGCGGAACGCCGAAACGGCCGCATTGTCCGGCGTTGGGTCGTGGAAGGACGGGCTGGGGCTCCTGGAGATCCACTCCAGCCGCTGGACGCCGCGGTGGCGCGGTTCGGCGCCGGGCTTCGGTTCCGTCTCACCATGCCGATCCTCAGGCGATCCCGGCGCCGGTTCGGCGCGGTCGCTGTCCGGCGGCGCCGCGTCCGGCCGCGCCGAGTCTAAAGTGCTTTCGGACGGTCCCTCGGGCGGCCACGCCGCGGCCGCGGTCAATGGCCGGAACAGCGGGAACGGCGGCGGCGCTTCGGCCGCCGCGCTGCAAGGAAAGTTTGGGGTGAAAAACGGCGATTTTGGGAAAATAACGGCGTTGGGAGGGAAGAAATCCATCCCTTCCCGCCCGGCCAAAAATTTGGGAGAGGAACAAATCCCGGCCAAAAATTTGGGAGGGGAACAAATCCCGGCCAAAAATTTGGAAGAGCCTCGGGAATTCCAGGCGCTCCTGGTTTGAGGGGTTGGAAAAGGATTTTGGGGTGAAAAACGGGATTTTGGGGTGAAAAAGGGGATTTTGGGGTGAAAAACGGGATTTTGGGGAAAATGACCATATTTCCTGGGAGCAGAGGTGAAAGATTCGTGGAGGATTCCCGAAAATTAAATTTGGGAGGGGAACAAATCCCGGCCAAAAATTTGGGAGAGCCTCGGGAATTCCAGGCGCTCCTCGTTTGAGGGGTTGGAAAGGGATTTTGGGGTGAAAAACGGGATTTTGGGGTGAAAAACGGGATTTTGGGGTGAAAAACGGGATTTTGGGGTGAAAAACGGGATTTTGGGGTGAAAAACGGGATTTTGGGGTGAAAAACGGGATTTTGGGGTGAAAAATGGCGATTTTGGGAAACGTCGGCATTGGGAGGGGAACAAATCCATCCCTTCCTGCCCGGCCAAAAATTTGGGAGGGCCTCGGGAATTCCAGCCGCTCCTCGTTCGAGGGGTTGGAAAGGGATTTTGGGGTAAAAAATGGGATTTTGGGGTGAAAAACGGCGATTTTGGGAAACGGCGGCGTTGGGAGGGAAGAAATCCATCCCTTCCTGCCCGGCCAAAAATTTGGGAGAGCCCCGGGAATTCCAGGCACTCCTCGTTCGAGGGGATTTTGGGGTGAAAAACGGGATTTTGGGGTGAAAAACAGGATTTTGGGGTGAAAAATGGGATTTTGGGGTGAAAATCGGGATTTTGGGGTGAAAAACGGGATTTTGGGGTGAAAAACGGGATTTTGGGGTGAAAAACAGGACTTTGGGGAGAAAAACGGGATTTTGGGGTGAAAAACGGGATTTTGGGGTGAAAAACGGGATTTTGGGGAAAACGCCCGTGGTTTCTGGGAGCGGAGGTGAAAGATTCCCAAAATTGGAGGATTCCCAAAAATTTGGGAGAGGAACAAATCCCGGCCAAAAATTTGGGAGAGCCTCGGGAATTCCAGCCGCTCCTCGTTCGAGGGGTTGGAAAAGGATTTTGGGGTGAAAAACGGGATTTTGGGGTGAAAAACGGGATTTTGGGGTGAAAAATGGGATTTTGGGGTGAAAAACGGGATTTTGGGGTGAAAAATGGGATTTTGGGGTGAAAAACGGGATTTTGGGGTGAAAAACGGGATTTTGGGGTGAAAAACGGGATTTTGGGGTGAAAAACGGGATTTTGGGGTGAAAAACGGGATTTTGGGGAAAACGCCCGTGGTTCCTGGGAGCGGAGGTGAAACATTTGTGGAGGATTCCCAAAAATTAAATTTGGGAGGGGAACAAATCCATCCCTTCCCGCCCGGCCAAAAATTTGGGAGAGCCTCGGGAATTCCAGCTGCTCCTCGTTCGAGGGGTTGGAAAAGGATTTTGGGGTGAAAAACGGGATTTTGGGGTGAAAAATGGGATTTTGGGGTGAAAAACGGGATTTTGGGGTGAAAAACGGGATTTTGGGGAAAACGCCCGTATTTCCTGGGAGCGGAGGTGAAAGATTCGTGGAGGATTCCCAAAAATTAAATTTGGGAGGGGAACAAATCCCGGCCAAAAATTTGGGAGGGGAACAAATCCATCCCTTCCCGCCCGGCCAAAAATTTGGGAGAGCCTCGGGAATTCCAGGCGCTCCTCGTTTGAGGGGTTGGAAAAGGATTTTGGGGTGAAAAACGGGATTTTGGGGTGAAAAATGGGATTTTGGGGTGAAAAATGGGATTTTGGGGTGAAAAACGGGATTTTGGGGTGAAAAATGGGATTTTGGGGTGAAAAACGGGATTTTGGGGAAAAGGCCCGTGGTTTCTGGGATTGGAGGTGAAAGATTCGTGGAGGATTCCCGAAAATTTGGGAGGGGAACAAATCCCGGCCAAAAATTTGGGAGGGGAAGAAATCCCGGCCAAAAATTTGGGAGGGAAGAAATCCATCCCTTCCCGCCCAGCCAAAAATTTGGGAGGGCCTCGGGAATTCCAGGCGCTCCTCGTTTGAGGGGTTGGAAAAGGATTTTGGGGTGAAAAACGGGATTTTGGGGTGAAAAACGGGATTTTGGGGTAAAAAATGGGATTTTGGGGTGAAAAACGGGATTTTGGGGTGAAAAACGGGATTTTGGGGTGAAAAATGGGATTTTGGGAAAATACAACCAGGGGAACTGGGATGGATCCAAAGGGAACTGGGATGGCTCCAGGAGGAACTGGGAGGAACTGGGATCCTCCCAAGGGGAACTGGGAGGAACTGGGATAGCTCCAAGATGAACTGGGAGGAACTGGGAGGAACTGGGAGGAACTGGGAGGAACTGGGATCACCCCAAGGGGAACTGGGAAGAACTGGGAGGAACTGGGATGGCTCCAGGCTGAACTGGGAGGAACTGGGATCCCCCCAAGGGGAACTGGGAGGAACTGGGAGGAACTGGGATGGCTCCAGGATGAACTGGGAGGAACTGGGAGGAACTGGGATCACCCCAAGGAGAACTGGGAGGAACTGGGATCACCCCAAAGGGAACTGGGATGGATCCAAAGGAACTGGGATGGCTCCAGGAGGAACTGGGAGGAACTGGGAGGAACTGGGATCACCCCAAGGGGAACTGGGAGGGCCTGGGAGGAACTGGGATGGCTCCAGGATGAACTGGGAGGAACTGGGAGGAACTGGGATGGCTCCAGGATGAACTGGGAGGAACTGGGAGGAACTGGGATGGCTCCAGGATGAACTGGGAGGAACTGGGAGGAACTGGGATCACCCCAAGGAGAACTGGGAGGAACTGGGATCACCCCAAAGGGAACTGGGATGGATCCAAAGGGAACTGGGATGGCTCCAAAGGAACTGGGATGGCTCCAGGATGAACTGGGAGGAACTGGGATCCCCCCAAGGGGAACTGGGAGGAACTGGGATGGCTCCAGGATGAACTGGGAGGAACTGGGAGGAACTGGGATCACCCCAAGGGGAACTGGGAGGAACTGGGATGGCTCCAGGATGAACTGGGAGGAACTGGGAGGAACTGGGATCACCCCAAGGGGAACTGGGAGGAACTGGGATGGCTCCAGGATGAACTGGGAGGAACTGGGATCCCCCCAAGGGGAACTGGGATGGCTCCAAAGGAACTGGGATGGCTCCAGGATGAACTGGGAGGAACTGGGAGGAACTGGGATGGCTCCAGGAGGAACTGGGAGGAACTGGGATGGCTCCAGGATGAACTGGGAGGAACTGGGAGGAACTGGGATGGCTCCAGGATGAACTGGGAGGAACTGGGATGGCTCCAGGATGAACTGGGAGGAACTGGGATCCCCCCAAGGGGAACTGGGAGGAACTGGGATCCCCCCAAGGGGAACTGGGAGGAACTGGGAACTCACCCGAGCTGTGTCCGGTGCGCCGCGGCCGGGACGGCTCCGGACAGGGCGGGGTCGGGCTCATCTGGAAAAAACATTCCCAAAATCCCAGAGTTTGACCCCAAGATTCCCAAAATCCCAGAGTTTGACCCCAAGATTCCCAAAATCCCAGAGTTAACCCCAACATTCCCAAAATCCCAGAGTTTAACCCCAACATTCCCAAAATCCCAGAGTTTAACCCCAACATTCCCAAAATCCCAGAGTTTAACCCCAACATTCCCAAAATCCCAGAGTTTGACCCCAACATTCCCAAAATCCCAGAGTTTAACCCCAACATTCCCAAAATCCCAGATTTTAACCCCAACATTCCCAAAATCCCAGAGTTTAACCCCAACATTCCCAAAATCCCAGAGTTTAACCCCAACATTCCCAAAATCCCAGAGTTTAACCCCAACATTCCCAAAATCCCAGAGTTTAACCCCAAAATTCCCAAAATCCCAGTTTAACCCCAACGTTCCCAAAATCCCAGAGCGGCGGGGGGGTCACCGGTGAGGGGCCTCCAACTCAACCCAACTCAACCAACTCAACCAAACCCAACCAACCCAACCCAATTCAACCCAACCCAACCAACCCAACCAACTCAACCAACCCAACCCAACCAACCCAATTCAACCAACTCAACCAACCCAACCAACTCAACCCAATTCAACCAACCAACCCAACCCAACCAAAACAAACTCAACCAACCCAACCCAATTCAACCAATCAACCCAACTCAACCCAATTCAACCAACCCAACCCAACCCAACCAACCCAAACCAACTCAACTCAACCGAACAAAAACCAAACCAGAACCGACTCAACCAAACCCAACTCAATGAAAACAAACCCAACTCAACCCAACCAACCCAACTCAACTCAACCCAACCCAACCAAAACAAACCCAACCCAAACCAACTCAACTCAACCCAACTCAACCTAAACCAACTCAACTCAAACGAACAAAAACCAAACCAGAACCAACCCAACCAAACCCAACCAAACCCAACTCAACCAAAACTAACCAAACAAAATGAACCCAAACCAACTCAACCCAACCCAATTCAACTCAACCCAACCCAACTCCATTCAACAAAAACCAACCCAACTCAACGAAAATGAACCCAAACCAACCAAAACCAACCCAACCCAACTCAATCCATCCAAACCCAACCCAACCCAACCCAACTCAGGGATTCCTGCCACGGGCGGCGCGGATTCGGGGTCGTTACCGGCGCCACGAGGAATTCCAGGATGGAAATTTTCAGCCAGGGAACAATTGAGGTCGACAAAGAACAATCCCGGAATGGTTTTGGTTGGAAGAGACCTCCAAGATCAAGCCCAACCCTCCCCTGGTCGCCCACGACCACGAGACGCCCGAAAATCCGGAGTTTTCGGTCCCCGGCGCCGTCGGAGCCGTTTGAGTCCCCCAAATCCCTCCGGAAACGCGGGAAAGTCGGAATTCCGTTCCCACATCCCCGCCGGCCCCGGATCCATCCGACGGCCCCAAATTTGGCTCTTCCAGCTCCGAGGAGCACCCAGGGGGGTCCAACCCAACCGTTGGGCAGGCGAAGGCGCGCGGGGTCGGTAATCGCGACATTCCCAGAGAAAAAGGCGGAAATTCCACAAAAAATGGGGCAAATGGAATTTCCTCCCTCTCCGATCCGCCCCAAATAAATTCCCAAAAAACCCCAAAATGTCCTCATTGGAGCAGATCCATGGGGGATCTGGTGACATCACAAAATGATCCCAAAAACCCCAAAATGTCCCCATTGGAGCAGATCCATGGGGGATCTGGTGACATCACAAAATGATCCCAAAAAACCCCAAAATGTCCCCATTGGAGCAGATCCATGGGGGATCTGGTGACATCACAAAATGATCCCAAATAAACCCCAAAATGTCCCCATTGGAGCAGATCCATGGGAGATCTGGTGACGTCACAAAATGATCCCAAATGAGTTTTGGAATGTCCTCATCAGAGAAGATCCATGGGGAATCTGGTGACATCACAAAATGATCCCAAAAAACCCCAAAATGTCCCCATTGGAGAGGATCCATGGAAGATCTGGTGACATCATAGAACGATCCCAAAAAAACCCAAAATGTCCCCATTGGAGAGGATCCATGGAAGATCTGGTGACATCACAAAATGATCCCAAATAAAGCCCAAAATGTCCCCATTGGAGCAGATCCATGGGAGATCTGGTGACATCATGGAATTGATCCCAAATGAGTTTTGGAATGTCCCCATTGGAGCAGATCCATGGGAGATCTGGTGACATCATGGAATTGATCCCAAAAAACCCCAAAATGTCCCCATTGGAGCAGATCCATGGGAGATCTGGTGACATCACGGAATTGATCCCAAAAAACCCCAAAATGTCCCCATTGGAGCAGATCCATGGGAGATCTGGTGACATCATGGAATTGATCCCAAAAAACCCCAAAATGTCCCCATTGGAGCAGATCCACGGGAGATCTGGTGACATCACAAAATGATCCCAAATAAACCCCAAAATGTCCCCATTGGAGCAGATCCATGGGAGATCTGGTGACATCACGGAATTGATCCCAAATTAACCCCAAAATGTCCCCATTGGAGAGGATCCATGGAAGATCTGGTGACATCACGGAATTGATCCCAAATAAAGCCCAAAATGTCCCCATTGGAGAGGATCCATGGGAGATCTGGTGACATCACAAAATGATCCCAAATAAACCCCAAAATGTCCCCATTGGAGCAGATCCACGGGAGATCTGGTGACATCACGGAATTGATCCCAAATGAGTTTTGGAATGTCCCCATTGGAGCAGATCCATGGGAGATCTGGTGACATCATGGAATTGATCCCAAATAAACCCCAAAATGTCCCCATTGGAGCAGATCCATGGGAGATCTGGTGACATCACGGAATTGATCCCAAAAAAACCCAAAATGTCCCCATTGGAGAGGATCCATGGGAGATCTGGTGACATCATGGAATTGATCCCAAATGAGTTTTGGAATGTCCTCATCAGAGAAGATCCATGGGGAATCTGGTGACATCACGGAATTGATCCCAAAAAACCCCAAAACATCCACATCAGAGAGGATCCATGGGAGATCTGGTGACATCACGGAATTGATCCCAAAAAAGCTCTGGAATGTCCCCGTTGGAGCACTGGGATAGGTGGATCCACGGAAGATCTGGTGACATCACGGAATTGATCCCAAAAACCCCAAAATGTCCCCATTGGAGCAGATCCATGGGAGATCTGGTGACATCACGGAATCGATCCCAAACGCACTCCGGAACATTCCGAGGACGATCCCTGCCGGCCAAAGCCCCTCCAAAGCTCCCGAGCTCCGGTTCTGGAGGAAATCCATGGACAAAGGGAGGAGGTTCCTCATCCAGGAGCTGGAAAAATCCCTCCGGAGCCGAATCCAACCCCGACGGGATCCCGGCCTCATTCCCGGGATAACACGGCCCTTCCAGGACCTTCCAGGACCTTCCAGGACCTTCCAGGTGCCACAAATTCCCCGAAAAACGACCCAAAAGCTGCGATGGATTCGTCGCTCCCGAGTTCTCCTGGCTCCTCTTCCCGGGAACAGCTGCTCCGATGTTTTTCCAGGAAAAGAGGCCCAACCCGGGAACGGCTGCCGGAGGAGCTGGAAAACGTTCCCGGGAAAATTTGGGATGTCCCCAAAAGGGTTTGGAGAACCCTCGGGAGCGACAGGATGAGGGTGGAGGAGGAGAAATCCGCAGGGAAGGGGAAATTTGGGATGTCCAGATCCTGGAAAAATTCTGGGAAAAAAAATCTGGAGAAGTTTTGGGTGGGGGAGGGGGATGGGCGGTGGAGAATTCCAGGGAAATCCCAGGAAATCCCGGGAAATCCCGGGAATCGGGAGGGATGGGGAATCTCAGCTCAGCTCTGGGATCACGTGGGAGCCGTGAGTCAGCCAAGGGAAAAAACAACCGTCAAAAATCCCTGGAAAGCTCAAAAAAATCAGGGAAAAATCAAATCCGGACGTGGTTTGGCACCTGCAGCTGCCGGGGGGGGGGAAAAGCAGCGGAGACAGAAAAGCTGGAAAAGCTCCTGGAAAAATTCCTGGAAAAGCTGCTGGAAAAGCTGCTGGAAAAGCTCCTGGAAAAAATCCTGGAAAAATTCCTGGAAAAATTCCAGCAGTGCCAACGAGGCGGGAAATCCCCCGGGATGAGGAATTTCATCCCAAAATTGAGGGGGAGGATTCCCGGCGGGAGTTTTCCGAGGGTTTTCCGAGGGTTTTCCGACGGTTTTCCGAGGGTTTTCCGACGGTTTTCCGAGGGTTTTCCGAGGGTTTTCCGAGGGTTTTCCGAGGGTTTTCCGAGGGTTTTCCGAGGGATTGGGGGAGCCCCGGAGATCCCAGGAGATCCCGGGAAAAGCTTTTCCCATGGGAAAAGGGAGACCTTGGTGGGAGGAGAGGCAGGTCAGGTTCTCCTGGGATCCAGCGCGGGATCCGGGGATCCAGGAGGGGAGGGGGGATTGCAGGATGTGATCCCGAATTCCAGGATGGGATCCCGAACTCCAGGATGTGATCCCAAACTCCAGGATGGGATTCCAAACTCCAGGACCTGATCCCGAATTCCAGGATGGGATCCCAAACTCCAGGACCTGATCCCGAGCTTCAGGACACAATCCCAAACTCCAGCACACGATCCCAAACTCCAGGACACGATCCCAAACTCCAGGATGAGATCCCAAACTCCAGGACACGATCCCAAACTCCAGGATGGGATCCCAAACTCCAGGACACGATCCCAAACTTCGGGACATGATCCCAAAGTCCAGGACATGATCCCAAACTCCAGAACACGATCCCAAACTCCAGGACACGATCCCAAACTCCACGACACGATCCCAAACTTTGGGACACGATCCCAAACTCCAGGACACGATCCCAAACTCCAGGACACGATCCAAATCTCACCCAAAAACCACAATATTACGGCCCAAAAATTGAGATTTTACAGCCCAAAACTCGGGATTTTAGAGCCCAAAAATCAGGATTTTTCACCCCAAAAA